AAAATGACAATTCGTATAAATCGCCTGAAATCTATGACGGTACCCCTTTGGAATATGCCAATTATGGACCCTGAATAAATCCGCCCAAATCGGTGCTTAATGAACTCAATCATCGTTGGAGAATAGACTCAGGCAAAATATGTGATCTGTAGCCTTCAATATCCAAAGAAAATGGCATTTCATCGCCCAAGAAATTATGAATATGCCATCCGAAATTAAATTGGTCCAAATCGATGCTTAACGGACTTATCATCCTTGGACAATAGGATCAATAGACTTCATTATCGGTGGAGAATAGCCTCAGCCTGATTCCGTGATCTGTATCCTCCAGAATTGAAAGAAAATGGCATTTTGGATGAATTGCCTGAAATCTGTTACGGTACCCCTTTGCAAGATCTCGAAAAATTATGCGGAATCAAAAAAAAATTTGCTACGATCGGATAACCGAGCACAAAGTTACGTTGTTTTAAAGTTTGGACGTAATTCAGTGCTTCACCGTTTTGCTCTCACGCGGTGAAGCAGTGACCGTTTTAGTTTGAAACGGTGAATACATCACCGTGTTAGACAAAAACGGTGAAGTATTCACCGTTTTGGTCAAAAGCGGTGATGACCTTCACCGCTTTTGTCTAAAACGGTGATGCTCAAACATGTGTACTTTTGGAATTTTTTTTATAACTTATGTATTTTGGAAATTTTTTTTAAGAACTAGTGTACTTTGGGATTTTTTCCAAATCTTTGATGGTACCCCTTTGGAATCTGCCAAAAATTGACCGGGAATAAATCCGCCCAAATCGGTGCTTAAATGGACTCAATCATCGTTGGAGAGCCTCAGTGCGAATTCGTGATCTGTAGCCTTCAATATCCAAAGAAAATGGCCTTTCGTCGCCCAAGAAATTACGAAAATGCCATCTGAAAATAAATTGGCCCAAATCGTTGCTTAACGAACTTATCATCTGTGGAGAATAGGATCAATAGACTTCATTATCGGTGGAGAATAGCCTCGGCCAGATTCTGTGATCTGTAGCCTCCAGAATAGAAAGAAAATGGCATTTCAGATACATCGCCCGAAATCTGTGATGGTACCCCCTTTGGAATCTGTCCAAAATTTACCCGGAATAAATCCGCCCAAATCGGTGCTTAATGGACTCAATCATCGTTAGTGAATAGCCTCAGGCCGAATCCGTGATCTGTAGCCTTCAATATCCAAAGAAAATGGCCTTTACTCGCCCAAGAAATTACGAAAATGTCATCCGAAAATAAATTGGCCCAAATCGATGCTTAAGAGACTTATCATCCGTGGAGAATAGGATCAATAGACTTCATTATCGGTGGAGAATAGCTTCGCCCCGATTCCGAGATCTGTAGTCTCCAGTATTGAAAGAAAATGGCATTTCGAATAAATCGCCCGAAATCTATAATGGTACCCCTTTGGAATATGCCAAAAATTGACCCGGAATAAATTCGCCCAAATCGGTACTTAATGGACTCAATCATCGTTGGAGAATAGCCTCAGGGCGAATCTGTGATCTGTAGCCTTCAATATCCAAAGAAAATGGCCTTTCGTCGCCCAAGAAATTACGAAAATTACATATGAAAATAAATAAGCCCAAATCGATGTTTAACGGACTTATGATCTGTGGAGAATAGGATCAATGGACTTCATTATTGGTGGAGAATAGCCTGAGCCTGATTCCGTGATTTGTAGCCTCAAGAATCGAAAGAAATGGCATTTCGGATAAATCGCCCGAAATTTGTGATGGTACCCCTTTGGAATCTTCAAAAAATTGACCCGGAATAAATCCGCCCAAATCGGTGTTTAATAGTCCCAATCATCGTTGGAGAATAGCCTCAGGCCGAATCCGTGATCGGTATCCTTCAATATCCAAAGCAAATGGCCTTTCGTCACCCTAGAAATTACGAAAATGCCATCCGAAAATAAATTGGCCCAAATCGATGCTTAACGGACTTATCATCCGTGGAGAATAGGATCAATAGACTTCATTATCGGTGGAGAAAAGCCTCGTCCTGATTCCGTGATCTGTAGCCACCAAGATCGAAATAAAATGGCATTTCGGATAAATTGATCGAAATCTGTGATGGTACTCCTTTGGAATCTCCCAAAAATTGACCCGGAATAAATCTGGCCAAATCTGTGCTTAATGGACTCAGTCATCGTTGGAGAATAGCCTCAGGCCGAATCCTTGATCTGTAGCCTTCAATATCCAAAGAAAATGGCCTTTCGTCGCCAAAGAAATTACGAAAATGCCATCCGAAAATAAATTGGCCCAAATCGATGCTTATCGGACTTATCATCCATGGAGAATAGGGTCAATAGACTTCATTATTGGTGGACAATAGCCTCGGCCTGATTCCGTTTTAGCCTCCAGAATCGAAAGAAAATGGCATTTCGGATAAATCGTCTGAAATCTGTGATGGTGGAATCTGCCAAAACTTGACCCGGAATAAATCCAACCAAATCGGTGATTAATGGACTTAATCATCGTTGGATATTAGCCTCAGGCCGAATCCGTGATCTATAGCCTTCAATATCCAAAGAAAATGGCCTTTTGTCGCCCAAGAAATTACGAAAATGCCATCCGATAATAAATTGGCTCAAATCGATACTTAACAGACTTATCATCCGTGGAGAATAGGATCAATAGACTTCATTACCGGTGGAGAATAGCCTTGGCCTTATTCGGTGATCTGTAGCCTCCAGAATCAAAAGAAAATGGCATTTATGATAAATCGCCCGAAATCTGTGATGCTACCCCTTTAGAATCTGCCAAAAATTGACCCGGAATAAATCTGCCCAAATCGGTGCTTAATGGACTCAATCATCGTTGGAGAATAGCCTCAGGCCGAATCCGTGATCTGTAGCCTTCAATATCCAAAGAAAATGGCCTTTCGTCGCCCAAGAAATTACTAAAATGCCATCGGAAAATAAATTGGCCCAAATCGATGCTTATCGGACTTATCATCCTTGGAGAATAGGGTCAATATACTTCGTTATCGGTGGAGAATAGCCTCGGCATGATTCCGTGATCTGTAGCCTCCGGAATCGATAGAAAATTGCATTTCGAATAAATCGCCCGAAATCTGTGATGGTGGAATCTGCCAAAAATTGACCCGGAATAAATCCGCCCAAATCGGTGCTTAATGGACTCAATCATCGTTGGAGAATAGACTCAGGCCGAATCCGTGATCTGTAGCCTTCAATATCCAAAGAAAATGGCCTTTCGTCGCCCAAGAAATTACGAAAATAACATCTTAAAATAAATAAGCCCAAATCGATGTTTAACGGACTTATCATCTGTGGAGAATAGGATCAATGGACTTCATTATTGGTGGAGAATAGCCTGAGCCTGATTCTGTGATTTGTAGCCTCAAGAATCGAAAGAAATGGCATTTCGGATCAATTGCCCGAAATATGTGATGGTACCCCTTTAGAATCTTCCAAAAATTGACCCGGAATAAATATGCCCAAATCGGTGCTTAATGGACCCAATCATCGTTGGAGAATAGCCTCAGGCCGAATCCGTGATCTGTATCCTTCAATATCCAAAGAAAATGGCCTTTCGTCGCCCAAGAAATTACGAAAATGCCATCCGAAAATAAATTGGCCCAAATCGTTGCTTAACGGACTTATCATCCGTGGAGAATAGGATCAATAGACTTCATTACGGTGGAGAATATCCTCGGCCTGATTCCGTGATCTGTAGCCTCCAGGATCGAAATAAAATGGCATTTCGGATAAATTGCCCGAAATCTGTGATGGTACCCCTTTGGAATCTGCCAAAAATTGACCTGGAATAAATTTTGCCAAATCGGTGCTTAATGGACTCAATCATCGTTGGAGAATAGCCTCAGGCCGAATCCGTGATCTGTAGCCTTCAATATCCAAAGAAAATGGCCTTTTGTCGCCAAAGAAATTATGAAAATGCCATCGGAAAATAAATTGGCCAAAATCGATGCTTATCGGACTTATCATCCATGGAGAATAGGGTCAATAGACTTCATTATTGGTGGACAATAGCCTCGACCTGATTCCGTAATCTTTAGTGTAACATCCCGAACCTTTTCCCGACAAGATACTGTCTGCTTTGGGCCTCTACACCCGCACGGATTTCGACTTAGGGTGCAATTCAAGGTGACTTCCCATAAGGTCACCCATCCTTGTTGTACTCCACACTGAGCACGTTTAACTTCGGAGTTCTCACAAGAACTCTTCCATTACACCCCAAAACGCGTCTTGTCAGTTAAGGCCGGTTTCCTACTTATGAACCATGGATCTCTCCCGTGCTTTGTCGATGTGGGATTTGCCTAAGGTGTTACATACACCCCCCCTTGGGACTCAACGCCCTCGTTGAGGTTTGCCCCACCATCGTTCAAGAGGGACGCGGAGAGGCTCTGATACCACTTGTAACATCCCGAACCTTTTCCCGACAAGATACTGTCCGCTTTGGGCCTCTACACCCGCACGGATTTCGACTTAGGGTGCAATTCAAGGTGACTTCCCATAAGGTCACCCATCCTTGTTGTACTCCACACTGAGCACGTTTAACTTCGGAGTTCTCACAAGAACTCTTCCATTACACCCCAAAACGCGTCTTGTCAGTTAAGGCCGGTTTCCTACTTATGAACCATGGATCACTCCCGTGCTTTGTCGATGTGGGATTTGCCTAAGGTATTACATTTAGCCTCCAGAATCGAAAGAAAATGGCATTTCGGATAAATCGTCTGAAATCTGTGATGGTGGAATCTGCCAAAAATTGACCCGGAATAAATCCGACCAAATCGGTGATTAATGGACTTAATCATCGTTGGAGATTAGCCTCAGGCCGAATCCGTTATCTATAGCCTTCAATATCCAAAGAAAATGGCCTTTTGTCGCCCAAGAAATTACGAAAATGCCATCCGATAATAAATTGGCCCCAATCGATACTTAACGGACTTATCATCCGTGGAGAATAGGATCAATAGACTTCATTATCGGTGGAGAATAGCCTCAGCCCTTATTCGATGATCTGTAGCCTCCAGAATCGAAAGAAAATGGCATTTCTGATAAATCGCCCGAAATCTGTGATGCTACCCATTTGGAATCTGCCAAAATTCGACCCGGAATAAATCTGCCCAAATCGGTGCTTAATGGACTCAATCATCATTGGAGAATAGCCTCAGGCCGAATCCGTGATCTGTAGCCTACAATATCCAAAGAAAATGGCCTTTCGTCGCCCAAGAAATTACAAAAATTACATCCGAAAATAAATTGCCCCAAATCGATGCTTAACGGACTTATCATCCGTGGAGAATAGGATTAATAGACTTCATTATCAGTGGAGAATAGCCTCGGACTAATTTCATGATCTGTAGCCTCCAGAATCGTAAGAAAATGGCATTTCGGATGAATCGCCCGAAATCTGTGATGGTACCCCTTTGGAATCTGCCAAAAATTGACCCGGAATAAATCCGCCAAAATCGGTGCTTAATGGACTCAATCATCGTTAGAGAATAGCCTCAGGCCAAATCCGTGATCTGTAGCGTTCAATATCCAAAGAAAATGGCAGTTCGTCGCCCAAGAAATTACGAAAATGACATCCGAAAAAAAATTGGCCCAAATCGATGCTTAACGGACTTATCATGCGTAGAGAATAGGATCAATAGACTTCATTATCGGTGGAGAATAGCCTCGGCCATATTCCGTGATCTGTAGCCGCCAGAATCGAAAGAAAATGGCATTTCGGATAAATCGCCCGAAATCTTATGGTACCTCTTTGGAATCTGCCAAAAATTGTCCAAGAATAAATCTGCCCAAATCGGTGCTTATTGGACTCAATCATCGTTGGAGAATAGTCTCAGGCCGAATCCATGATCTGTAGCCTTCAATATCCAAAGAAAATGGCATTTAATCGCCCAAGAAATTACGAAAATGTCATCCGAAAATAAATTGGCCCAAATCGATGCTTAACGGACTTATCATCCGTAGAGAATAGGATCAATAGACTTCATTATCGGTGGAGAATAGCCTCGGCCTGATTTCGTGATCTGTAGCCTCCAGAATCGAAATAAAAAGGCATTTCGGATAAATTGCCCGAAATATGTGATGGTACCCCTTTGGAATCAGCTAAAAATTGACCCGGAATAAATCCGCCCAAATCGGTTCTTAATGGACTCAATCATCGTTGGAGAATAGCCTCAGGCCGAATCCGTGATCTGTAGCCTTCACTTTCCAAAGAAAATGGCCTTTCGTCGCCCAAGAAATTATGAAAATGCCATTCGAAAATAAATTGGCTGCTTATCGGACTTATCATCCATGGAGAATAGGGTCAATAGACTTCATTATTGGTGGACAATAGCCTCGGCCTGATTTCGTAATCTTTAGCCTCCAGAATCGATAGAAAACGGCATTTCGGATAAATCGTTTGAAATCTGTGATGGTGGAATCTGCCAAAATTGACCCGGAATAAATCTGCCCAAATTGGTGCTTAATGGACTCAATCATCGTTGGAGAATAGCTTCAGGCCGAATCCGTAATCTGTAGCCTTTAATATCCAAAGAAAATGGCCTTTCGTAGCCCAAGAAAATACAAAAATGACATCCGAAAATAAATTGGCCCAAATCGATGTTTAACGGACTTATCATCCGTGGAGAATAGGATCAATAGACTTCATTATCGGTGGAGAATAGCCTCGGCCTGATTCCGTGATCTGTAGCCTCCAGAATCGAAAGAAAATGGCATTTCGGATAAATCGCCCGAAATCTGTGATGGTACCCCTTAAGAATCTGCCAAAAATTGACCCGGAATAAATCCGCCCAAATCGGTGCTTAATGGACTCAGTCATCGTTAGAGAATAGCCTCAGGCCAAATCCGTGAACTGTAGCGTTCAATATCCAAAGAAAAATGGCAGTTCGTCGCCCAAGAAATTACGAAAATGCCATCCGAAAAAAATTGACCCAAATCGATGCTTAACGGACTTATCATCCGTAGAGAATAGGATCAATAGACTTCATTATCGGTGGAGAATAGCCTCGGCCATATTCCATGATCTGTAGCCGCCAGAATCGAAAGAAAATGGCATTTCGGATAAATTGCCCGAAATCTGTGATGGTACCTCTTTGGAATCTGCCTAAAATAGACCCGGAATAAATCCTCCCAAATCGATGCTTAATGGACTCAATCATCGTTGGAGAATAGTCTCAGGCCGAATCCGTGATCTGTAGCCTTCAATATCCAAAGAAAATGGCATTTAATCGCCCAAGAAATTACGAAAATGTTAACCGAAAATAAATTGGCCCAAATCGATGCTTAACGGACTTATCATCCGTGGAGAATAGGATCAATAGACTTCACTATCGGTGGAGAATAGCATCGGCCTTATTCCGTGATCTGTAGCCGCCAGAATCGTAATAAAATGGCATTTCGGATAAATTGCACGAAATCTGTGATGGTACCCCTTTGGAATCTGTCAAAAATTGACCTAGAATAAATCCGCCCAAATCGGTGCTTAATGGACTCAATCATCTTTGGAGAATAGCCTCAGGCCGAATCCGTGATCTGTAGCCTTCAATATCAATAGAAAATGGCATTTCGTCGCCCAAGAAATTACAAAAATGCCATCCGAAAATAAATTGGCCCAAATCGATGCTTAACGGACTTATCATCAGTGGAGAATAGGATCAATAGACTTCATTATTGGTGGAGAATAGCCTCGGCCTGATTCCGTGATGTGTAGCCTCCAGAATCGAAAAAAAAATGGCTTTTCCGATAAATAGCCCGAAATCTATGATGGTACCCCTTTGGTATCTGCCAAAATTTGACCCGGAATAAATCCGCCCAAATCGGTTCTTAATGGACTCAATCATCGTTGGAGAATAGCCTCATGACGAATCCGTGATCTGTAGCCTTCAATATCCAAAGAAAATGGCATTTCGTCGCCCAAGAAATTACGAAAATGTCATCAGAAAATAAATTGGCCCAAATCAATGCTTAACGGACTAATCATCCGTAGAGAATAGGATCAATAGACTTCATTATCGGTGGAGAATAGCCTCGGCCTTATTCCGTGATCTGTAGCCGCTAGAATCGAAAGAAAATGGCATTTCGGATAAATCGCCCGAAATCTGTGATGGTACCCCTTTGGAATCTACCAAAAATTGACCAGGAATAAATCCGCCCAAATCGGTGCTTAATGGACTCAATCATCGTTGGAGAATAGCCTCAGGCCGAATCCCTGATCTGTAGCCTTCAATATCCAAATAAAATGGCATTTAGTCGCCCAAGAAATTACAAAAATGTCATCCGAAAATAAATTGGCCCAAATCGATGCTTAACAGACTTATCATCCGTGGAGAATAGGATCAATAGACTTCATTATCGGTGGAGAATAGCCTCGGCCTGATTTCGTGATATATAGCCTCCAGAATCGAAAGAAAATGGCATTTCGGATAAATCGCCCGAAATTTGTGATGGTACCCCTTTGGAATCTGCCAAAAATTGACCCGGAATAAATCCGCCTTAATCGGTGTTTAATTGACTCAATCGTCGTTTGAGAATAGCCTCAGGCCGAATTCGTGATCTGTATCCTTCAATATCCAAAGAAAATGGCATTTCATCGCCCAAGAAATTACGAAAATGTCATCCGAAAATAAATTGGCCCAAATCGATGCTTAACAGACTTATCATCCGGGGAGAATAGGATCAATAGACTTCATTATCGGTGGAGAATAGCCTCGGCCTGATTCCGTGATCTGTAGCCTCCAGAATCGAAAGAAAATGACATTTCGGATAAATCGCCCGAAATCTGTGATGGTACCCCTTTTGAATCTGCCAAAAATGACCCGGAATAAATCCGCCCATATCGGTGCTTAATGGATTCAGTCATCGTAGGAGGATAGCCTCAGGCCGAATCTGTGATCTATAGCCTTCAATATCCAAAGAAAATGACATTTCGTCGCCCAAGAAATTACGAAATTGCCATCCGAAAATAAATTGGCCCAAATCGAAGCTTAACGGACTTATCATCCGTGGAGAATAGGATCAATAGACTTCATTATCTGTGGAGAATAGCCTCGGCCTGATTCCGTGATCTGTAGCCTCCAGAATCGAAAGAAAATGACATTTCGGATAAATCGCCCGAAATCTGTGATGGTACCCCTTTGGAATCTGCCAAAAATTGACCAGGAATAAATCCGCCCAAATCGGTGCTTAATGGACTCAATCATCGTTGGAGAATAGTCACAGGCCGAATCCGTGATCTGTAGCCTTCAATATCCAAAGAAAATGGCATTTCGTCGCCTAAGAAATTACGAAAATGTCATCCGAAAATAAATTGGCCCAAATCGATGCTTAACGGACTTATCATCCGTGGAGAATAGGATCAATAGACTTCATTATCGGGGGAGAATAGCCTCGGCCTGATTTCGTGATCTGTAGCCGCCAGAATCGAAAGAAAATGGCATTTCGGATAAATAGCCCGAAATCTGTGATGGGAACTTCTATGTATCTACTGACCATGCACATAGAATACATGATATTAGGAAGAGTTGCTGTGATGTATAGTAGCTAGGCTTCCAATCATCTGCTTGTATTCAGTGGCATTGATCGAATTTCCATCTCATGTCTTCGTGTTATCTGTGTATTTTGGTTTGTTGTACTTCAACTCCCAAGATATACCTCATTCTTCCCCCAGACCTATCGTCAAATATTCAGCGTCCATTGAACACTTGAACTCTTTAATCATCTCAAGATCATTGCTTGCATAAACGACATCATCAACAAATATAGGTGTTTCAATTTTCTTGACAAATAAGGTGTGATCATAAGGAAACCTCTCAAACCCATGTGTCGCAAAATAACCTTCAATCAAGTTGTACCGGCCTCATGGTTTCTGCTTTAGTTCACAGAGAGCCTTCTTTAATTTTTAGACTTTACTTTCCTTCCCATCGACCACAAAGCGTTGTGGTTGCTTTACATAAACTTCTTAAGCCAACTCCACATCCAAAAATGTAATTTTTTTTACATCAATTTCAAATCCACTCAGACCATAAGAAGCATTAAGATTAGGAAAGGTTATGATAGTATCCCATCTGACTACTAGAGCAAATACATCAGTGTAGTTTATCCCTTGAGAGTATTCCTTAGCAACCAATCTTATTTTAAACGTATTAACTAAGTCATCTTCCTTGAGTTTAGTTCTGACTAGCCACTTGACTCCAATAGCTTTTGTTCCAATAGCAAGGTAGTTAGGAACCAGGTATTATTTGATTTTTGCAGTTATCTTGTCTTCAATGCCCTTGAAAAATGTTCTTGAAGTTGCAGAGTCTACAAGTTTTGTATCATTTCCAAGCTTGACAACTCCAGTTCTTGAACTCTCCAAAGTTGTAAACCAGTCCTTGTTTCCTATCATGTGGTTGCTACAACCTGAGTCAAGAAACCATCATCCCTCATTAGCTACTAGCATCCTATTGTACCACATCAATTATAGAAATTAACTAAACATCATCATTAATATCAATGGAATCTGAGAAATGAGCATGTTATTACACCATTTAGGGTACACATTTGTTAAATGCTCTAATTTATGGCACTTGAAGCACTCTAATGTACCTCTTCCATTTTCTGATCTTCATCCACTTCAACCTTTTCTTCAACCAGAATAATATCATCTTCCTCCTTTTCCACCTCTATATCTAGTGCCATGAGAAACCTTTCGTGCTTAATTCTATTCAAGAGGCGAGTTTCTTGCGAAATTTATGCTCATGAACCAACAGTGAACTCTAAAGAGCATATATAAAGGTACAAATTCATTTAGTAGCATACAAAATTTGTATTTTTATGTTATGGTACATCTCAGTGTGCACCATAACATAAAGGTACAAATTCAGTTTGAAGCATGAAGAAACTTGTACTAAATAGTATAGGTACAAATTGAGTTTGTAATATAATGTTAAATGTAAAATTTTAGTTTGTACCATATATAATAGATTTTTTTAAGCCAAAAATTCTCATCCAACTCTTTATAACCATCAGCAACTATCAGGCTTGTCAATCCGACCCTTTGGAATAGGTCCGAACAAAGTCGGTGCCGAAAACGGCCCCGTAAAGCAAGTTTGCCTCCAAATCGCGGTCAAAATCACGAAAACCAGTGGTCTGGCTGGATTGATATAATATATAGGGTTAATATAATATGTATTAGTTGTTAAATTACTATACATGTCAAATTACATTCTTGTTATTCAAATCTTAAATTATTAACATATATGCACGTATATTTCTATAATACGAATAAAATCATTGAATGAATTGGATCTCGATTTCGATCATTAAACCCCAAACTATTTACTTGACCGGCTCAACCACAATTAACATTGATAAGGAAGTCTTTTCATCCATGGCAGTCGACAATGGACCAATTTGTCCTCACACACACACGTTTACGAGTTGGGCCGTCGTCCGGCCCTACTCTCCACTCATAGAATCTGGGCCCGCCCGGCCAAATTTACAGCCAATCCTCGCTTGTCGCACAAAACGCCACCGTATCACGCATGTCGACAACATTTGCTCTCCGGTGCTTCCTAAGCGCGGCAAGCGCTTTGCCGCCACCACGCGCTGCTCACCCGTTTTACATGTCCTCTGTCGGCAACGAAGGGAATTATTTCCCACTTCATCATCCCACCGTTCAATCCTACACCACACTTCCACGTCATCACCATCAACGGTTTTGGGTACCGCCAAAACGCCTCGGATCCTTCACTGCGAGCGGCCGCGCATTATATATCTCCATAAATGAACCAATTTTTTTGGTTAATTTGAAGAGGAGATCATTACAGCGAGAAACGAAAGGGACTACTGAAAGATAGACAAAAAAAAGGGTTTTGGGTTGTTTCCGTTGCGTCTGTAGGCAAAGGCAAAGCCGAGGTTTTTGGACGCTTCCCCCCAGCTCAGTTCCAGTCCAGACGCTTCTATGGCGGAGCAAGAGGTGAAGAAACCGGAAGCTGAACCCCCAGTTGTAGCTGAAGCTCCGGCGCCGCCGGCTGCCGTGGAGGAGAAGACCATGGTTCCCACGCCGGAAGAGGCCAAACCGGAGAAGACCCATGAAGAATCCCATGCTCTGGCTGTGGTAGAAGCAAGTAAGCTTCCTTGGGTTTTCTAAAGCTAATGGCTTTCCCCCCCTCTTTCTGTGTGATGAGTCCCAATTGGGCAATAATTGAATTCCATGTTTTGCTTTGCTGCTACAATCTGGAAACCTGCAGAAGCTGCTTCATTTATGGTGCTGTCATGTTTTTTTCTTTTTTTCTTTTTCAATTACCATATGGTGGGCATTTTTAGGCTTTGCTGTCCTTTTCCCTTCCCTGGAATATTGCCAGTGTGGCAAGCAGCAGCATAGCTTTGATTCTTGCTTTTTTCTTCTTGGGGAAGTTGGTTAATTTTCCAGGCAAGGCGATTACTTTTAGTTACAGATATTTGTGGAGATGATTGTAGAGTGAGTTTCAGCAGTAGCAAACTGGCACAATTGCCTTTTGTTTTCCCTTTTGCTTGAATGATTTGTTTAGTTGTAAATTAGGAGGTGGGGTGGGGGGGATTTGTCCTCCCTGTCTCCCCACATCCACATGCACTTTTAGATTTTCAGAAGGGAAAAAAGCTTCATGTGCAGCACTGGCAATGATCATAAATGTGTGTGGTCGTTAATGGAATCGTCAATTTTGCCAGCTCTCCCAAGCTTGACTTTAATGGCATCTCAAAAAGGACTGTTGTTGGGTCCTACTTCTTTGGATGCCATGGCATGGGATATAATGGAGATTGATCAAAAGGGGAAAAGATATCATAATTGTAGGGGAGTGGGCTTTAATAATTACAGGGTCTCCTGCAATTTCGACAATTTTATGTGTTCTAATGTGTTGATTATTATTATTAGTGCTGGAAAGCTTTGATGTGTGGATTATCCATCCTGTTACTCACCGCTTTTTGTAAAAATACCAACTAAGCAAGTTTTTGTCACTAGTTAGTTGCAACCTGGATTTTATGTGTAATGAATGCTACCACTTGATGCTGGCTTCGAATCTGTTTTTACAAAGAGAAAGGGAACCTCTCTGCTTTCCCATGTTTTTCTTTTATGAGGATAAATCCCTTATAAGGAAGGGACTTGATTTGTCTGTGACTCAATTGTGGTTCCAAGTTGCTTAGGAAGACTGCAAGTGTCTTAATTCACTGCTACATAGCTATGGGAATTAAAAGTATGCTCTTTCGCGCTTCTTCTTTGCTTGGATTAGTCAGCGTTCGTATTAGATAGATGGCAGGCATGCAAACAATATTACTATTCTCTGTTGTATGTATTAACCTAACTGTTCCCTTTATTTGATGTGAATCACTACAGAGGCTTCAGAGCCGGTTCCGAAGAAGATATCGGGTGGATCGCACGATAGAGGCAAGTTGTGTGTTGTTGATAGCCACCAATATTTCCCACCTTCTATTAAAAGTGTTCTTGAATTAGGTTTTGTATGGGATTGAGTTGTTTCTCTCATGGTTTGGTCATTCTTGGGATGGCATTGAGAGCCTCTATCAACATCTCTTTACTGGGTTTTTTATATTTCATAACTCCAATGCTCTCACCTGGGACCATCATGTTATTTATGTTGTGAGGCGACTTTCTAACCAAGTGGTCTTCTTTTCTATATTGTTATTACTTTCCGCAGATGTTGCTCTTGCTGATCTTCAGAAAGAGAAGCAGACGGCATTCGTCAAGGCATGGGAAGTCACTGAGAAATCTAAAGTGAACAACAAGTAAGGGCCAATCCACATCTTACTTCTTCTTCTTTATGTTTGTTTGTGTACTATAGCCCTCTCAAATTCAGTTGCGCGGGTGTTAGTAACCTCCAAACAAAGGGAAAAGTCCGTGTTAGGAGCGACCTGACTAGATTTATGTTACCGAACGTGAATTGGAGCTACTCACCATGTCTGCTCACTTTCTTTCATGTCACGCATTTAAAGCAGAAACTGCACTTGTATCCTTTCTGCAATTTATATAAACAAAGGGGGTAAACCTATTGTACAGGGCTCAGAAAGAAATCTCTGCTGTTTCTGCATGGGAAAACACCAAGAAGTCAGCTGTGGAAGCTAAACTGAAAAAGCTCGAGGTAATAATCAACTGGTGCTCAGTTTAGCAGACTGTGGGACGAAGAAGAAACGAAATGGTTTCTTGGTAATGAAAGCAGGAGTTAGTAAGGTTAACAATGAACGGATGCCTTTGCAGGAGCAATTGGAGAAGAAGAAGGCTGAATATGGGGAGAAGATGAAGAACAAAGTGGCTCAAATCCACAAAGAAGCTGAAGAGAAAAGGGCTATGGTGGAAGCCAAGCGCGGGGAGGAGATTCTGAAAGCAGAGGAAATGGCTGCCAAATACCGTGCCACTGGCCAAGTTCCAAAGAAGCTGCTCGGTTGCTTCTGAAAAACAAAAAGGCCATGGATACAATGCAACTATAAGACTGAGAGCTCCTCCTTCTGTGTGTTTTACCTTCAAAAAATTTTCATTTTGTGTTCCTTTCTGCCACTGAACTTTGGCTATATATGTTTTGTGAACGACGAAGGGTAACCATGTGAGCAAATGTACTTTTCTGTAAGATCTCATGTGTCCATATGTACAAAAAAACGAATGAATCCAAGTCTGTATTTTACTATTTTTCACTCATTTACTCTTTGCAACCTATTTCCCTTTCAATGCTGAATTCACATGTACAAGGAGTCTTGCGAGCTCATATGTCAAACAGGAAAATGTGTTATAAGTTTAATCCTTTAAACGAATCATTAAAGGTGTACCAATAGCACTCAATTGTGACAAAAGAAATCTCCCTTGGGAATTGCACAGATGAACAAAGCCAGCAAGCAATTATGTACACATTTTAACATTTGTTTTTTTATGGCTTTCACATTAGTACTTTCAACTCTTGAATCTCTATCTCATCCTCTTTTTAATCCGAATACCTTTTTGAAGTTTTCAAAGATTTTCCTTGTAGTGTATTTCATGTGTTAGCAGCTTCTCTAAAAACCTATTTATTTTATACATCAGTTTAGGATGACAATAGTACGGACAAAATCGGGTTTCTCTAAACTCAAATCCATTTTAACGAGTGCATTTATTAAAAAAATTAGGTAAAATACTTCATTGGATTTTAGAAGTAAAAACTCAACCTAATCCAATGGATACCACGGGTGTATGGGTACTCACGTACATGCACATAACCATCTATCATTTTTTTTAATTACCCACATCGTAATATCATCACGATAATAATGGATATAAAAGTTTCCTTGTATTGTCTAGAGACAAAACCTAATGAAACCAACATGTTGTTCCTTTTTCTAATAATTTGTATTGTTCATAATTTACTGAATTAAACTTCGGTTTTCAAATTTTTGTAAAAGTGAGTTGTATTGATTGTAGTTTACACAATGATATCCATTATGATATATTTCAAATTTAAAAATTAATTATTTTTTATGCCACAATGGCATGAATAGACACTATTATTGAGTGAATAATACAGATGAAACAAGTTCATTGTGATCTACAAAATAATATATGTTTCGATATATTTCGAGAAAATGTTTATGTACCACCCATTACCACTTTTGTTTTCAACTCAAGTTTTGAATTTTTTTGCACATAATCTGACGATTTCATCGTGATCTATTGCGCTGAAAGAGTTTTATGGGATGACTCTTAACGGAACAAAAAAATGTAAAGAAAGTTTTGAGACATTAGTCGACCATATATTGGTTTGGAAGTCCTATGGGTATGGCACTCCTAGAGACAAGCTTCTTGGTGAATAATCATCAACCACATCCATCCTGCTATTTGCTGAATATCTATTACTATTGCATGATATTGCCACAAATGAAGTGAATAAACATAAATTGTGTGAATGAAGAGCAAAACACATAAATTAGACGTTAACAACATGAATTAAGCACCTTTTAACTTCAGTTGCTGTACCCAGCCAGCCGCACCCATAAAAGGAGCACTGTGATAAAGCCAACCACAAGGTAATAAGCAAACACAAGATTTTGGTCCTCTCTTTCTACCACCCTACTAGCTTTACAAATGGTTTGCGCCTACAGAGAACAATAACTAGAATGGCAGCCAAAAACACAGAGCTGTAAATCTCTTCAGAGATGGCAAATGAGGGAGCTTCCGTAAGAGTTAGCATAGTTATCATTCAAGTCCCCTTCCAAGAAACTCATGTCGTTGTTGATAGGAAAATCCAGCAGCAGTTGCAGCGCAGTGTCCGACGAATCCTCCATATCACTAGAGCTCGAAGACTCAGCCGAAGATTTCCTACTCTTACATTCCATCTCATCATTTTGACAGCTTGTGGTCGCTGAAGACATCCCCGCCAAACTGTTGTTAGCCCCACATTTGGTGGATGAAGATGCCTGAGAAGCCGGGCTCGGACAAACAGCAGTGCTCGTAGTCGTAGCAGTAGTACAGGGTTTGTCAGTTTCTCCGCCATTGTTGTTGAAGCTGCGGAAGGACTCGCCCACTTCAGAGTTCCATATGCGAAGGAAGTAATCAGCTTCTGCTTTCCCTGAAGATGGTGTTGGGTTATTGAAGAGCGAGGATTCCCGGCCGAGGCGGGCCTCGGCTTCGAGCCTGGCGCTCTCCCACTGAGTCATGTGGCGAGTTGCAGGGGAGGCTGGTGCCTTTTTCAGGGAGCCGCCGCAGGGGCTGCTGAGTGGCTTGTGAGTTTGTGGGTCGAGCCCCATACAGAGCAGCCGCTTCTTCAAGTGGGTGTTCCATAGATTCTTGATCTCGTTGTCTGTTCTTCCCGGAAGCTGAGAAGCAATTGCAGCCCACCTGAGATAGAGAAGAAAAAAAAGAACAGTTGTAAATTTCACAGAGGCAAATCAACAAACAACTTGAATGCATTGCAAGAAGAGAAAAATCCCCAACGAATTTGCTGACTATACCTGTTCCCGAGAATGCCGTGGAGCTGAATGACGAGCTTCTCTTCCTCGGGAGAGAAGGGACCCCTTTTGATATCTGGGCGGAGATAGTTGGTCCATCGAAGCCGGCAACTCTTTCCACACCGAAGGAGGCCTGCGGAGACATCAATCAAGCCCCTCAACCGTAAGCTCCAAGGAAGAAGAAAGAAGAAAGATTAAGAGAACCCCATTTCCGATTTCGAGAAACCCAGTAAAACCCATGAATCAATTAGCCGCAGTGTCTCCATCCCAGAAAGTGATAGATGTAATAATACAGTACTAACCAGAAAGCTTAGGGACAGAACGCCAGCTGCCATGGCCGTTCTTCTGGATGTAGGAAACGAGAATCTCGTCCTCTTCAGCCGTCCATGGACCTCGCTTCAACCCTTTCTTATCGCAGCAAGGGGTCCTCCCCATTCTTCTGCGATCTTCGCACTTTCCAGAGAGCGAGCGAGTGAGAAACTCAAAAAAAACAGAGGAAAGAAAGACACAGCCGCTTGCTGCCAAGTGAAAAATCAAACATGTAACAGCAAAAGACGAGAGAGAGAGAGAGAAGAAGAAGAAGAAGAGCTCAGGAGGAGCAGAGCAGAGCATTAAATGAAGGGAAAGGGAGTTCGAGCTCGAGCAGTGTTTATCTAGGGTGAGCCGAAAGCGAGCGATATTCAATTTTCGTGGGGATGCATTGCAGCAGCCAGCAGTAGCAGGAAGGAACCAAAAGGACGATCTCTCTCAGCGAGTTTGAAGCTGTCACTGCAATAAATTTTGAAATCTGGTATTTAATTTGGGCACAAGAATTCCAGAACCAATAATACGATGTCGTATTTCGTGTCTAGTGTCTACATTGATTGATTTTAATATAATAGTTTATTTTTACTCATGAATAGATTTCACCACATGTACTTTCTCCGCCGAGACCAAACAATTTCACATGCACTTCCATGTGGAATTTAATAGCATATACTATTCAACCTTTGTGATTTTATAGCATACTATTCAACCTATATACTACTTAGCAATATCTTTAAGCACAAGCCAAAATCTTTGAACTAGGGATTTTTTTTCCCAAAGTGTCAAAGTTCATTAAAAAAAAATTCACACAATACTTGTAACAAAAATTCTCAATCTATACAAGTTTGGGTTAGATAGATCGATGTAGTGTTCAGCGATTTAGTATGTTAATCTCGGACGACAACATCGATCAAGGTAATATGCAGTGTACAACAGCGATGAACAAATTGTTCGCTTGAAGATGCAGTGTTTCCCATAAATTGTGTTTGTAATTCGTGATTAAAAATGATCACGTTGTTGGCAGGCAATTTATCCAGACGAGGGGACTCATATCGCATCTAGCCCACGCGATGAACATTTCGTGGTTCTTGATCGCACGACCCGGAAGTGATGTAAGATGGAGTTCGAGATGGCAATGGGGCGGGTTTGTCTAAAACAATCCCAACTCCATCCCCATTTCCAAATACCCAAACTCATACCCGCCCCTTGCCCATGCGGTGGAAGGTTTTACAAATTCATTCCCATACTTGCGGTTTTCGGATACCCATGGGTAATACCCGCCCCATCAACTACTCACCATTAATAAAAGAATAAGGTGACAAATATGGATACGACCAGCACAAAATTATGGAACTAAAACATAAGAGGATGAAAATTACGGTTTGGTTGCCATCAATTACATTTTAACACTTTGTTTTTCTTTTAATTACCCTTCATTCCATTGACAAGTTACAATAGACTCCTTATATACTCATATCAAACCCTCCTTGGTGGGGGAGGGTTTGGTATGAGTATGGGTATAAGGTGGGCCGTGGGGGGTCCAAAACCATACATGCCCCATAGCCATCAACCTTTTTGCGGGTTTTACCCATACCCGCCCCATACCCAGTCAAAGCAGGGCCATTCCTAGATGGAGCAATATTATTGGTCTGTTCCTAAGGACACATATTGCAATGGCTAGGCCCTTAGAAGCGACTTAAGCTCATCCACCCAAACCCTAATAATAAGCACAGTAGCACACCACCACTCAAAGTATACTCAGTATGCTCAGTGATTGCGACTAAACTCGATCTCCCATATCATAATATTTTTATGGGGTTGTAATATGGACTTCCTTCCCTCAAAATTCTCGAAGAACCTTTACTTCCACCACTCAAGGTATTCTCACAAAATCATAATGAACTAAGCAATATCTTCATCTCAAGTGCAACAATGTTGACAAGGTTTCCCGTCTTATCATGGCAATTTATGCTAGCACGAATAAGTTTGAAATATTATAAGTTTTGTTTAGGGGCGACGAGAGGGGAAAAGTAAGGTGCACTTAGTGTCGGAGACAATTTGCAAGCCTAAAAGTGAGGGAGGTCTGGGGTTGAGATCTGTCGGGAATCTCAACCTAGCCTACATTGTGAAGTTGGCTTGGCAAGTGCTTAACAATGAAGTTGGTAGAAATATTAGAAGTTTTGTTAGAAGGAATGGAGTTGGCATGGTAGAGAGGGCATAAGAAAGATTGAGGTTGAAATGGACTCTTCTGTTGTCCTGTCTATCATTCATAACTGGAGGGAGAACTCACATAGCCATTGTCTGCTTGCCAAGCAGATCAACAACCTTAATGACCGTGACCGGAAAGTTAGATTTATTCATGCTTTTAGAGAATGTAACATTGTAGCTAATTTCCTTATTTGTAAGGAAAATTCTTTTGATTTTGGTACACATCCATTTGATGTGTGCGATCACAATCTGAAGCATTGGCTTTTGTACGATTCACTACGTATATCCATGAATCGCGTTCTTTCTAATACAGAGCTAGCTAGGTGGTTAGAACTCTGCCTCGCCGACCCTTCCTCATCCCTGTTCTTATCTTAACTTATTACCTTCCCATATTTTACCATCCTTGCCTGTTGCAATCAGCTTATTAAAACACCCATGACCCTTAATGTCCCGAAAAAACTTGAACCAAAGAGAAACATGTTTTGAGAAAGCAAAAGAAAAAGGTTCGATTTTGAAACTAACTGCAACGCGTAAAGTAAATGCTGGGGATCTCTTTTTAATGATTTATTACGCGATGAACGAATGAACGGATGAATGAGAACAATTATTTATCCTGAATCATCATATCATTGAGGAGAAGGAAGTGGGAAAGAAGAGTAAAAAGAAAACAAGAAAGAAAGAGCTGAGGTTCTCTGTTGCGCAAACAGTGAAAAGAGTTAATGCTGGCTGGGCGAGTTTCTTGTTTCGATATCTTTCTTCTTGTCACAGGACTGGCAAAGGAGGGGGAAATGGCACAGCTGCGGAAGAAGAAAAAGAGGGTGAAAGCGAAAGGCATTAAAAGCAGATTCGTTCGCGATCAGAGACTTTCACTAATTATGGCGCCACAGACAGAGATGGAAACAGAAACAGGGGTAAACAAAAAACAGAGTGGCATAAGTGGAGAGAGACAGAGAGAGGCAGCCACACAGCAAGCAAAACCCTCCTCTCTCTCAATTCTAACCTCTAATATCCAGTCAATGATGTGGACTTCGGAAGTCCAAAGATCGTATGGAGGAAACAGCTTCCTTGCAAATGGCGACTTACACCTCCTCGGCTGACTTTAATGGTGAAGATTGAAGACGACGCGTTCTTGAAAGACCGTCACAGGATTTGTTTGGTTTGTTGGAAAATGGGATAAAAGAACTGGACCATGCAAAATACATTTTTATACCCACAACTTTCCCGTTTGTGATAATAATAACCTATTTCAAAAAAATACCTGATATAGCCGCATTCTTTTAAATTTGTTTGACTAATTTAATCATTTCCGTCCAATACTTTAACACGTTCAACAATTCTATCAGTTAAATGGACGTCAAACTGATGTGGATGCCACTAGAACAACACGTCATGTCCACCTAGACTTATCATATGCCGCGTGAATGCTACATCACATTTTAAATTAAACGAAAAAGAAAAATCTTATGTACCGCCGTCTCTCTCTATCTCGTCCGGCTAGATCTAGCTTAACCTTTGTCCCTGCCTTCTTCCTCCGCTATCCACACAACAACCACCGCCACCTGCTGCAATACCACCTCTGGTAGCACTTCCAAGTCACCGTCGTCGTCAACATCGCCTTCCTCTCGTGCGGTGGTGACGAAAGGGTTCCTCGCTGTTCCGATTGAAAGAGAGAAGGGTATGCATTTTGGATCCGTAGCTACTCCGAGCTCTCACAAAAGCATCGCGACGACAAGAGAGTTTGCCAGGCTTCGTCACCGTTTCCGGAATCCCAAACCAAGAGCTATCTTCCTCCATGATCATAACCGATTCGCCACTGAAAAGGGGAACCCCACAATACCAATCGCCGTCAAGGAGAAGTGGATTCTGAGCTTGAGGATTTGGCGAAGGGGCTCGACTTCGGGATTTGGGATCTTTGGAGCTTCTCTCCTCCGTTGATTGAGAATAAACGAAGGAGTTCCAGGTTAATGTGACCCGCCACTACCGTAGTCGAAGCATCTCATTCTGCGGCTGGACTATTGTAGTTGGCGAGGCCAGTGGTTCTTCATCACCACCGCCGTCATCATCCTAAGCACACACACATCTAACCTGCAATTATACTTCCAACCTAAGCACACACATCTACCAAGAAAGCGGAGCAAAACAGAGGAAACTCGCGACTTCAAAGTCCAGAGACACTTTATTACTGGCACTGAAACCAGAGGATAGTTGAAACGAAGAAACAAAGCGATCGTCTTCTTTTGTCTTGGCCTACAACCAAAGCCAACAGTTCACCACAAGAAGCAGGAAATACTGTGCCAAACCAGACTCGGAGTGAAAGGAAGAGGTCAAATAACAAAACGCACACATAGAACATGGACTCACTAGACCATCCATGCATCATCATTATCTAAGTTCGGCTCTCAGAGAGAAACCACTCAACTCCTGGACCTACTACCATCCTGTTTACCCGTTCAGGGCATCAAGTACTTGGAAAAACTCTCAATAGGAAGCAATGCCAGGTTAAGACAAACAACGCCCACATGGAATTCAAATGCCTTCTACCACCAATTCTTCCATCTTTTCAGAATTCAAATGTCCCAACTTCAATCCTGCATAAATAACATCACCAAAAATAATGCACAATTGGCACATAAGCTGCTACCAGTAGAAGTCACAAAAAGAAAGGGACTTATCAGCTCAGTTTACCAAGTAATAGAACCCTAAAGAAAAATGCTTTAAGAGTATGGGCCATCGACATAGGTACAATAACTCACCATTGCCCGTCCTGTTGCTGCCCACGATCATTGACTACAGGGAATAACATCTAACACATGCTACCGGCAATAGATTGCCTGATCAATATGTGGAGGAATCTGCTTTATTTCAGTGCCAAGTTCTTGCTCAATCCTATACCTGTAATGGCATTTTAATATTCAGCATGCATATTTATCCCCTCCAGAATCCACAATAATAGCATCCATCAAACAGAAGAAATGGTAAAATAATACATACAAATTGAAACGGTCCTCGTAGGTGATCAAATTCACAGCCAAACCGAGGTGTCCAAACCTCCCAGATCGACCAACCTGCAAACAACAAAATCTAGCTAAGTACATAAAACAGATGGTTTAGATATTAATAAACATAAAAAGCGACATACATACCCTGTGTAGATATGTTTCCGCGTTCTTGGGGAAATCAAAGTTAATAACAACGTTCACTGCCTGAATATCTATACCTCTGGTAAATAAATCTGCAGAAAATTTCATCTGAAACATTAGTAGGATGATTAAAGGATATCTCATTTAAAATATCAGCATTTTCTAATAATGACACAAAGCAAAAATCCCTCCCATTTTAACCAAAATTTAGTCCTCTGGGCATACTTAAAATGTATAAGTTTTTTCTTTAATAATTGGGATGTATTTCAATCAAGGAGAATCCAGGAGAGGGAACATGTCATATGCATGGGAATCTACAGAAAGAACACAAAACAGGGAAGACTGGAAGAATGAAGAAACCAAAATATCCTCATTAGTTGAGCCATCAACTTGACCAGGCATGGCCATATTCTCATATCCGATGATAGCCACTATAGCATATACCTAATGATTCTTTTAATCTTACAATGCCATCAAGAAATATTATTTATTATTATTAGAGCTATCACTACGACTACTATTATTGTTGTTGTTGCTCAGGTGGCAGTTTAGAGGTTGAATGTTACTTGAACTCCTTGCTTCCTCACCAATCCTCCGACAAAGAGTAACATCTTGAATTCAAATTTTCGCAACTGAGTTTTAAAACCAACACTAAATAACAACTTATCATTTTACAGTGAAATGAATTGGGTCACTACTCATTCATTCCTCTTGCCAGTTAGTGTTCAGTTTTACAAACATTCTTCACGTGAAGGAAGAAAATGAGTAAATCCCAGAACATAATTTTTCTACCACAGAGATGTTTGGCAAGAGCAAATAACATAAACATGCAAAAGCCAAGAAGAAATGAATCACATACCAGTGCAAACAAGATTCCTGCATGCACCATTGCGGAAGTCATGGAACACTCTATTACGGTGATCTTGCAGCATTTTTGCGTGAATATAGAAACACGAATAGCCAAGTTCTGTAATCTTCTTGGCCAGCAGTTCTACACGATTTACTGAGTTGCAGAAGATGATAGACTGGTTTATTTGCAGCTGCAGGTAAAACCACTATTCATGAGACCAAAAGTTTGAGATACAAGGAGGACCAAACCAACTAATTTTTTGTATCATACCTTAGAAAAGAGAGTATTCAGACAGTGGACTTTCTGTCGTTCCTCAACAAAAGCATAGAACTGGGTAATACCCTTAAGCGTTAACTCGTCCATAAGGTTGATGACATAAGGCTTGTGAAGATAACGACCTTTGAAGTCCTTTACAGTAACAGGAAATGTAGCAGAGAACATTAAAATCTGCCGGCTTCCAGGAAGAAAACGAATCAACTGCTCAATTGAAGGTTGAAACTCCGGAGACAATAGTTTATCAGCCTGAGACAGGAAATGAGGTAAGATCATACACACAGTAGTTATATGTCAAGATGAGGAGAATGATTCACTCCCTGAGCTATAACAAACAAAGTGCACAAGCAATGCCCTATTTCAGACTTTCAGCCAGGCACCGACAACTGTTTCAGTTTCTCATGGAATCCTAGCGAGCCGGTTATTCCATGTTTGATTTAGCAGACAGTAAACCCTGTGTTACCAACACAAGTTTTCAAAACCACAGGCCACATACAATCAATACCGCACTGCCAAATGCCAATTAACAGTGTCCATAAGAAGTCTACAACTAAGACCAGCTTTTACAGACGGCGGTTGACAACACAAGGTTGCCCAAGATTTAAACATAGCAGTGATGCAAAAAAAAAACACAATTAGGACTTGCATTGCTTTTGAATGCACGCATTAACAGAAATACCGAATAAATGAAGAAGCAAATTGACACCAACCTCATCCATAACAAGCATTGAGCAGTCTTTCAAAATGCAGACACCCTTTTTTGCAAGATCTAGAATTCTTCCAGGAGTCCCAACAAGCAGATGGACAGGTTGATACAAACGCATGATGTCATCCTTCAAACTTGTACCACCAGTAGTAACCATTACTTGAATTTTCAAATGTTTTCCAAGCTCTTTACAAACTTGAGAAGTCTGAAGAGCTAACTCACGAGTTGGCACCAAGATAACAACTGCAAGAAATGCACAGGAAAGAACTGAGAGAAGAACTTGTAGTAATAAAAGCAGTCTCGTACTACCTAGTCAATCTGGTAGAGTAAGTATATAGTATCTATACTAACTACCAAGTGCTAATTTCCATTTTAATCATCACGTCTCTCAAACTAAGTCCCAAGTTTCCATATACTCACGAAAACCCAAAACCAACCAATAATGATTGAAGAAACAACAATGCAAAACAAAAACCTTTTTATACAATCAAGAATCAGCATCACATGGGTAGCTCACACAACAGGAGCTACAAGACAAACCTTGAATAACATTGTTATCCTGGTCAATTTTTTCCAGAGCTGGGATGCAAAATGCAGCTGTTTTCCCGGTTCCATTTTTAGCTCTAGCCAGAATATCACTGCCAGTAAGTGCAATAGGTATACTCTCTTCTTGAATCGGAGATGGTCTTTCAAACCCTTTCTCATATATTCCCATCAAAAGTTCACGCTTCAGAAAATAGTCCTCGAACTCGTTCCCTTTAGTAGCAGTGACATCCTGCAAACCATAAGAAGATGAGGAAGTTTGAGAAACAAAAGGATACTGGCAAAATCTAGTTCACCTCCCCAAACTGTATGACCGTGGTCCTTCACAGAAGTTTACACAAAGGACAATTAACATTTGCAAATAAAAACAAACTAGGGCATACACATCTAAGCACAACAATCTGCACCTTTTCAGAAACTGGGAATCTAGGGAAAAGGCAGTTTATGTATCCATTAAAGAGAGCAGCTGTAGGAATACATTACATTTACTTAGTGGATCACAATTGATCTCATTACTCATACATGGAAGACATAACATAGCAGCTTAAGTTACAAATTATTTTCTTAAAATAGCTCAAAGAACTAGAGCGCAACTCCATATGAACGAAAACAAATGGAGCCAAAAATGGAACAAAATGGCATGTCATTCAAAAGCAGAATGGAATGACCTGATAACCACAAACCATAGCTATCTCGCTGAGGACCTTACCTCTGTCCTGTAACGTGTATCTGCTGCAGGTATCTTTAGCCTTGCCTTCCAATCTTGCGAACTAAAACTCCAAAAGACAAATTAAGTATATAAGCAAGATAACCAACAGCGACAGCTGAGATAAATGCTGTACACACAAGCAAGAACATGCCAACAGAAACAGCAAATATATATCAACAAACTTAAAAGAAAAAAGGTATTGCATTAAGGAGCTATCTGTGATTCATCAAAGGTAAAGCAAAATAAAGGACCATGTGATTTGAAAATAAGCTCCTGGCATCCCAGCTTCAGTAAAAAATAAAACAAAACTCTTTGTTACACTCCCTTTATATGTGGCCCTTATATAGAATGAGAACTTTTGGTGAGCCAAAAAAAAGTTATATAGACTTCTTTTTCCCCGAGAATCTTCATAATCAGCAGTTAACTGGCCTACTCCTTTCCTAACGGAGTAGCAGTTCAGGATTAGTATGGAATATCTTTAGATCTAATTTTACCTAGGCCCCTATATATGCAGGTTTCCTCCCAAATCAGTCCACTCAACTTTGCTGACATAATTCTCATCCTAAATGTAGAAAAAGGGGGGAAATGCCTTCTTTGTCCGCATACATGATATCAAGGAGCAGCACAGAGAGCAGTAATCAATTCGAGAAATCCACCCATATCCAGACCTCCGGTATGCAGCACGTGTACTAGCTGGATGTCATTTACATGAGACAATCAGCAAGCATAGCGACAGACCTTATATTTTGAGAGAAGATATGCACCACGTGCAGTAGCCAGAGCTTTAGATGTTAACAGAAAGAAACTCACATGTGACGGCCAAATGTTACATACTAAAGCCAAAAAAAACCCTGATTCCAGTTATCTAATGACCACGGGAAGACTTATGTTGCAAATTGTCCACTTGTGAGAGATGCTAAGGCTACTCAGAGAATGTATCAAAACGTCCCAGAAAATTTTAGTCCAATGGCAGCTATTGCTCCGTGCCTCACAACACAAACAACAATAAGTCCCACTCCGACAATCTGGATTCAACTTAAGATAAATATTCCTACAGGCATTCCACGCTAGCCTTCCATCCCAGCTTCTCCTCACCATCTTACCCCCTCCCTCTTTTACCCTTCTCAACACAAAAACTTAACAAAGATTTAATAGTTCCATTACTTTCTCTTTCTTTCATACATCAGGCAATAAACATTGATAGATGCATTATATGCACAAACAAAACAGTAATGAAACCTAGAACCTGGATTGGACACACCAAAAACAAAGGGAAAACTGAGCAACATATACCCAATAAACAACTCAACGAAGCACATATTAAGTAGTATAAGAGTACCTGGAGTCAACGGCCTCAGATTGAACTGTCTTCTCCACCTCATCGACACTGGAATCCCCAGCAGGTAGCTGATTCCTCCTCAACCACTGCTGCTGTTGTTGATGCTGTTGTTGCTGTTGCTGCTGATGTTGCTGCTGGGGATTTTGAAACTGCTGATGGTTCTGCATCAAACCCCTCTGCACGTACTGCTGATGCGGGACCCTTGACTGAAAATTAGGGTTCGCATTCATTCCTCCGCCTCTCCCGACCCCAAGACCGGGAGGATACCTTGCTCGATTGTTGTTCATCGCTAACTAAACCAACTCCCTAACGTTAAGCTAACCGAGATGATTCAAAACCCCAGATTTTGTACAAGCAAGCTAAACAAAAGGGGGGAAACTAAGAAGAAAGATGCAGAAACTAGCCTAGGGTTTTCTCGAGAAAAGGACTACAACCAGACAGAGGCTACAAAACGGACTGAGGAATTAAACCCAGCTCTGCAGAAGGGAGCAGCACAGAAAGGACCGGAAGGAAGCAGAAAAAAAAAATTACAAAGGAGAAAGAGGGGAATAAACTGCAAGCCTAGGTTCAGTCGAAGCAGAGAAAGCGAGAGATAAGGGTTTTCTTCTTGTGGGAGGGGAGAGAGAGGATCGTGAAATCCAAGGCCGAAAATGCAGCGGATCTGAAGGAAGGAAGGAAGAGAGAAAGACTGGTTTAAACCTTTGTGGTGAGTTGCTGCTGCGGGCGGAATCGGGGGAGGATGATTTTGATTTCGAGGGTTTACAAGGGGAAGGAGAAGAAGGCAAGAGAAGTGGTTGCGAGATGGTTCATGGCGTTTTCTTCTGTGCTTATGATGATTGATGGGTGAGTGGTTTCTGGCTTTCTGCGAGCGAGCGAGCGAAAGGGAGAGAAAGAACGCCTTTTCTGCGGGACTTGTGATAATTCGGAAGGTGCCAAAAAAACTACGACGACGACGAAACGGAAACTACTTCTTCTAGGGCTTCAACATTCTATCCGGTCACCATGCCGATTGCGCTTCCCCACCATGTCCTCACTCACCGTTGAGATTAGATCCAATGGTCATATTGATGTAGAGATAGTAATTTTGTCAAAAATCATGAGTGTTTTGATTCCGTTTTTCTATTTGACGCAGTAAATTTATCACCATAAATTTTATTGTTGACGAGTGTTTCTATGGAACGAAAAATCGGAGCATCGACAAAAACAAGAAAAAAATGAAAGTGATTAACAAGCACGACACACGAATTTACGTGGTTCGCTAAGTTGTATTGTTAGCTAGTTCACGAGTAGGAGAGAGTCAGTTTCATTATACTCACAGGAGATACTGATTACAGAAGAGTATGACAAGTATTTATTGTACCTCTCCATGTGGTCTTAACCCTAATCCAATCTGTTAAAAGACGAGACCTCCGTGACTTCCAGTCAGCAGGGGCTGACCAATGAATTCTAGAGGCCCCTGTGGGTGGTCATTTTGGGGTATAAGCTACTTATTTGAGGTTGAAGAGGTGTTTTCTGTAGCCTAGTCTTAAATTGCATGTCAAGGAGTTTGTGAAGTTGTGTCATGTATGGAAGATGTCTAAATCTGAGAATGTCCCCTACCGTGGCATGTTACAGTCTTTACATGTTCCAAAAAGAGCATGTCAACATATCTTGATGAATTTCATTGATGGACTACCTAAATCCGCAGGGAAGGAAGTGGTGTTTGTTGTAACAGACAGATTCTCGAAATATAGATAGTTCTCCAGCTTAACAAGACCATATACTGTTGTAAGTAGGGATGGCAATGGGGCGGGTTTGGGGCGGGTTTGCCTAAACCATCCCCATCCCCGCTTTCAAATATCTATACCCATACCCGCCCCATACCCATGCGGGGGAAGTTTTTGCAAACCCATCCCCATACCCATGGGTTTCGGGTACCCATGGGTAATACCCGCCCCGTACATCCAACATTATAATACGTAATATTTTACATGTAGACTTTCAATTATAACATTAAACGCACCTACTATATTATGAAGTTTACAAAGAGACAATAATTTTTAATACGATTCAAAGCATCTCATCCTAAAGCATCCATTAATCCATATCAGAGTAGAGTACAATGTCATTCAAATCATTATTCTCTACTGTGATACATCTATTAAGTAATAATTAACTAACATAATCTTGTTAAGAAGGGAAAAAAGTGAAAGAGTGAAGGGAAAATTGAGACAAATAAATTAGATTTTGATTTGGGTGGTCACTTAATTGCATTTCTACTATATATTTTTATTGAGTTATACTCACTATTATTGATAGGTTACAAATCGATTCACATGTTTTTCATATGTGAAGAAATATTTTTGATGGGGCGGGTATGGATATGGGTATGGGGCGGGGGAGGCTAAAACCATACCCGCCCCATACCCATCAAACTTTTTGCGGGTTTTACCCATACCCGGTCAATGCGGGGATTCCCCGCGTTGACTGGATCGGGGGCGGTCGGATACCCGTGGGCATGGGTTTAATTGCCACCCCTAGTTGTAAGAATGGCTCAGATGTCCTTTGAAGGGATATTCAAGTTACATGGGATGCCTCAGACCATAGTATCATACAGAGTTGTTGTTTTATTAGTGCTTTATGTTCTAAACTATTTGAGTTACAAAGGGTAGAGCTCCATAACAATCTGATGGTCAAACTGTGAGACAAACATATATCTGGAGGATTATCTGAGGAGCATGTTTCATTGTTTACCACAAAATTGGAGATCACCTATAGTAGAGTAGTTGTACAACCCCAATTATCACAACAACTTGCAAACCCCCTTTGAAGCACTTTATGGATATCCACCATCCCATTTCGAAGTGAGAAACCCCTTGTCCAATTCCACAGAAGCAATTGCAGACAAGTTGTAGTATGAGCATAAACTGATCAAAATCATTATGGAGAATTTGGCAATGGCTTAGAACAAGCAGAAGCAAATGGCTGACCAACACAGGACAAAGAGAGAATTTGTAGTTGGAGAATTGATGTATTTGAGACTAAGATCATATAGACAAGTGCCAGTGGCAACCAGAGTAATCAAAGCTTGCTCCAAAATATTAGGGACCCTTTCTCATCACAATGAAGATTGGAGCAGTTGCATATGAGTTGCAATTTCCTCTAGACCCATCCATCTATCATGCGTTCCAAGTCTCACTTCTTAAACGTGCATTTGGAGCTCAAGTGTCCATTTAGTCTTTTTAGCCTGATTATGATAACACTGGCATACTCAAGGTGAAACCTTTTGAGATTCTTTCAAGAAAGATTGTAGCTCGAAACGACAGTGCTGCTACTCAGGTATTAGTTCACTAGTCCCATAAGGATGTAGCATATACCACTTGAAAGTCCTAGATGATTTTAAGGCCAAATATCCAGCATTCCAGACTTGAGGACAAGTCTGCAGCAAAGGAGGCGGACTTGTAACAAATTAGCCTGGAATGTAAATTTAGAAGTAGCATGATTGGTTGGGAAGGACTAAATTGTAAGGAAGTTAGAAGTTAGCGGGTTAATTGGAATTTTACCTAAAATGGGTCATATACAAACCCGAGGCACATTGTATAATAACATTAACTAATTAATTCTAAAGATCACACACACTCTCCCCCCTTTTTCTTCTCTCTCATCAGCTCATTTTCCCTCCAATTCCTCCAACGACTGCTTGCAACATCCAACGGAGGGTTTCACCATTGTTATCTCTTAAAATTCTAGCAATTCTCCACCCGAGTTGTGACATTTTGGCGAGCGAGATAGAGAGAGAGAGAACACCTTTTTTGTTGGGCTTGTGATGATTGGGAAGGTTCCAAAAACTACAACAACGATAAAACATAAAGTCATAAACTACATCCAGGGCTTCAACATTCTATCCGCTTTACCATGCTCATTGCATCTCTCGAGAAAAATATTTAAAAAAATGCTCCTGTGCCACCACTAACGTAGAAGTCATGGGAACTCACAGCCTCGCATCCCCTTCGCCCCGCTTTTCCAACTTCCCATTTCTTGGTTTCTTCGACAACCTGGAAGCAATGCCGTTGGCAGCGGCCAAATTTTCCTCGGAGGAAGAAGGACTGAAGTATATGGATCAGGATCGAAGGCCCTAAAAGAAGACGATTCTTGGAAGGGAAAGAGAGTTGTAGAATTTACGAGACTCAGCTTGGGAGAGGGAGAAAGAGTCTCTTCTAAATTCGTGCCCAACAAGGTCGTCGTCGAGCGTATAAAAAATGACATGTTGCGGTGGCCGTAATTCCTCACGACCATCACTCTGGATTTTTAATTTCTTTCCATGTGTAGTTACTCTATCTTCAACTCAAGGAAATTTGTCGTAGAGGGCTAGCTGAATTTCGAGGGTGTTTTCGGATATAGAGCAAAATATGCCTCCTCTTCGATTAGTAATCTAGTCCCAACATTCACCTACGAAGAACAATAACTGGCGAGCGTAATCAAAAGTATGGATCCCTTCCGAATTTCAATCGATTACCTGGATCCACTTGTCCATATCTGAACTTGCTTGTTGGTGGCGATTGTTCTAACAACTAGAAGCTACATATTTGCAACGACTAGTTATGCTGGTTGTTGCTACTACATGAATTTCGAGGGGTGAATCGTTGATCGATCGACGCTTCATATTAGTTCATTCCCATCCAAAATACCCAAAGTGAACAACTACTGCTTGCCCTAGCCACCGTTGCTCGTCAAAGACCTTCACTAGGAATGACTTCTTCCTTTCGCAACTTGTCTCCCTGATCTGAAGAAGAGAAAAGATTAGAATTTCGGAGGAGTAAAAGTGTGTGTTTGTTTGGTGGTTTGAAATGATTATGAAAAAATTATAAGATAAATTTTTCAATTTTCTTAAATTACTGGATTGTTTTTAATTTCTATTGTCTATGTGGCATGATGCTGATTCACTAACAGTCAACGGTGTTAACCCATTCTTAATTTATGGATTTGGTATCTCGATACTCATACTGTCTTGTGGCAGGTTGGGTATAGGTCGGGTAATTTATCACGAAAAGCGTATCAAGGCATGTCAACCCATATGAGTATACAAATTAAAAAGAAAACATTATAAATATGATTATTCTTTTAAAAAAACCAATAAACAAACTACAATAGGTGAATAGGATAAATTAAATTAAATTATTCGAGAAATTAAAGTTCTCACTTATTTATAACTCCATTATAATTAAAAATGAGATAATAAAAATAAAATACTAAGTAATTTTACTAAAATTACTTATAATTTAAACAAAAATTGGTTGAGAATCGAGATGGGAATTCAGTTGCGGATTTGCGATTAAATCGCTAACCGCACCGCAAACGCGGGGTTAGTGGTTAACCACAAACTGAAAAATAGCCTATTTCGCGGTTGCAGTTAGCAATATTGCATATTTTGCGGTTTAACCGGAACTGCAATCATTTAACAGGTAACCACAATTTAACCGATTATTAACACGGTTAACCATGATGAGGTGACCCTTGATTAGTGATGGCAATTTGAACCCGCCCTGACCCGCAATGGGGCGGGGCGTGGATATTTTCTTCCAACTCGCCCCATTCTATTTCAATTTCTTACAACATCTACACATATTTTTCCTATTTTGATTTTTTTCAATTAGTAAATCGATTTTTCAACTTGTTAAACTCAATTGCACATTCAATTATCACTATTTTTCATTCTTAAAGTGGTTTCTCCTTCGTTTTATCGTAAAACGTAAAATATGCGTGTATTTTTCTCAAATAACATGTTAGAAATCGACCTGCCTCGTCCTGTATCCCCGCAGTTTGACCCGCCCGCCCCATTACCATCACTACCCTTGATCCATCCTTCCACAGTGACAACATATCCCACAACCCAAAATTTCCACAACTCATCCGAACAATTACTAATGTGGTTAATCACGGTTAGAGGTGGCAAATGGATTGGTGGATCCATGGATCAAATGGATTGGATCAAGTAGATTGGTGGATTATTCATGAATCCAAATGATATCATCAACTAAGGACCAATATGTAAAATGTGAAAAGTTTAGGTACTAAAATGTCATAATGAAAAAATTTAGGTACAAAAACGTAATTTTCCAATGTTATTTTTTATATAAAAATTAAATTTTGGGTACCAAAATGTAAAATATAAAACTATAGATACCAAATCGTAATTTGCCATTTGAATCAATTGATCAATCCATGAATCCACCAATCCAATTGGATTCGGATCAAATGGATTAGAATTAAAAGGATTGGATTAGGTAAATATTTTTAATGAGTTGGTGAATTGATTTAATGGATTGGATTGAGAATTGCCACCGATTAACCGTTAACCACATTTTACGACTAGTGATGAAACTCAAATCGCGGTAGCGGTTGACATATACGATATGACATGTATGACTCTCTTTCGCTTGTGGCCATTTTCGAGGTAAGCAACTCGAACACAACACTGCCAAGCAGCTCAGAAAAACGAGCGAATACATTTCATTTCACAGCAATGGAGGTTGAAGATGGCGGTTGCGTTTCGAATTGTGTGATTCAACTGGTGAGTTTCAATCATTCCTCAAGGGCCTCCTCCTTAAATCTTCTTCTCCGGTTTTGGCTGGCGAAGCTGGTGAGTAATTCAACTAATCTGTAACCTCCTTTTGCGCAAGAGGGACGATTCCCAGAGGCTGAGGGAGAAGGTCTACGTTGGCTGCGGGGCAGGGTTCGGATGCGATAGGCCATCTGCGGCACTGAAGTTGCTGCAGAGAGTTCCTGAGTTGAACTATCTCGTCCTTGAATGCTTAGCGGAACGCACTCTTGCTGATCGCTTCCAAGCTATGGTCTCTGGCGGCGATGGGTATGATCCTCGAAGTGAGTGTTTTTATCTTCTCTCTTGTTTCTCCTTTTGCTGAGAGGGAGGCTTCCATCTATGATAGGCCTTACGCTTTTCCAATTTTATTGCGCTGCAGTTTCTGTTTGGATGTCTATGCTACTCCCTTTAGCAGTGCAGAGAGGGACTTGCATTATAACAAACATGGGTGCAAGTATGATCATTCTGACTCAGAAATTTGATTAATTTCGTTCTAGGAATCTAGATGATTGAATTCGCTTCGTTCTCATACACTTCGTTTGGCGGGGGACTTGGAATTTTGTTCTTAGTGGATCCTATTGGGGCGCAGGAGAAAGTTCTGGCGATTGCTAGAGAATTGGGGCTTGGTGTTTCCGTCGCTGTTGCCCACGAGGTTTCCTACACTGGCTCAGGTATTACTCTGTTGCTTCTGGTTGTGCCGACCCAGTCCTTTTTGTTGAATGAAAGGGCGTTAGGAATATTGTGTATGGCAAAAAAGAAACGGGCATTAGGACATGAACTGTATCAATCCATTCGCTGTGTCTCAACTTAACCGTCTGGAACTTGGACTGGAGCTAATTGTTTCTTGTTCTTCTGTAGGGTACTCCCTAGGGAAGACATCATTGGAAGGTGTAAGAATCTGGTACTCAATACTTTTCATATGGCTGAATGATGGTATCTGAAATTTTAACATTATGCTAGACTAAGATTGACTGTTAACTTGATCCATGCAACCATTCACTCCTGTAGGTGAATGTGTTTACATGTTCTGTTAATTGTTTGGATGAATAGTCATCTTTCTCTGCAAATCTATGCTGTCATCTAGACTCCCTGATTCATGCCAGTGAGTTCCCATCTAACCACAATTTTTGGATCCAAATTCTGAAGGGTATTAGCACCTATCTTGGAGCCTCTCCCATCGTCCAATGTCTTGAGAAGTACCATCCAGATGTTGTAATTACTTCACGGGTTGCGGATGCTTCCTTGTTCTTAGCACCAATGGTGAGTAAGCTTCTTGTTCTTGGCAGTTTGCCTGTCAGTTATGGAGTTATGGTTTTAGCGGAATTCATTTCTATGGTAAAATCTGATAGGCATAAAGTTTCTCTAGGCTGTTTGATGGAGTAGCCAAAGCGTTTGTGGGGAATATGAAAAGGAAACTTTAGTTAAAATTAAATAGGTGGTTAGTAGAAACATGAATGTGGTATCGCTGCAGATGCAGTGCAGGAGTTTGGGAACTTTTTCCTGTTTGCTATTTGTATTGGTAACTTCATCTCATGACATACGCTATACTGCCTGGAAAAAAAATCTATTGTATTGTTGGATACCATTTGATTTTTGGTTCATCTCGCAATTGCCAACATTAGGTTTATGAACTAGGCTGGGACTGGGATGACTTAGATAAGCTAGCTCAAGGATCTCTGGCAGGACATCTCTTAGAATGTGGTTGCCAACTCACTGGGGGATACTTCATGCATCCAGGTGAAAGTTTCATAGATTTACTTGAAGGTCACTGAAAATTTTTGTAATAACATCCAGTTGGTAAAAGATTGATGACATTTCAGTCCAATTATGAAGGCACCTTTGCTTCTAGTTTGATCAAAATTTATATTGCTTCTCCTAATACTGAAATCGTTTCTTTGCAGGTGATAAGTATCGCGACATCTCCGTCACTTCTCTATTAGATGTTTCTCTTCCTTATGCTGAGATATGCCACAACGGGGAAGTCTCTGTGGCGAAGGCTGTTGATAGTGGTGGGGAATTAAGTTTGAATACTTGTGCCCAACAACTCCTTTATGAGGTTGGAGATCCATCTGCTTATGTCACCCCCGATGTGGTAAGTTCCATGGAAGTTTGTCATTTCAAGAACTTGCAAGAGCTGGTGGGTGAAAATTGCTGAACCAATTGCCCTGAAAATGCAGGTAATTGATCTTCAGGACGTTTCATTTCACTCATTATCAAGTAGTAGAGTTCTTTGTACTGGAGCTAAACCCTCGACCACATTGGGACCTGAAATGCTCCTGCGTTTGATTCCCAGGGTACTGGCCAATTTACAATACATTAAACTTCTGCCATAGCATTGAATATCTAGGTTTTAACATGTGATTTTTTTTCTCTGGTCTGTTTTCTCGTAGGATTGTGGATGGAAAGCATGGGGAGAGATATCCTATGGGGGATACAAGTGCGTGGAACGTGCTAAAGCTGCCGAGTATCTGGTGAGGACGCTCTATAAGAACCAATGACGTCATCCGATATAACGAGCATGCTAGTTGATCTTCCTCTTGAATAGTTGTTCAGCCTTGTGAAGGGTTATTCATCTATTATATTATTTTCCTGAATTTTTATGTCAAGCTTTTATTGATGTTAGGTCCGTTCTTGGATGCAAGAGGCATGCCCTGATGTTGATTGCAAAATAGCATCATATATTATTGGGCTTGACAGTCTCAAGGCAACCGCCATCCATGCTGATGCTTCAGCACTGAACAGTGAAGACATCCGGTTGCGCATGGATGGACTATTTGAGTCAAAAGATCACGCAATCCAATTCACACATGAGTTCACTGCTTTGTATACAAATGGACCTGCTGGAGGCGGTGGCATTAGGTTAGTTCTTGTCCTTCTTCTGCTTTACATCAATTGACCAGATCAGCATGACCTCATTTGAAGTGTTCTGTGAGTCTGAATCCGGGATAGTAAATTACAGTTTGACAACATTGTGGCTAGGGAGTGGGGACTTCCTTGTAATGTCCTTAAAATTTTCAAGGAGGCTGGATGACGTCATGCCTCTTTCAGAATTTCTCTCATTCCCATTCTCGGCCTTTTGTGCTTAATTTTCCATTTCTCTGATGCAGCACTGGACACAAGAAAGATATAATTCTCGGGAAGGAACTGGTACAACTCTACTCGGTCTCTCTCGAACACAGTCTCTGCATTTGTTGTAATGAAAATTTGGCCCAAGACAGATATTTCTCAGATGCAAATCATAATTGTATTCTTTCAGGTGACCCGTGAAAATGTCTTCTGGCGCACTGGAATTAAGCACACCAAACGAACGACCTCAAGTGATGAAGAAGAAGTTGCACCAAGAAATGTGGCAAGAACCGGGAATCATGACGAGGCCTTACCCCAACAACGAATCAGTACCGCCGGAAACAGTCCAGCATTTGCTTCACCAACCCCGAGACCTGCTCCTGCCGGCCAGAAGATCCCATTATACGAGGTGGCACATAGCAGAGCTGGGGATAAAGGAAACGACTCGAACCTCTCTCTCATACCGCACTTTCCTGGAGACGTTGAGAGGTTGAAGCTGGTCATAACGCCAGAGTGGGTGGCCAAAGTTCTGTCCCCTCTCCTGAACGACTCATCGTTTCTGGACGCTGAAGGTGTCTTGGAGAGAGATAGAAGAGTCGGCGAACAAGTAGGCGTGGAGATATATGAAGCGAGGGGGATCCGTGCTCTGAACATCGTGGTGCGGAACATTCTAGATGGTGGAGTCAACTGCTCTAGGAGGATCGACAGGCATGGTAAGACCATGTCGGATGTCTTGCTTTGTCAGCAGGTTGTGTTGCCTCCAGAGAAAAATGGGCTTTAGTTTTCTGCCCCAAAAATGGGCGTAAAACGTCGATGGATGTGAGGTTTCAGATATCAGTTTGTGTCCAGAACTTATCAGGAAATTTTGGGATGTCTTCGTGACGTCTCCTTCTGTTATAGGTCGATATCTTCCTTGGATCATGCTATAAGGAGTTGAGATGGAACAACGCGTCTGAATTTGAACTTCACTTGGCTGTGAAATTTGTAGTGAGTAAGCACCAGCAGTGGAATTATTATTATTATTATTATTATTATTATTATTATTATTATTATTATAATGATGATGATCATTATCATTACCAAGCAGTGTGACTCACTAGTCACAAGAATAAATGGTGTGAAGCACAACTTTGGAGCTTGAAATAATGAAGAACAAAAGTCTCGATTAGATTTGTTGTTCTGGAGTTTTAAATGCTTTATTCGCTTGTTTTGGATTTGTGTTGAAGACTTGTTTTGGATGGTTTATGCACTTTGTTTTGGTACTTCGGATTCTTTAATCAGATTTTTCCGACGACTTATTATTATATATAGATGACCTATGATTTATTGAAGGAAAAAAAGGTTAAATATGTAAGTTGGTTCGACTATAGTTGGTCTATGATTTTTTGTTGGAAAAGATTGAAAATGTAAGTTGGTCAGATATGCCGTATGCGAAGAAAAATGTTCAAAGGCGGGGTAAACCTATTTAGTTTCGAGCCTAAAAATTAAGACTCGCAACAGGTTATAGGACAGGTTGGGTCCAATTATAAATTGACAGTACAAATAGTGTGTGCGATGTCTTTGTCAAACATGAATTTTTTGTATGAAGTTCGTTATTTTTATAAAAAGTTTGACACTATGTCTCAGAGGTGAGAAAGCTCTACTTTTGTGAAATATAAGAGGGAGCCAAATTATTTGATGTATGACCTTCATATGAATCAATAAGCTATACCTTGTTGGGTGAAGAAGAAATACTATTTTTTTATTATTATAAATTCTCTCTATAGCCTATTATACAAATGAAGCATATAATTAATTTGTGGTGTAATTCATTTTGCTGTATCAGGAAAAAGTCAGAGAAATAAAGAAGGAGCTCATTTTACTCTGAACCAAGGGAAGGGGAGCATCCAAAACAATCGGATCTCCATTAAATGTGTCTTAATCACACGAGGACCAGACAAGAAATGAGGGGAGAAATGCCAAAACTCTAAATAATTATTGGTATTATTTCGTCTTTCATTACACAAAGACTAATCTATTTTTCATTTTATTAATTTTAAAAAGTGGTATCCGAAGCATTAAACATACCCTAGCCAGACAATCAATTAGCCCCAAATCTCTAACAGCCTCAAACATACATAACCCTAACCCCCTCTTATAATATACTTTACCCTTGGATTGTACAAATAGTTTACAAGAGAAAAGAAAAAAGAAAACAGGAAGAAGGAGAAGATGTCATTCACTGGAACTCTTGATAAGTGCAAGGCATGTGACAAGACTGTTTATGTTGTTGATCTCTTGTCTTTGGAAGGGGTGCCATACCACAAGTCCTGCTTCAAATGTAGCCATTGCAAAGGCACTTTGCAGGTAATATCCAACTTACACCACCTTTTTTTTTGTTGTATTTGTTTCTTGCTCTCTCTTAAACTACCAACAATAATGTGAATTTGTTTTGCATGTGTATATTTTGGTCAGATGAGCAATTACTCTTCTATGGATGGAGTGCTCTTCTGCAAAACTCATTTTGAGCAACTCTTTAAGGAATCTGGGAATTTCAGCAAGAATTTTCAAAGTGGTGAGCCTCTTGTTTCCTTTCGACATGAGAGCTAATATTGTGTGTTTTGTTAATATCTTCTTTATTGACTCTTTTGTTTTATTTCATTTTTCCTTGTATATAGCTGGCAAAACTGAAAAGCAGAATGACCTGGTACATCTAAAGAACCCTGTTCATTTCATTATTCCCCTTTTCAATTAATTTCTCTATTCACAAAAAAATCAATCTTGAGCTTGATTGACTTTACGGTTCTTTAGAATATTTCCATTTGTCTTTTAATTGGATGCCGATATTTTAGTTTTTGATAAGAAGATTGAAACTTTTGATTGGATATGCTTGAACTAACAGTCGAGGACACCTAGTAAACTGTCTTCCATGTTCACCGGAACTTTGGACAAATGCTCGGCCTGTACCAAAACTGTTTACCCACTTGAGAAGGTTTGCCTTTCCCCCATTTTTTCCACTTTATAAACTCGTTCCTTCAATCCTTAACATAGATAATTGAATTAAACCATGCATCTTTGGTCCTCAAGGTGACAATGGAAGGAGAGTGTTACCACAATACATGCTTTAGGTGTGCTATAGGAGGGTGTCACTTGACACACTCAAACTATGCTGCCCTTGATGGTGTCCTCTATTGCAAGCACCATTTTGCTCAGCTGTTCATGGAGAAGGGTAATTACAATCATGTCCTTCAAGCTGCTTCCCACAAGAGGTCTGCCTCCACTCCTCCACCGGAGGCCGTTGAGGGCGAAGCTGAGGCCGCCGCCGGCGAGGGAGATGGAAAAGCTCATAAAGAAGAAGACAATGATGACAAATGAGAAACAAAACATTAGTTTTTATACTACAAACATAAATACATACATATTTTCTATACTACAAAAGATTAAAATATGAACATTTACAGTACCGGACCAACCACTCATATACACACATGCACGATTCCTATATTCTATACTCAGATCTTATCTTATGAAGAGTTCTTCAAGGTTCTTTCATTTATATTACCCCTGGATTCATTCATCACCACTTTCTCCAACCTTCAGTTTCATTACGCTTCAACCTCTTTGTTTTCTTATTCTTTTTTCTTGTTTTGCATTTCCCCCCACCTTTTTTACTCTTTCATCATTCAAAATTTTATTTTGGTCTGGGTTGCTTTCCCAATTTACACAATTCAGTTGTCCTTCACAATTTTGTGCAATGTAACAAAATCTTATGAGAAATGAATATTGTTTTTCTCTATTATGAAAAAATTTGTCAAGCTTGTATGTGATGTGAATACTATTTTGGTTTTATGTTGTGTTTGCAATGACTAGAAGTAGATTAGCAAACATAAAAGAACATGGTTGATTGATTCTTTTTTCTACTTACACAAAATTAAGATTCAGAGTTTACTAGAACTTAAATGGCCACTAAACTTTAGTGCAATTGATGCTCATTGTCATCGGTAGAATTCTCCTGCTACTGATGTTAATTGTCGCAACATCTTATTTTCCCACCTTTCTCTCTCATATCATCTCCCCTTTTTTTCAATTCAATCTTGGGTTTCCATCCCCTTCCATGGCACTATGTGATGAAATTTGAAACTCTTAGGAACTAATACTTCTCCATTGGCTTGATTAGTTAGCAATATCTTGAAAATGTTTTTACGATTGGATCGTCAATGGAGCTAACTAGCAAATTCTCGATCGAGTTTCTAGAACTTAATTTACAGCGGAATGTAGAAAATAAGCTTGGGGTGATCAGGTGTTAGTAACTGATTTGGTGTTTGGCAATTGGCAGAACCAGAAACTCGACTTCAGAGTATAAATAGGTTAACTCGACTTCAAGTGATGTTTGCTTATTTAGGATGGCAAACAACAATGAGATTGAACTCGTGGGAGTTTCAAAGCTCCCACTAAGTAGCAGGACTGCATTGGACGAGCATACTCGTGACTCTAACTCAGATGACGAGATCACTGAAGTGGCAGATTGGCTTCTTATTTTAGCTCGGATGTGAAGCCACTAATCAAAAGTGGTTCCCTGGAAAGGCACAAGTGACGCTTCTACAACAAATGCGCCCTTCTCAATCATATAGGTGCATGCATAAATCTCTCTTTGATAAATAAGTTTTCATCAATTTCTCTTCAATTATAGGTCAGAACAAAAATGTTATATATGCACGGTATCTTCACAACTAGCTAGAATATTATGACCAACCTCATTTTCACTTCCTGTTATGTGGAATTCTCGACATGGACAACTTTTTGAAAATATTTTATCCCTCATGTTACGAGGACAAAATGTATAAGAAAACAAATAGTTCGTACGTAAACACATGCATTCAAATATATGTGGCAACATTACCAACAACAATTGTTTATTAGTATACCATGACACTTATCTTTAGTGCGAAATGGGGGGAAGAAAATCATTTTCTTCAGCACCACTATTTTAAGCGTGTTGGGAGTTATGATTCTTCAGTATACGTCAAGTGTCAAATTGCGGGGATCATAGCGCTGGGGCTTGGGCTTGGATTTTGATATCACCGATTAAGCTGCTAAACTTGCCCTAATTTTGTGCTTTATCCTATAGTTAACCTTCAAGCACTTCCATCTTATTCACTATTGCTCTTCATTTAAAAAATTCTGGTTTATATGTCCACAGTTGGGAATACAATAAATTCAGTACTTTTTGGTTGTTGTTGGTAATAATAGTCTTAGAAACCAACCCTTATTTTAGCAAGTTGTCATCTCAGAGACCTTCACAAATTTAATGGAGTCTTTGAATTTGAATTAACAAACCACTGTTTTCCTTTGATGTCTGCCTCTCTTTTTTTTTACCATGCCACGATGCACAATTAATTCTTCTTACATGCTAATGATTATCAGTTCTCTATCATACAAGTTTGGTTAATATCTAACATTTCGCTTACATTATCAAAGTATTAGGGAGTAATACTTTGGCTTTGTATTAGACTAGCATTGGGCCCGGCCCGTTGGCCGGGTAATGTATAAAATACTCCAGCAATACGATTCAAGCAATTTGAACGTTCATAATTCAGATGATTAATTTCTATAATGCATCATGTTGAAAGGCATAGAAGTTGGGTAACATAGCAAATTCAGAAAGAAATCCAGAAAACTAAAACTGAAACATAACTTGAAACACGTCCTGAAGCAATATGCCGAAAAATTGCAGCATCATTGAAAAAGGAAATTCAAATAGATGCTGATTAAAGTTATACACAGACTTGACTTCATCAACATAACATGTCCATATCATTTTCAACATCAAATTCCTATTGTCTTTGTATAATAATAAACACAGCCACAAAAGCAAAGCTTTTGATAAGCATTATATCAGTCATAGCATACAAAGCTATATTCATACTCCATTAAACCTGGAAATGATTTTGGAGGGCTCAATTAACCTTGAGAATGGAAAAGATGACATCTCATAAGGGAAAAAAAACTATTAAACAAATGAGAAAAGGTTGTAGCCAAACAACACTACTGTATTCCACAGTTGCCACTAAAGAAAAAAGACAATACATAAGGGAACAACCTAGAAACAGAGTCTCAAGCTCAAACTAAATGAAAACAGAATACTAAGTAGACTAAGTAGAAGCTGCAAGTTGTGGCTCTTAAGGTCACAAAATCTCCAGCAATACTATTCCTCCACAGGATCAGTGGCATCAGCATGCTTTCTTTTCAACCCGCAAGAGGTTGATCCTCCAAGGCTCCCATGCTCAAGAATCTTAGTCAGTTGCTGCAATCAAATTAGAGAAAATCAAAGAGTCGAAAACCACAAAATTTATCTGGTACCCTTTAGGTAAATTGCATTATTTGCAGAGTCAATTGCCTGAAGAGGGTCATGATCAACGTTAACCACATTATTCTCAGGATTCAAGAAATTGAATTGGGTGAGGCAAACATGAAGCTTTAGTGTCATGTTAACAACTTATTGGATGTGCAATGGAATGGGTTTTTTGTGTCGCTGATTTGACTGGAATAACACATCAGCCATCACTATGAAAAAGCGCACACCTTCATGCTCTAAAGTGGCAAAATCAGCTTCTCTAGTATCATCTTGCACTTGGAGCTTCACTCTAATTCTAGAGAAAAATGAATCAAATGCAGCAAACTCCCTATCATCAATTAACATACTAATTTCAAATAACACACAAAGCAAGATTCAGATTTTGAACTTACTTGGCTTTAGCAATGGAAGATGTGGTCTTACAGTGTCCACCAAAGTACTCTTCTGGATCCTCTTCCACCTTGCGAGGACATACAACGCCCCCCATGTAGCAACAATTAGGGCATACTTGAATCACTTTTCCTTCGATCACAAACACTTATTCTTGAAATTCAGTAAAAAAATTTATATTTGGAAAATTAGACGGGCAATAAGGCTGCCAGTTAAACAGAAAAAACCCTTACAGTGTGTGCCTCAATGGTTTTGAAATCATTCAGCTGAGCAATAGAAATCTTTGGACAGCGATAGAGTTTGATCTTCCTCCTAGTCTTCTTCGCCGCAGTCATAATCTTTCTCCTCATCTGCCTCCTCGAGATCCTTGTAGGGTTCTTTACACATAGGACGATTCTTGATGCCATTAGAACCTGCATAGTCAAAGTAACGGTCTTGACAAATCTTGACCCCTCATCCAGCAGACCAGCCTATATTTCGAATACGTCAGACATTGATTCTCCTTAATTGGAAGCTAACTGGTTCCCATCATGGTTTCCTCAAGAATGGTCAGCCTCTCTAGAAGCCCAAGTCCCAGGACAGTGAGACCCATAAGACATCCAAGTAGCCTTGGCCACTTTGACACAATCAAGAGCTGAAATGTCGCCGCCGATTTCCATTTGCTTCTTCTAGTGCATGATACTTTTAAGTGATCCAAGCCTATTCACTCTAATCCTCTAGACTCACTCTAACCCTCAGCTTCTCCTAGATTGAAAGCTAAACAACCAGCCCATACAAATTCTAAATGCAAAAAATCGGGCCAATAGCAATCCTAAATCCAACCTGGTAATGAGAATGGGGAAATGTAAGCCCCAACCAGAAGAATACCACAAAGTGCTACACCCCAACTTTGAAGAACCCCACCAACAAAACATAAATGAAAAATTGTACACAACAAAAGCAGTGGAATCATCTACGTCCCTGCATCTCATGCTTGAAGAATACCTCGCCTTCTCATCTCCATCAAAATCTTCACCGAGGTTGATGCCACTTCCCTGTACCCAGATTTCAATCAAGAGATTCAATGACTTTTACAACAACAATAGAATAAAGCAAAGCTTCGAGAGAGCCCTCAACCATCTATGCTAAGAAACACAACGGTTACAAAGAATCTCATACGCATCCAAATTCTATAGAACTTAGAAACACAACTCTAACCTGCAAACTCCTAGTCCTTTAAGCATCTCTACCTCTTTAGATTGTACGCTGCTTCCCCTGAAACCCTAGGCAAATCTGCATCAGATTCAATGCTTGGCGTCCCGATTACTCCTCTCTGCAATTGGGGCTGATTACAGAAGGTGAGGCGAGGATTGGCGCTACATGAGTCGTCGGAGTTGATTCAATTTCAAGTGGCTGCCGCTGCAACTGTTACTGATACTACCTGGATCACGAGCCACCAAAGCACTCCGATCGAGTAGACCACGGAGCAGGAGCCGACGGAAGTTGGATGCAAGGAGTTGAGCGCCGCTAAGATAAAGTGGTTGTTGGACTACTCTGGCGTAAGTAAGAGTGGAGGCGACCATCGTGCTGCGATGGGGGAGAAGGAGAAAAGAATTATAGGCGACGGAGAAAGAAGCAATGAATCGTGGTGGTTACCGGGGGAAAAGACCATAAGCGACTGGGGAGTGGGGACGGATCAGAAGAGAAAAATCGAAGAGGAGAAGGTTTAGAATGACAATAAAACCCCTCCGAAATGTGCGGCGCTTTCAGCAAAGGGTGACGTGGCAGATGCTCTATTTTGACATTCGCTTATAGGATTTTGTAGATTTCTCTTGCATTTAAAGTATTGTATGATTTAGAGTTGCATTTTGTGACAGAAAACTTGTGTTATACAAGAAGAACGTATGTTGTGTAGGCGAAAGAGATTAGTTATATAACCTGTTATATAAACTTTCAAATGCATGCATAGTATGTTAAGGTTTAAATTTATTAAAATTTCTAATGATCTAATTACCCTCAACAACTAATTAATCACTAACCTATATTAATTAACTAAATTTCTATAAGCCAATAGGAAGGCTTTAAGCATTTGATTAAACTTACAGCCTTAACCATGGGAACTCAAGCCTTCCATTTAATGATCAATCAGTTCTATCGTGCATTTACAAGAAAAATATATCATTTGCATTTACGATTGTTATATCTTATTCACTATACCAGGAAAATTTCTATTTTTATTTTTGGTAGGCAACGCCAACATTAGTAATAGAACTAGCACACGAGAGAACAAAGGAGAGATTTGCATAGTTATTCTCCTGCTCACTAACACTGGGCTCAGATACAACAACAAGAGTGATTTGGCACGCCGCTTTGATAATGGACGGCGAGGGATGGTGAATATCATACCTTGTCTTATGCATCCCACTGCTCGTTCTACTTTGGTTTTTCAGCTTTTTCTTTGTAAGGGAGTCTCTGTTGTGGTAAGTTGAGCATCAAAGAGAGAAAGAGGCAAAAGAAACAATATGCCAAATTCGAGACACATTGGACGTCGATTACGAGTTCAACGACATGAAGTAGTTGGTGGAGTGGAAGCGAGAGAAGAATCCTTGGAGGAGGTGTTTAACTGCACCAATCGTCCAGCTTTGGTCATCAACACTGTCTTCTCGACCTTCTCATCTTTGCTCGGAAATGGTGTGTTTGTTAGCTATGGTTCATTGCTTCTCCAATCCTCCGGACTCATGCTTCCAAATGACTCTTACATAGTGACCTTTGTTGTCTCCTTCGCCATTTTGGTCGTCACATCCATCCAACCGTTAATCCTTTCGAGGCTCGAATGAAGGGTGCCATTTCTCTTGGCATGTTTGGTCATGATGTCCTCAATGGTATGTTTTCGTGTCTATACTTCTCAATATGTATGCACGTAATAACGTTACAGATAAGAAGAACAAGCTAAGTAATCCTATTTTTTGGCGTGAATACAGATTTCAGCATGGAGCATTTTTGGGATGGATGCCACAGACTATGCGTACCTAGAAGACTACTAAGTCCCTTTAATTGCCAATGTTTTCAAAATGTATCTATTATTTCAAGTACTCCTCTTCGGCCGACTGGATCACTCAAGGTTTCATTTCCTCAGAGCACAGAGGATGTGGGAACAACGTTGGGGATCTGGATATCACTATCCTTTACTTATGTTGCCCTGAGCTTCTCCAAGCTAGTACATATACATTGAATTGCATATACTGAAATGATAGAATCATTTGAAAGTAGATCGAATATAGGTTTCTGATAGAAATGAAAGAGGGTATCCATTAAAAAAAAGGTTAAATACACTTGTATATCCAAAACTTTCACGGTTGTGCCAATAATATCCAAATTTCCCAAAATACCACTTATATCCAATTCCTTCACATTCTTTAACGGTGTTTTTGGATATACAAGTGTATTTAACCAATAATATATTTGAAAATGGATAGATTTGGCAAGAACAACTTTAAAACATGGATATAAGTGGTATTCCAGGAAATTTGAATATTATTGGCACAACCGTGAAAGTTTTGGATATACAAGTGTATTAAACCTAAAAAAAAAGCTTTTTGAGGACTTGAATATATGATCCAAGGAATTCATTTCTTCTATTCCTTCATTATCTTTTCTTTATTACGCTTACCAAATCACCAAACTACCGTCAATAGTTAATAAGGATGAATCCCCTAGGACTCTTTAAATTCTAATAAAAGATTGAGATTGTTCTGATAAATCATCACAATATAACAACATATTGCTTGCCCATGAAATGGTTAGGATGTATAATGAGAAGCATGTCCCCAACGCACTTTAAAGATGCATATAATAAAGACTTTTGATAGCGATTATGGAGATTTCTTGAAAATTTGATGCAAACTATGGGTTCCCTTGTCCAATTCATTAGATAAATTAAGAATTTTCTTCTAAGCATGATTAAATTTCCATTTCAATGCAATTTTTTTTTGAAGCTAAGGGGATCCTCTTACCTTGCTAAGTTGTTAGATGTTCAAAATGGCATGTTCTTAATTCACAACTCTGGACTTCATAAGGTGACTCTTGAAGGGAGTTTTGAATTGTCCTCAAATAGAGGCTACTCTAGACATATAATTAGGGTTTTGTACAATCCATAGGAATGTCAATTGCGCTCCCAATAATGCGCGAAGAAGGAAAAAGACAAAAAACCTACTTATCAAAACATTTGTTGGTTTGTTCTATGGCAACACGCATATAAATCAGGTACATGGTAATGACAGACATACTCCTGGAGTAAATTATACTCCAAGTGATCTAATCATTGGATGTACATTTGTTGATTTCCCATGACATCACTTAAGAAGAGGAAATAACAACTAGATACAAACATTATACTACATGTTTGCACACAATCAAGAACCGAAGTGAAAACCCTATAATAAGTAGGGCGACAAAAAAATGACTAGCCACCAAATGAGTCATCTCCTTACAATCTCTACCAAAGAAGGAAAGGAAAAAAAGAAGAAGACAACATGCTAGCAATTTCTTATAGGATTTCTCTGCCTTTTGCATCCAAAGCATCATGAGGTAACATTTATCAATGATTTCTTTCGTATCCCCGCAAAATATCAAATGGGATAAGCCCCTGTAGTAGTGTAGTTGCACCTCGATATGACATTCCATAATGCAAGATTTTCCACCAATATTGAATCGGTTATGTGAGGGTAATGTACCTCTGATGCTGTTAGCATCCATCGAAGACAATTGTTGCCAAGGATAAAGCCTGAATCTCCATGACTTAGTTGTGATTGCAGGCTTGATAACTTGCAAAGCTTATAAGCAGAGGGAATCAAAGAACATGTACTCCAGGGACTCTCCCTCTGTAGCAAATAAGCATGTTGGACAAAATTCTGGAATAAATAACCCTTGAGTGAGAATAGCTTCAATAACGGGTAAGATTTTGTTAAATAGTTGACATAAGAAGAATTCTAGATTATGATCTAGCTTTAGACTCTATATACACTGATCCGAGCCATTCTATGCATAATTTCACCCCTTTGATTTTGTCGTTTGACTTGTATAGCACCGTTCTTAGAGTCAGTTTATGCTAGGTTTTGAAGTGGTTTTGTATGTTTCTTGCTATAGCAGGTGAAATGGGCAAAAAGATCGAAAGTTGGACAAAAGGGAGCACAAATGGGACAAAGAGCTGGAAATTGCATGGATCACAGTTCATGGCAGATTATCACGGGCAGGAGACTGTGAAGATTAAAAAAAACCATGAAGAATGCGAAGTCCCAAGGGATTTTGGATGTCTCGCGACAGTGCATGGATCACGGGCGCAGGGCATGAAGAATACAATTAAACCATGAAGTGTGCAAGTGAAACAATGTGTCTTGCGTTGAGATCACGATTTCCTGCACACATCATGGGCATGACGGCAGATCGTGAAACGTGCACTGTCGGGTATAAAAAGAGAAAGAGATAAGTTTTCAAGAGCATAAGGTTTCTTGGTGCACTTCTGGGTCATTGCCCGAGGGAGTGAATTTGCCTATTTTCCTAATCCGGTAGTTCGGTACGCCTCTTCGATTAGTGCACTTAAGAGGGTTAAGACAACTCAAATAGGGACTCCTAACTTGATTTGATCTCCTATATAATATGCAAATCACACTAGAGTATCAGGTTATCGACTCAACAAGGGACTAGGGGATAATCCTCCGAGTGAATCTTTATCACTTGAATTAAACCTCATTTTATTTGCTTGTTTGTTTAGTTCAATTGCTTAAAACAATAATTCTACCGCTAGATAATTTGTAGTTTGCTGAAGTAAGGATAAATAAAACACTAGGGTTTGATAATCTAAAATATACTTGCTCTATACTACATCTGGTCGTAGGTTATACTTGGCCTCCAATTGGGAGTGTGTATTTAGGCATGGGTCAAGTTTCTAGCACCGTTTTTGGGGACCATAAGGTTTATTATTCGGAAAAAGCGAACTACTATAAATCTAGCATTTCTTTTCTTGCATTACGTGTTTGGATCTTACTTATTGGTTCTTGTTTGTGTTTTTTTGAGTGAGTTTACGTGGTGTATGACTTGGAGTAATCTAGCACCCTCAGAGTCGCTAGACAACAGCATCAACTGGACTCTCCAGTTACTTGCACGCGAAATGAGCTTAGGGTAGCAAGGGAGAATTGCAGAATTGGGCTCAGGCCGAGGTTCAAGAAGGATTTGAAGAAGAAGTTGAAGTTTAAGAAGTGTTTGTGATTGAAGATGTGACGAACGAAGCCTCCTAAGATGGAGATGAATCAAGGATCATGAAGTACTACATGTCCCCAAGGGTGGCAGACATCCAACTTAGCATTCAAAATCCCCCTGTGGCTGCCAACAACTTTGAGATCAGACCAGACTCACCACCATTATCTAAAGCAATATACAGATTCATGGTATTGAAGATGAGTTACCAAGAAAATATATCAATAAGTTCTAGGTGTTGACGAATGGTTTAAAGATGAAAGGAGTGCCACAAGAATAATTTAGGTTGAGGTTTTTCGCATACTCCTAAGTGGCAAGGCATGAAGTTGGCACAACTGTCGACCTCCTCTCTCGATTGTTTCTTGGGATGACTTGTTAACAAAGTTCATGTCAAGATACTGCCCGCCTTCCAAGATGGCGTAGTTTCAAAGAAAGATCACTCACATTGCTCAAAAAGAAGATGGAACTTTGAGAGATGCTTGGGAGCGCTATACCGACCTCTTCCTTCATTGCCTTCAACATGTTTTTGATGAAGATTTCAAGATTGGAACCTCTTACAATGGTCTCTTCAAAGAGGATCGTATGCTCATTGATTCTTAGTGTCAAGGGAACATGCTCAATAAGACACCCCATCAAATGACCGAGTTGTTTGTAGAAATAGCAAGTGATGGTTTGTGAATGGTGCTCAAGTCCCAACCACATATTGAAGGAATGCCAAATTATGATGGAGGCGAATACCCTGAAGGAGTAAGTCAATTTCATTGCTAACGCTCGGAGACCCAAATCGGAAATCTCAACGAAGTCCTCATCGAGAGACCTCAAGGAGCCTTACCTTCCCAAATCATAGAAACCCCCAAAGATCTAAGGGAGGCGGAGTTTCATGCCATTTTGCTTAGAAGTGGAAAGGTAACTCAAGAGTTTGAACCTAAGAAATTAGCACAAGAAGAAGCCTCTCCAACAGTGATTGAACAAGAGCCTAAAGAGGCAAAGGAAGACGAGGCTAGAAAGGAATCGCCAATGCCATCTCCAGTGGATGAGTACAAGCCTCCCTTTCCTTTCCCAACAAGAGTTCACAAGGACCATTTGGAGGTGGAATTTGGCAAGTTCATGGAGATGCTCAAGAAGCTCCTTGTCTCCGTCCCATTCTTGGAGGCTTTGGTCAAATGTCAAAGTATGAAAATTTCCTCAAGGAGCTTCTCACCAAGAAGCAGAAGTTTGAATACCTCACTTCAGTCACCTTGAGCGAGGAGTACATCGTCATCATCCAGAACAAGCTTCCTCAGAAGCAACAAGATCCAGCGAGTTTCACTATTCTCTTATACATTGGTGCATTTCATATAGAGAATTTCTTGGCAGATCTAGGAGCAAACATTAAGGTGATTCATCGAAGGAATCAAATTTTTTGAGGGAAAACATCGCCTCTGATGGTTTTTTGATGATTTGATCTACTTCCAGTCTCCCAAATCCAAACAAAACCACATAACCATACTCCCCATCCTTGGGCGCCCCTTAGACCAAGTTGTTGGGCGATTTGGAAATGGTTTTGTCACCGGCAACGACTCTCTAACGACCTTCTGGTGACCTCCTCTGACCACGTTTTCTGCCGGATTTTGACTCCCTCTACTCCTCCTTGCCTTCCTCTTCAATCCTAAGTGAGTCTCCTAGTGTGTTTTGAACTTTTCCTTTGTCAATTTGGGGAATCAGATCTAGGGTTATGAAATTGGGTTAATTAATATTGTATTGTTGTATTAGTGTATTGGTATTGAATAATTCTATTGAATAATAGAAAAATTATCTTTCCCTTTTTTTCTGACATAAAAAAGGAAAGATAAAAAATATTCAAAATTTCTTTTTGCTTTGACCTGTGAAAAGACATACTCTGGTTTTTCTATTCGTCTAAAGCAAAAAGAAATAGAGCAAAGATGATAATAACACGAAAGAATAAAAGAATAAGGTATAAAAAAAATAAGAATGAGTTCAGGAATTTACCTAAGTAGAGTTACAAAACGATAAAAAAATTTTATCTTCGAAACCCATTCGAAATTACAAGGGGCGGAAATCAAATTCTACATAAATGATAGAAGCTTCAAAAATCCTTCTAATGCTATGAGGTGCTCGGAAATGGTTGAAGTAGTTCAATAGGAGGATCACTATGACTATAGCCCTTAGTAAATTTACCAAAGACGAAAATGATTTATTTGATATTATGGATGACTGGTTACGGAGGGACCGTTTCGTTTTTGTAGGTTGGTCCGGTCTATTGCTCTTTCCTTGTGCTTATTTCGCTTTAGGGGGTTGGTTCACAGGTACAACCTTTGTAACTTCATGGTATACTCATGGATTGGCTAGTTCCTATTTGGAAGGCTGTAATTTCTTAACGGCGGCAGTTTCTACTCCTGCTAATAGTTTAGCACATTCTTTATTGTTACTATGGGGTCCTGAAGCACAAGGAGATTTTACCCGTTGGTGTCAATTAGGCGGTCTGTGGACTTTTGTTGCTCTCCACGGCGCTTTCGGATTAATAGGGTTTATGTTACGTCAATTTGAGCTTGCTCGATCTGTGCAATTACGCCCTTATAATGCAATCGCATTCTCCGGCCCAATTGCTGTTTTTGTTTCTGTATTTCTAATTTATCCACTAGGTCAGTCTGGTTGGTTTTTTGCACCCAGTTTTGGTGTAGCAGCTATATTTCGATTCATCCTCTTTTTCCAAGGGTTTCATAATTGGACACTGAATCCGTTTCATATGATGGGAGTTGCCGGTGTATTGGGCGCGGCTCTGTTATGCGCTATTCATGGTGCTACTGTAGAAAATACTTTATTTGAAGATGGTGATGGTGCAAATACATTCCGTGCGTTTAACCCAACCCAAGCCGAAGAAACGTATTCAATGGTCACCGCTAACCGCTTTTGGTCCCAAATCTTTGGGGTTGCTTTTTCCAATAAACGTTGGTTACATTTCTTTATGTTATTTGTACCAGTAACCGTGTGAGGGATTAGATGAATGATGATTGATTGGTTGATGACTTTCTGTGCCTTGGTGGGCAAAGATTTTGCATGTCATGGTTGTTTGATTTGAAAATACCTACCAAGTGTTCGATTAAATGCCTAGTCTTGATACCATGTTGTGCATGTTGAATGGTGGCCATCGAGGCATGATCTACGCTGGAAAGTGTAACTTATTTGATATATGAAACACCTAGTTTCATGCCTTGATTTTTTTTTTTGGATCTTTGTGCTTTATTGATGTTGACCCGGCCTTGTGAAAAGCTTATATCAACTTGTCACAAGGCACCCATATATCCAGTCTTTGGTGGATCACCCCACCTATGGTGATCGCTATGAGTCTTGGCAGAATGGCAATGTTGGACCCATATTGGCGCCTCGAATTGGATATGTTTGAACTCGAAGACCTAATCTCAGCGGCCATTGGCCATCCCTAATGGCACCAGCTGCTCAGTCTCGACGAGCCCATCTTTCCAGAGCTCTGTGTGGAGTTTTATTCCACTTTCAGAAGCGAGTAACCTCATGAGCACAACAACCTCCCATTCATCGAGTGCATCCTGGGGAAATTTTCGCCATCGAGTACGATACCATGGCCCAGGCTCAGGGGTTTCACATAGGCATCATGACGAGATCTAGCTGGAGTACACTACGACGACGGATCCCCAACGGGTGTTCGAGGCAGTCTACCAAGAGTAGTACTGTGATAAGAGGTTTCACACAAGCCACACGAGGGCTACTCTCCTCCACCATAGTGGAGGATCCTCCACATGTTGCTGACTCACACGGTAGAGGCCATCGCTTTAGCTCAGGGGCAGGTGACCCTACGAGGGATCGTGTCGCTCCACACCATGAGTAGACCTCGGGAGCCTCTGCTCCTCGGGGCATTTTTGGAAACCTCATTCTCTAGGATCTTGGGGATAGTGCGAGTCTATATGATGAATTTGGTCCCCATCATTACCCGCCAGGCGCCGTTCTATAGAGTTGACACCACCTACTGCATGGTGGTTGGCTGGACCGAGATCTACCCCGTAAGGACGCTCCATCATATGGGGCTGGTACGTACTAACCCGGGGATTAAGTACACTGTACATCGATGGCCTTTGTCCTGCTGCACTTTTCCAAATATTAGTGGATGAGCTGGGTGAGTCATCCCAGAGAGCTCCACCTCGTGGCAACGTGGCCATACTGGCACTACTACATCATCATCTTGTGCTGGACCCTCTTCTTTGAGCAACATTAAGGCATGAGTCACGACTTTGGAGGGTCACTTCACCCATCTATCGGTCAGGCTCGACCAATGGTGAAACGCCCGACATCACTCTCGTTGCATCGAGGAAGGACTCCTTCACTCTCAGAGTCTCCACTAACAAGACCCGTAATGGAAGCCTTCTCGTCCTCACTAGGATGACGACCACCAGTCCTTAGTGTCATGTTGGTACACTACCACCACTCCACTTCTCTCCCCTTGACTCTAGAATTTTGTTTTTCTTTTCATGTGTTTGACTGTGAACTACTTAGTTCATTTTTTATTTTGTTAAGAACTATAAATATTGTGCTTGTGTAACAATTTCACCTTTGGTCAGTTCATGTTAGTGTGTGTGTATGTATGTTTGTTCCTTTTGATAGCTCTCACTCTCCCAAACCTGGTCCAATCTCCAATCCGACTTTCACTCGCGAATGATTAGGTAACTTCGTTCCACCCTTATTCTTGCTCCATTGGGGACAATGTTGAGCTTAAGTGTGGGGGTGTTGAATGTGTATGTGAATGTCGAGTGAATGCAAATTGGATGAATGACCTTTATATTGAATGATTTAGAGCCTTTTTATTGCCAAATTCCTACAATTTGAGAGCTCCAAACGCTTGTGGATGAATGATTGAATGTTGGCATATATTATGAGTGTTTTGGAACCTAGGTTGAATGCTCAAAATTTAAAATTTTAGGGGTTCCAAACACATTGTCCCATGTATGAGTCCTACTCACTATGCTTTGAAAAGTTCAATGTCGCGATGGAGTCCATTATAGAGCGTAGTGCACTATGGAGGTTATTGATCATGAGTTGTTTCACTTTCATTTTCTCTTGTTGTGTTGATACTGTTTGCTATCACGGTTATGACAAGTGTATGGGACTCTCCCCAATTTTGTACTCCAATTTTTTTTGCAAAAAGGTGCTCCATTTTGGAAAATGTTTTTGACAACCTATCATAATGTTTATGTTAAGCAATCAAATGGCTTTTCTTTTGGACCAGAGTGCCATTTGAGGATGTGTTTGGGGATTAGATAGCTTTTTAGCGTCAGACCATCATCATTTTCTACCTTCCACCCCCCTTGCACTTCTCCTCCTCATGGGATTTGTATGCAAAAAGATAATGTGCATCTGTGCAAGTCGAGAGACCTCGATTTTCATTACTACCTCCCCTCCTCACAGGACTTGTATTTGAGGATGTGTCTGGGGATCATATAGCTTTTTATCATCTAACCATCATCATTTGCTACCTTCTATCCATCTTACACCTCTCCTCATCACGAAACTTGTATGCGAGGAGATAGTGTGCCTCTTCGCAAGTCGAGAGACCTCGCTTCTCGTTAGTACCTCACATGCGTGGCAACCCGTCTGTCGTTGAGACGGGAGTGCAGGTTGGGAATAGGTGCTTGAGAGATAAGGACTCACGTCGAAATGCTTCACCTTCCTATCTTATTTCATCCTCTCAACCATCACTTTCCCAACATGAGGCTTAAGAGAAGTCAATTTACTTTTTGACCTTACTCACGAGGGAGAGAACCTTGATTGCCAATGTGGTGTCATGTTCTACAAAGTTAAGTTGAGGCTCGAGAGTTTGAGTCCTCTTTTAAAAATAGGAGCACTATGATGGAGTCCATTTCTTTTGACTTGTTTTCTTGAGAGTCTTCCATTGCACACGTGTAGTGTCTAAATCTCTTTAGTTGTCAAGGTCCTCACACGAGAGTGTGTTGTGCATACCATTTTGAGATTCTTGCATGTTGCACTAGTGTGAGTTAGGTTTGCATGGGGACAAGCAAATGCCTAAGTGTGAGAGAGTTTGATCCGAGTCACTCTATACATGTTTTTACCTCTTTGACTTTGTCGTTTGACTTGTATAACACCGTCCTTGGAGTCATTTTACACTAGGTTTTTGAAATTTTTAGTATGTTTTAGGCAATATCAAGCGAAAGGATCGAAAGTCGGACGAAAAGCAGGAGACCGTGAATATTACAACAAGACCGTGAAGAATGCATAGTCCCAAGGGCTTTTGGACATCTCACAAGATGTGCATGGATCACAGGTGCAAGGCGTGACGAATACATTAAACCGTGAAGTGTGCAAGTGAAAGGGCGCAAGGCGTGTGATCACGGTTTCACTGCACACATCACGAGCATGACGGCAGTTCGTGAAACGTGCACTATCGGGTATAAAAGGAGGAGATCTGATTTCAAGAGGAGAAGAGTTTTAGAGTGAGACTAATTTGTTCTTCTATATTCTAGAGAGAAAGCGACAAACCAAGGAAGATTGTAGAGGAATTTGACCTACCAAAGATCAAAGGAGGCCAAATTTCATCTTTAACACCACCCTAAGCAACTAAGAAAAAGGAGATTCATCTTTCATGAGTTTTTTTCCTTCTCTTTAGTTGTAGTTATTTCTCTAGGCATGGAGTAGATTTCTTTTCACTTGGATTATGTGAACCCTAAACTAGGATGTTGTAGTTTGATGATTGTGAACTCTATGTTGTTAAATGAGAGACATTGATCAATTCCCCCAATTTTGGGACTAATTAACCTAAGAGAGAGAATATCTCCTTAGGGTAATTTGGGTCACTATTCAATCATTGGAAGGGGCCATGAACGAGGGTTATTGGTTTCTTTACGCCGTTCCAGGTCATTGCCCGAGGGAGTGGATTTGGTTTCCCTAATTGCTTAATCCGGTAGTTCGGTACACCTCTCCTATTAGAGCAATTAGGCGAGTTAGAAAAATTCGAATTGGGACTTCTAACTAGCTTTGATCTCCTAAGGAGATAATCATCCGAGTGAAGCTTTCTCACTTTAATTCAACCTCATTTTATTTGCTTGTTTGTTTAGTTCAATAGCTTAAAAAATCGTTTCTACTGCTAGATGATTTGTATTTTTCTGAAGTAAGCTTACATAGACCGCTCGGGTTTAATAACTCAAAATATACTTGCTCTATACTAAACCCATTCGTAGGTTATACTTGACCTTCGATTGGGAGTGTGTAGTTAGGCATATATCACACACTTCCACGATAATGGATCCATGGATGGAACATAAGACTGGACAACTAAGACACGAGCAATGGAGAAGGCAAGATGATAAGCTGATTTTAACATAAAACACACCATATTAATCATAATGTCACACATGCATACATGAACGGGGATCGCGAACAAAGGAATAGAAGAAATTAGCCGGAATGAATTTGGGATTAAAAAAAGCCACATATTTGTTTTTATTTATTTATCAAATTTCACTAATGGGCTTGCATTAAATGGGATACTAGGGCAAGGATTTCAAACCAGTTTAAGCCCTTGGACTAGTGAAACAAATGGTTTGAGGTTCATGGGTTAGATCGGCGTTTGACCAGGTTAAGTCATTTTATACATAATTTATAAATATATGCATATCTATGATAATAATTTAAGGTACCATACAATAATTTAACAGTTAATATATTATATGACCCTACCTGTGTATATATGCTTTCTTTTTCAAAATGGGTTTAACAGAGGACCAAAAGCCCAAAACGCAACATTCTGTCAAAGAGAAAACTGGTCAATCTGGTCAGGTTGTCAATTTTTTTACGGTTTTGACCGACTACCGATTAGGAGGCAAAATGACTTTCTTGGGTCCGTTTTCAGCACCGACTCTGATCTGACCCGGTCCAACCGGTCGGCTTGACAACAGTGGACAAGAGACTGGAGGGAGATTAGTTTAGTCTGTTATGGATGGAATTCGTTAATACATAGTCAAATATATTGACATCCTGCTATGAATTAGATTTCTCTTTGCATTTGTACAACAAGTCCATTCTTTGAAATGCTGTCATATAGAGATGGTGAAGTGAAGTATACCGCTTCCAGCTAATTACCTACCACTCGCAGCCATTAATCCGCCAACTTCTGTTCCTTTTTTTTTTTTTTTTTAACTTTTCTTCTCAAAGATAGTTACTTTCATCATCCCACCAAAAATGAAAAATTGAGTTACTTTAGTTAAACCTGAAACTCACGTAGCTGCAGTTTTTCTCCAGGTAATGCACATACATATAACTCATGAAAACTGTTGAAGGATTTTGGTACGTTTTCAGAAATCTCAAACACAAGCAGGGCTCTTTCTTCATTATGAAAACACAGAAACAAGCCTCTCTCATCTTATTATGCCCCTCCCTCCCCCTCCTTCTTGTTCTTATGAAAACAGAAAACAAAGACAGAACTATGAACAAAGCAACACTTGAAATTTTACTTGTGAATGCCAGTGGCATCAGACGCACAAATCTCATCGGTATTCATTCTTTCCCCCCCTTTGATCTACCTAACCTAACCTACCTCTCATTGCGATTCATAGCATTTTATGAATATGGATGTGGCAACAGGGAAAGCATACTACTATGTCATCATCGAATGTGGGGATCAACAACGCATCACCAAACTGTCATCATCAGGCAAAGATCACAAGACATGCTGGAACCAGAAGTTCAGGTTCGAAGCGCCCCTAATCGATTGGAAGCGGAGGACCCATCTCAAGCTCACCATCTTGGACACGGAGCTGTTCAAAGATGGAGAATTCGTTGGTGAAACCATGTAAATTTCAACTGCAAAAAAATATCCCACCTCTTTTTTTTCTGTTCTGTTCTGTTCTGTTCTGTTCTGTGTTTTGGTTTTAATATGTTTGGTGGTTCTGTTTGTGGTGAGAGCAGAATCTACCTTGGAGGGATAGTGGCAGAGGGGAAAGACAGAGAGGTTGTGGAGATGAAACCAGCTCCATACAATGTTGTCCTCCATGATGGTACTTTCAAGGGACAGATCAAGCTTGGGATCAAATTCATGACTGTCACTCATGTAAAGTCAACAACAAACAAACTTTGATGCTAATTTGTTAAGCAAAATTGGGTACCTATCTATCTTTGAATAGATGTTGAAAAATGTGCATAATATTGTGCAGGAAGAGGAGGAGGAGGCGGCTAGGGAGATCGTTGCCGCGCAGCTGCCCAGTAGCACTGCTACTGCTACACAGAAGGCAGCAAGGCGATCGTCTTCATCAGCAGTATGGGAAGCCATAAGCAGTGTGTGGAAATCTTCGTGGTGGAAGTTTTGGAGTTATTGCAGTCCTAAAAGTGGCAAAGAGCAAGCCAAAGTCAAATTAACTTAGCTAGATAGGGAGACTCCATCATATGTTACAATAAATACATAGATGAGATAGCAAGTGTTATGGAAATGTCGATCTCTACTTGTCACTTCTTTGTTATCAGAAAATTTCAGATCCACCATTTTCTTTTTTTTCTTCCCCCATGGCATATATAGCTAAATGTTGGCGTTTCGAGCCTCTCCACTGTTCTTTCTTTCGCTCCTGCTTTCTTTTGGATTGCCCAACAGGCAACAGCAGCGGCAGGAAGCTAGCTTTTAGAAGAAGGAGAGATGGTGACAAGTACAAACAGAGGAACTCTGTACTTCTTCTCCCTGTAAATTTATTTCCCTCTACAATTTGCAAACCCAAATAGTGGTTGGTTGAGAAGTGAGAACTTTTCATTGGGCTGGCTAACCATGGGTAGGGGTGGGTGGGCCAACATCTTATTATTGGCCAGATCGAAAGCTTTCCTTTGCTTGGACATGAAGACTCCTCTACAAGATTGTTAAATCGGATTAAAGTCATTAAGACGGTTTAACAAGTGATTTGCGGTTGAAATTTAGGATCGAGTTCAACTAGTTCAAACCAATTTTAATAGAATATGTAAAATATCATTAAAACCAAATAAATTATACATATGTAGGACATATTTTAAAATGATCTCATTAATATATATTCATATATTATCAAATTATTTCTTCAAAAGAAGTATATATTACCAAATTATCAATCCTCATCTTCAAACTCGGTCGGATCCGTTTGCTTTGACCGGTTTAACCCGATTTTGACTTCTTTCAAAAACCATCCAACCGAAACATATTTCAACTGTTCAGATAATCGATTTTAGTTGGACCAGGACACCAAATTGAACCGGCCGGCCAGATAATGATTTGACAACCTTCCACCTCTGACATATTTTTCTTTGAAATTAGCATTGCCTCGACAATTAAATCCACATTTCTTCTCCAATCAATTCTTTGTAGTTCCAATATCAACATATATAAATCTCGACTATCATAATTTATGAATACTCAATAAATCTGCTGGTACAAATAAATCAACCATATTGTTCGAGGAATAACAACTAAGAATGTTTTCACCAAATGATAAGTAATTGTTACAACCCATCATAGAAAATAAGGGTTATTGATCTGGTTAAGTGGCTGACTAGGTCGTTATTCTTATGATATTCTCTATCAGTCAGTTGCAGTGGCGGATTTAGGCCCTCCTCTAGGTCCAAAACTGTATAACACTTATAATTTTTTTTGATTTTATGTATCCGATTTAGTGTTATTCAAATGTGCCCCAATGTTAATTTCTATTCAAATGCACTCCAGTGCTCTACTATGTCCTAGACCTGCCACTGGTCAATCGCTTTAATGATAAAATCGTCTCTCTAGACTCTCGATTTGTGCAGCAGAACTCTATAAAGAGTACTATCTCGTGTTTCCACTCTCTGAATTTGTGTTTCTAGAGGGTCTGGGAGGCCTGCGATTATAGAAGCAGAACCTCTTCAAAGTCAGTATCATGTTACCAAGTCAATATTACTAACAAAACTGCTAATGAAAAATTAACATTGGCTAATATTTTGTGTTTTAAAAAATTTAACTGATAATTTAAAATGTTTGAATAATAAATTGTATTTACCCTCATTTGTTTTGCAAGGTTTCACTTGTCGTTCATTTGAGAATTCAGTATAACTTTTAGTAGCTATTCATTGATGAATATTTAAAGAAATGAATCAGGGATAACTTTGAATTTGTGATACCTACCTAACACACTCCCCTGCTTAAGAATATATATATATATATATATATATACAACAACACCCTTAATAATTAATAATTAGTTTCTAGCTTCTACGTGCCCTTTGAATTATTATTTTTGTTTGGCCGCTTGAGAAAATTCAATTGTGTCTAATGTTCATGCACTGCCTTAACAACTATAAACAAGTATTTGACCACCTGATTAAGAGCTTTAATTGTTCTGAACCCTGAAAGTGGAATGCACGTTTATAGTTCTAGATGGAGAACCAATATATTATACATGCTTCATCTCTTGTTCCTAACTAGAAAAGATTATCACCAAATTCTAAGAAGAAATGAAAAATCAACCAACCAACCAGCATCCATCAGTTTATTATTTTTGGGGTTGTCAAGTTGAGAATTGGGTTAGGTCATCCAGTAAGAATTGGAAAGACATTAGACATGCATCCAATATCTCCATGTCCCCCCTTCTAATTTAGTTAATTAATTAGTGTCTTCCCCTGGACAACAAAAATCAACGCCTAAAACTAAGTAGTTTACCAAAAAAAAAAAAAAACAATACATATATAGATAGTTTCAAAAACAAACAACACATTAGTAAATTTGTAGGAATATATTGATAATTAATTTTTTTTCGATTTTAGGTATCCGATATAGTGTTATTTAAATGTGGTCCAGTATTATTTTCTATTCAAATGCACTCCAGTGCGCTACTATGTCCTAGACCCGCCACTGATCGATCGTTTTAACGATAAAATCGTCAGACTCTCGCTTTGTGCAACAAAACTCTATAAAGAGTTTGGCCGAGCAAGGGTTTGGCCTAGTGATAATACCACTAACCTAGAACCTGGAGGACCCAGGTTCGAATCCCTTAAGTAGTACCTTAATAACAACAAAATGAAATCTATATCACCCTTATCCAAAAAAAAAAAAAGAGTTTGGCCGAGCATAGTTGCCTGCAGCGCAAAAAAAGGTTGGAGTATGCAGAGTTTGAGCAGAGCCCCAAGGAAGAAAAAAATCGATCAAAAGGACACTTCGCGGTCCTTTTCTAAATAACAGTGGACGAGCTCCAAATGTGTAGATCGTCGTCCTTTAATTCATAACTTCATTCGCTAGCGAGTGCAAATTATTACGAACCTCTCACGCACAACACATCTTAGTGATTTTTCTTGTCGTTCTTGAAGTTATATCGTATAAGTTAAATTTTACTAATTCTTTCGATACGACACAATTACGGCGCTATTTTCCGTGTCGTCATGAAACGCAATCAAGCGGGCGTTGTAAGATGTGAAATAAGGGGTCGTTTGGAAGTTGTGATTTCAAATGGTGTATTGATCTAATTCATGTATTTGTGAGATTAAGTCGTTTTTTTTGGCTTATATAGAACCAGAATACATGCATTTACTTTTTGGAGGTCCCACCACAATCCCTCAATATTGAGGGATTTACAATCTCTACATTTTGTTGAAATTCTTCACAATCACTCAATACTAACTTTTTTACCTTTGGAACAAAAACACAATCTAAACCTCCAAACAAGATATTTACCTAATACATCAATTGATTCAATCCATCAAATCATAATACACTGATTGTCCCAATACATCAATTTGAAGAATCACAACTTCCAAACAACCCCTAGGATATTACTACAAAATGAATCGAAATCGCATTCCTAACCGTGGTGTCATGTCAACTCATGTGCCTAAACCCAATCCCTCTTTAATAAAATGGCATGTAGATCAAATCCTCATTCCTTAATTCTGAATCTCAACTATATAATTCACCCATCCAATAACCAACCAAATATCATGTTTAAAATAGACAAACAAAATCAATTTTTTTTTTTTAAAGGAAAAATCCAACTAACTTCCTTGCTTCAATCTACCTGTTTATATAAACTCACCCACGACTACCACCAGCAGCAGCAGAGGCAGAGAAGCGAGTTCGTCACAACTCTCAACCAGAGATTTTCCTCCTCTGTTTTCTTCGTCAATGGCGGCCAGAGATTTACTCCTCCTCTGTTTCTTGAAGCAAAAAGGAAAAGGCTTGTAAAAGCGAACCAGCCAGCAGCAGCAGCACAAAGAAGGCGGGAAAGAAGGGACTGGTTTTTTCAAGTGCGATAACTGCTCAGCCTTTTGATTATATCCTAACTTAACGGTAATCTCAATTTCTTCTCAGTTCTCCTCACACATCAAACGGTCCAAATTTGAATTGAATGATTTGTGTTGATAGAAAAGGGCAAGAGGAGAAGGGATGATAATAGCCTGCCGTTTGCTTTTTATTTTCAAAAAACTGATTTACCGTTGCTCTTTTGGTCGGAAGAAACTATGAAATATGTAACTGCCGCTTTCTTTATATTTCCCCAAACTCTGAATTGTGCAGTCAAATTGTTCCGAAACCTTCTTTGAAGAGAATAACAACGACGTATCAGCAAACCATTTTCCCGACCCTTTTGCTTTTCTTGTCTTTTTTTTTTTTTTCCCTTTCCAAATTCCGCCATTTTCAAAAGCTCCTTCCCGGGCAAAAGCATCAGATTCCGAACAAGTTCCTCAACACCCTCTTTTTATTGCTCTCAACGTGACTCCATGGTCACTGTCTTTCAGTTGCAGAGTCGATTAGTGAAGAGGTGCAGAAAACAGAGGGTCAGGAAAATGGACAATTCGTCGTCGAGCTACGACGAGAGCTACGATCTGGGCTACCAGCCGTCGCCTTCTTCGTTCGATCAAACGACGCCGACGTTGAGCCGGGATTCCCTCATGTTCGGCCGTACTTTCTCGGAAACGTCAGCTTTCTCCGACATCAGTGCGAGTTATTGCTCCAGCGAGCCTTCCCCTGCTCACTGGATGCACGAAGCCAGACCCAGGTCGCTTAATCAGAACAGAGCTCTGCTTGCCAAGCAGGACATGAAGTCGCAAGCTGAGAAGCTCAGCGTTGGTGATGATGGTGACGACGACGATGTTGAATCCATTGATTTAGGTAACTGTTTCCTTTACAGGGGCTCCTCTATTTTTTTTTTCTCTCTCCCATCTCTCTGTTTCTTTTTCACTGAGTGGTGAACACGAAGAAATTGTAATAATTGTGCCGATAAATTTTTAGAATTTAAATTGATGGTCAATTCTTCATCCCTATAATTCATTTTGCCAGCAAACATTTAGCATTCAATTGGTTTAATTTCGTCGTGTGCTGACTTGTTTGGTTTTTCCATATGAAAATGAAACAGAGCTTGAGATTATGAGAGAGAGATTTTCAAAGCTTCTGCTGGGAGAAGACATGTCAGGTGGTGGGAAAGGTGTCTGCACTGCTGTCACCATCTCCAATTCCATTACCAATCTCTACGGTGAGTCTAAAAAACTTAGCCACACATGTGATTGAACTGTCCTTTTGATCGAATTTTTTCTTCCTTGGGGCTCTGCTCAAACTCTGCATACTACTCCAACCTTTTTGTGCTACAGCAACTGTGTTCGGGCAAAATCTGAGGCTGGAGCCACTAAAACCGGAGAAGAAGGCAATGTGGAAGAGAGAAATGGACTGCCTTTTATCTGTATGTGATTACATAGTGGAGTTCATCCCTAAATCTCAAAACTTGCGAGATGGAACTGCTCTGGAGGTGATGGAAAGCAGAGTGAGATCAGACATTTACATGAATCTTCCCGCGCTGAGAAAGCTGGACGCAATGCTCCTCGTAAGAAAAACCCAACTCGAACAAAGTTTGCCCTTTCCCTTTTTTTTCTTCATCAGAAACAAATCGCATTAATAAAGTTCATTTCTTGTTGTGTTGCAGGAAATACTGGACAGTTTCGAAGAAGCAGAGTTCTGGTATGCAGAGCAAGGAAGCATGTCATCGAACTCGACCCGATCCGGTTCGTTCAGGAGAGTGGTGATCCACAGGACGGAAGAGAAATGGTGGGTTCCAGTGCCCTGCGTGCCTCCAGGAGGAATCTCTGAGAAGTCGAGGAAGCATTTGAGGCATAAGCGTGACTGCGCCAACCAGATCCACAAAGCAGCCATGGCCATCAACACCAGTGTTCTCACTGAGATGGAAATCCCTGATTCTTACTTGGCATCTCTTCCCAAGGTTCTCTTCTTTCCTTGTTTTTTGAATTTGGCTAGGCCGTGGCGTTTTAGAGAGGAGAGGGTAAAATTTTTGGTTGGCTTTTTTTCAGAGTGGGAAATCGAGCCTAGGGGACTCCATTTACAAGTACATATGCACGATGGACAAGTTCTCGCCAGAGAGGCTGCTGAACTGCCTCAACATAGCATCGGAGCACGAAGCACTGGAGCTCGCAGACAGAGTCGAGGCTTCGATGTACACGTGGCGGCGTAAAGCGTGCTTGAGCAATTCGAGGTCGTCGTGGGGGGACCTGATGAAGGATTTGGTTTCCGAGATAGACAGGACGGATAAGAACCATGTGTTGGCAGAGAGAGCAGAGAGCTTGTTGTTCTCACTCAAGCAGAGGTACCCTGGCTTGTCTCAGACATCCTTGGATATATGCAAGATCCAGTGCAACAGGGTAAGTTGTGAATCTTACATTTTTTTCGTTTTTCGCCATTCCATTGATAAATGGTGGCAAGCGAGGCTTTCGTGATTACAAAGTAATTTGCTACAAAATTGCAGGACGTGGGTCAGGCGATACTGGAGAGCTATTCGAGGGTGTTGGAAGGTCTAGCATTCAACATTGTTGCCTGGATCGAGGACGTTCTTTTCGTAGATAAATCGGTTAAGAACTAAGATTAGCAACCCTAATCCTAGATACTTGTTACTTGTACTATCCTTTCCTTTCTTGGCAACTGTCGATGCTTGAACCAAACACTTTGTAAGGGAGAAAGAAAGCTCCCACCTTTCCTTGTAGGACGCTGGTTTTGCTTCTAGCAAAACACCAGAGAGCAGAAGAAGACTATTTCACCGGCCTTTTTTACCCTTATCTGGAGAAGCTTTTTATTGAGCAGAAGCTCCATTAAACGTTTCCCTGTCATAACAAAACAACAAATGGAACCCTTGTCCACAGCCAGCAGGCACCTGGATTCAATTGGGTGAGACGAAGTTCTGCTCAGAACAACTGTCTAATAAATGACAGCCATGGAAACAGAATCTAAAACAAAAGGACCAAGAGCTAGTTCTGTCTCTCACTGCTCCAAAGCAAAGATCCTACAGCAACGTATCCTCTTCTAACTAGTGGGAAGTGGGTAAGAAAAACATATCCAAATTTTCATGCACAGGCAACTAATGGGAGCGTGAGCATGGCTGCTAGCTTTTATCCAACTTGCATCACCATACAACATGAGGTGAAAACCCCCCAGGGCAGAAGCAAGCAATTCATTGATGCACATGGAAGTGATACAACACAATCAGATTTAGACTTGGCAAAAGAAGAACAATCATCTCTATATGTACAAACCAGGCCTCCTTTCCTTCGACTGCATTTCTACAAGGACAGCAGTCAAGAATCCAGGGGGAAGACAAAAAGATTCAGTCAGTCGCTGCTGAGCCACGGCCCACACTTCCTTGCTTGGCACGTTCTGAACAACCACGGACGACATTGGGGTTTTTCTTCCCACCCACTCCCAAAAACAATTGTACCAATTGCAGATTGCAATGAATGAAAACCATGAATTCTCTCAACTGCTGCTTGGGGGCTGTTCCTCATTCAAATAACAATCAAGAATCTCCTCTCATCACATAAATTAATAATTTAGGTATCGTCATCAACAGCACCAATGTAAGTGAGATCAGTCCGTCTAACCCGTACAGCACCCTTGAGCCAGTTTGAGGCCCACAGATTAGATTGGCCACTACTGCTGCCAATTACTGGAGTATTAACTGAGGACGATGAGGATGGACCAACACCAGCTCCTGTGCCATCTTCCAACAGTAACCATGGGTCGATTTCGATATTATCGCTACTGTCTTGTTGAGCCGCTGATTGCTGCTTGGACTTCCCTGTTGGATTCCTTGTCAACATTGAAGGGGAATTTCTCTGTGGAGGGTAACCAGACATTACAATGCTGGTGGGCTGCAAGGAAGCAATGGCAGCAGAAGGAACAGATGGTGGCTGACAAGAGATGCAGCATCCAACAGATGGAAGAAGAATTGGCATTGCTGCTTGGATACGCCAACGGATTCCACTAGGTAGGTTCATGCGGTCTAATTCGCTCTGCATTGATACCACATACATTCATTAGACATTGGACAACAATAATAGTATCTCTGGGTCTAAGTGATGCAGGAAACTGGAGAAGAGACATACTAGTTCAGACATTTAAACCCTAGATTTTAATAGCAGTCCATAATGCAGAGAAAGAACAACAGCATTTCACAAGCATGTTCATATAGTTCAGTACAGCATCCTGAAGTTGCATAGGCTGCCAACGGCTAGCCCTATCATATGGCACAGGAAAATGCATCTTGAGATCTAAATTTAGAACAATCCCTGTAGCCTTAATAAGCTCCAAGTTTTAAGAGAATGCAAGAACACAATCCAGTCAGACTGCCTTCCACTTATCTAAACTGAAGAGGTACAACCATAAAACACTAAATAGAGGATAAACCCCAATCAGACTTCCTTCCACTGCTTATTTCTCAAGACAACGCAGGATAAACCCCATTTAGGAACCTCACTACTCAAGAAACAGATTTTACTGATACTGAGAGGTTCAAGCATAAAACACTTCATATGTTGGATAATCACTCTAACTTTTCCCCCCAAGGCAATAACATATTATATGAAAAAGGACTGTCTGATACGTTTGCTTTATATTCCCCCAGACCTTTTTGCCTTGGGGGAGGATGACTGATAAAAACAACCCTTAACTATGCGAAAAAAGACTTCTATAAATCCATCCCAAGATTAAAAGACAAAGGCAGTACATGGGAGCGAAAAGTGAATCTTTAGCATGCCAAAGCAACAAAAATTAAACATAATTTATTGAAGAACGGACCTGTAAGCTTTCCACCAGTTCACGGTCAAAACCAGCAGAATCCTTGAAAGATTCATTGTTCGCTTTTGAAGGTGACCTTGATTTCAACCATCTTGGTTGACAACTGCTCAGCAAACCGTGAAGGACCAACAATAGCCGGTCAAAGAGACTTTCACCCGATAGATCTGCAGAAGCAGCTTCCAAAGCTATGCATTCAGAATCCCTCTTAGGTTGAGCATTTTGAAAGCGTATTGACAATTCCGAATCCTCATACACAACCCGGCTCCCAAGGAGACGAAGTATTACTGAGGCAAGCATGTGCCTCATGTTGCGCCCCGAAGGCTCACTGTCATGCCAAGCATCCGGAAGCAAAATCAGCAATTACAGTAACCCAGAATCACTTAACACCAGGAGAGAATAAACATCTCAAAACTGACATGCAAAAAAAAAATAATTTTTTTTTGAAGAATAGAGGCCAAGAAGACTGATAGCATATTTAAGTCCATATTGCTCTAAAATCTTGGGTTAGAACACACCAAGTCAGTTTTAAGGCTGGCCACACTAGCATGCCCCATTTCATTACATGCTACAGTAAAGCACTAGATGTGATTCTACACCGCAAGGCTTAAGTGTGGAATGACCACAATAATATCCTGATAATATAGTGCAGAATCAACTGAACATGCAAAAAAGATGTTCTAACTGAATTGGAAAACTGTATCAGTATATAAGATCACAAGAAGTCATCAGAACAAATGCAGAGCTGCAGAATGTTAGAACCTTGAACCAATGAAACAAGCGAAAAGAATATGAAACAACAAGAAATGTGTTAATTGCTGGCCACATTAAAAAATAAAAAACTAAACTATTGAGCAGTCAAAGAAAATAGGTTCTATCCAATTACCCATATGCGCAGATTACAGGAAGTAATCTCAGAAGTAACTGCAACCGCAACGACATAGAAGTCCGCAAAGCAGCAGGCGAAGGAAGAGCAGAATCCCCAGCCCCTGTTGTTCTTCTAGCCAATCCAGGACTACCACCTCTTATACCCTTGCGAGTAGTAACCTTGTTTCCACTACCCTCCAGTCCAGAAGAGGCTGTTCCTGCCTGCTTACTTGCACCACGAGTCACCGGGTTTATCTGCTGCTCAATATTGTTCAATTGCTTAATTAAATCACTAGCAAAGGTATTGCGTGATTCTTCAGAACCTTGATCTATGCAAGGAAGAACTAGCTCAATAAGTGCCTTCTCAGTCACATTGTGTTGGCTTACAGTGAAACAGTCTGAATCAGATACATGAATAGATCCTTTTCCAGACTTTTTAGCATCAGCCCCATCATCAATTACCTCTCCTTCCTCAAGAGAAGTAGCCTCAAACTTCTTAGCTCCTTTGCTTGACACAGGATCAGACCCTGGACTTGACCAGCCCCAGGGCTTCCAGAACTGGGCCTTAGTAGAGAGGCCCTTGCTCTCGGCAATATTAACAAGCCTCTGTCTAATAGTTTTGCGTCCAAAAAGAACATCCTGACCACCCAAAAACCATTTTGCATGTAATAACATTGAATCCTCCAGTGACCGCCCAAAGAGATGAACCAGCTCTGAGAAGAGGGGTGCAGCATCTGGCCTAACCAACAACCTTGTGAGGATTAACTCAATGAACTTGTTCTCATTTTCTGAAGCGGCCCCCTTTTCGGGACCAGGTGATGAAGAGCGGATAGCATCAGCAACGGAGATATCATGGGCTTCAAGTTTTTCAATAAGGGCTTGCTCATTCAGAAGAAGCCTGAGCTCAAGCCACTGCCAATGGAACTTTGCAGGCTGAAGAGCATCCAACACATTGACTAGCTTATCAATAAGCTTCATCACATTCTCCGAGTGAGGGACTTTGGATCCCCCAAGTGAAGACATGTGGTTGCTATCTCCGTGTGCAAACAAAGAGTTCGGCAGTTTACAATCAATGATCGAGTTCAAGAACAGCCTTCCTCGGAGAGGAACAAAAGCCATGGACTTAACATGTGTGTCCAAACCATTTAGCTCCAAAAGAGCAGCAAAGTCAGCATCACTGGTATCTGAAGTCACAAGATCATAAAAACCTTGACTGTCCCTCAGACATACATCCCGGAATGGCAAATGTCTTATTGCATCACTGATAGCCATGGTCAATGATTGGTATAACTGATGGATGTCTTCCCGGCTTGCAAAGTTACTAAGAATAAATGGTCTCCACAAAACAAGAGCAAAAATAGAATAAGCAGGTGGGAAGACCAAGCTAAGAGGTAGCATCCTTTGCATCCTTGAAAGAGCGACAATAGATGGTTCACCCAAAAGCTCCACAATAAAACCATCCGATACAGTTCTACAGTTTCCGACAAGCACCCTAAACCAATGGACATAAACTTCAAGCAAGTTGTCTACCTTGAGGGCCCCTGTTGAACGTGCATTACCATTCGAGTTTGTTTTGGTACTTCTCACAAACTGAACAACGTCAAGACCTTCCTTTAATCTAAACACCGTAACAAGCCTCTCCAGGTTAGTAACACCATAAACTACTGCACCAATTATAAGAGCTGAAACTGCAGCAGCACCTTTTGTCCCCCTCCCCAACAATCCCTTCGCTGTTTCACTGGAAATATTATTAGAATCATGAGCATCAGGAGACATCTGAAACTGCCCACGAGATGCCTTTCCAGGAGAGAAGGCTGCCGCAAGAGCTGAACAAGCTTCTGTAGCAAGAGCAATCTCAAAAACCCTACTCTGACGCTCACCAAGAGCTTCCTTAAGCAACCGCAAACAGCTTATATGGATATGCAAAACACGCCTAGCAAAACTTAAAGAGCTTGCACACAAAGCAATAGAATAGTTATTGCCTGGTTTGGCATCAGGAATCTTCACTATAGCTGGCCCTATATTGTTAACAATGGCAGAAACTGCAGAAGACACCAAAGACGGATCACCTTCCTGAGCAGCACCCCCAGTCTGTCGCATGCACTCCATCAGTCCCATAATTATTTGATGTGCCACATGGTAACAATCATCCAACTTTTCCAGACCAGGGACTTTGGGTGCACCAGCACTAAAGGTCTTCCTTTCTTTGCCAAGAAAGTATTGCAAAGTTTCATCAATATGCCTTTGGACTACATCCCTCATACTTAAACCCACCCTGGATATTCGGTTTACACTTATCTTTTGTCGAAGGAAATCATCAGGATCATCAACTCCAGCTGGAACCCCAAGAGTAAATCCTAACTCACCATCTGGTGAACGCCCAGAGTCGAGCTCAGAAAGAAGCCTCTTATCATAAGTTGTCTTACGACTCTTCTCCCACTCTGCAATACTTGGAATATTGACATACCTCTTCAATAGATATCGGGAGTAACTCAAGGTTGCCGAGCCTGAAATTCTCACATTAGAGGCGAGTAGTGCTGCAAGACGTTGCAATATGGCTGTCAGAACTTCAGGCAGAAGATCTACGGCAATCATCATGTTCTCGTACCTGAATAAAATTCATGGCAAAGGAAAAATGAGCGTTTCAAATTATTTAATGGAAGTCCATAGTATCCGCTAGTAAATAACACCAAGTAATTTGATAGAGAACAGCATATACAGATTACTACCCACATGAACGACCACATTGCTGAAGAGGTTGCTCAAAACATAACTTGAGTTTGTTAAACACAATACTGGACGTACAATATGGAGAAAAGGTCATGGATCTCCTTAGCTTAGGCAATTATACGGGGGAAACAACTGCTAGCCAATTCCAGATGGTTCTTCCAAGAAGAAACTAATTGAAAAATAGAAACGCACACAGCTATCTACACATTAAATGTTTGTTGGGCGGGTGGGGGAAGGGAGACAGTCTGTCCACAAAGAACAATCAGTGCTTACAATGAGCGCAAAATATCATGTGAGGATAGAACTAACATGCAATCTCAAGAAAGAATGAAAATGGATAAAGGCTAGAAAAAGGAACTATACGATAAAATTAAATGGAAAAATATGAAAGCAATTTGGGATGTTACCTTCTCAGCGATGATAACCAAAAAGCTTCACCCACTTCACATGCATGAATTTCCATATTCCTCGGTAACATCATAACATTTCTCCCGCTGTGAATAGTAGAACTTTGGTTACTTTGAACCTTGGGCAACAACCAAAGAAGAAACTTGGCAGCAGACACAAGATCATTACAGATATCCATAAGGTATAATATGACATTTAATTCATCCTCACCAAGCTTCCACCTTACAGAGTTCCTATCATCATCATTAGGAACAAAAGGCCTATTATACGGGTTGGCCTTGGAAGTATTCTTTTCCGTATCCTCCACAAGTTGCCTCACCATCGTTGTTAACCAAACTGTAATCATCCGCTTCTCCACAAATCGTAGATGCTTTAAAGCTTTTCCAACCAAAATAATGTCTACACCTAGCGCTAATCTGGTTCCATCCACTGTCTTCAGATTCTCCCCATCATTCGCAGTTCTGTGATGAGGACAACTGACCTTACTTTCACAGACATGACTCGAAGAGGCCCCTTGGCTAGCCTCAATCCTAGCAGCTGCTAGTTGAGCAAGGCTTTGAGTCTTACGGACAAGTTTCTGTCTGCTCTTGGGGGCTTGTTTGGATGGCTTGATAGGTGGATCAACTTTTGATGGATCTGATGTTTTACTACCCTTCCGCACCCACCAATTATCTTCATTGTCAAAGCTAGGAAAATGTCCTTGAATTGCTGAGCTTGTTTCCTCACTTAACTTTTGCCTCTTTGCTTTCTTACACTCTTCACACCCAGGTGTAACTTCCACCATATCCAGCTTGCTGCTGACCGAGTCCATAGACCTTTTACCACTTACAATAGATTCATCGACTCCTGAATCTGAAGATGTTGAGCGGTTAGGGAACTGCAATAATAATGATATGGAAACCTTGAGTTCCTCCACCTTAGCCTCAGCCTTGACTTTTTGTGAAGTCAAATTACCAGAGGGGGGCTTGTTGGCTTTCCAATGATCAGGAGCACAATCAATTGCTGGTAATATATAATGTTTTTGCTCTGGATCTGCTTTACTTGATTTAACTGAATTCTGAGATTTTCCACAAAGAATGCCTTGAAGGAGCAGACGTCGCTCATTCGAGTAGACATGCATGGCCTCTAAAAGTCGTGACCCTTCAGCAATCTTTGCCTCTTCTAGGACATCACGGATAAAGGAGCCAGGTAACTGCTTCAATACCCAATAATGTCGCTTCATTCTGTCATGATCCCCAGCACTTAAAGTTGAATCCATTATTCCACTTATTATCAGCTGCCTAACGTATGCATGAGGGTAAAAGATTCCAGCACGCATAAGCTCCACTATAAGCAGTTGAAGGCGCTTCAAGCCTTTACCTCGACCGGCTTCATGTTGATCAATCCAGCATACTATGACATCATGCAATGGACCAGGGCTCTCAAACAAACCTGGGGAACTACTAGATTTCGCGTTCATGATTCTTGAGCTACTCTTAAATTCATATCCATAGGTGGTAGGCCCATTGCTCACACCAATTTGCTGATTAGGCCCACTTGAGAAATTACTGCCTCCTATGTATCTTCCACTCTTGATTCTAAGTACACACTCCAAATCCCTTATCTTCAGCTTCAGTAGACGACATGCAATATACACCTGAGCAATGTCATGTTTGCCTGTGAATTTCAAGTCATTGGGCCTCGCAGTTCGAAAATCTCTATATTCAGACGTTGCCCACTCACAAAGAAAAAAGACAGAGCAAACAAAAGATGAGCTAACATTTTGTAGGCACTTCAATGAAGATCTCAAAGAAGGGCTCACTTCTTCTATCCAGCTTTTATCTATGGCTCCATCACAAAACTGTTCGAAAAGGAAACTGTAAGCCCCTTTAACATCACCATGAGATAGAGCTTTGTCTAGTGCTTGCACAGCTTTAGCCACATTATGGAAAGGGTAGCCAGGGCTAGCAGCCCTTGCCAGATTATCTGAACGCTTCTGGATGGAAGAAACAACCTGATTAAAGGATAGAGTTTGATATTGAGAATCAATGCCTCTGGTTCTGAACACACAACCAACTTCTGTTGAACTATCTTTTGCCCTTCGTGCATCCTCCAATGTCTTTGAAACAAAAGTCCCATCACTTGCTGCATAAGACAATACACTTGGTGGCAGTGGAAAGCAATCCAAAGCAACAAACGTATCAGGTACAGCCAATATCAAATACCGAAGCATCTCCACCAAAGCAGAAGTAGTATAGGCTCTCCGAGAATTATCTACCAAATCTGATCCACCAGGAGAGGGTTCACGAATGAAACGAACAGCAACTGCTGCAAGAGTGCGTACATATGTCTGTGATAGAACAATTGCTTCCAAGAAGCCATATATGATGGGCAAGAATAACTGCAAAATCTCAAGCATGTCCTTTTCCTGAGAGCACAGGTAGGAAAACAAGGCAAACAGAACTGATTGTCATTGCACGCTTAATCAGAAATAAAACAACTAGACATCAAATCAAATACCTGTAGTTGACCAAGAAGCCAATCAACGATTAGTGAAGGAAGAAGCAGCCCTTCAGAATGCTGCCAATGCAATAGCCGCACAACATACCACCACTTAAAATTTAAAGAAGGCTCATCCCCATCAACAGAAACTAGAGTGGGGTCATTCTTGTTCTGCATTGAGCCCACATAAAGCATCTGAGATCGGTCTCTACTATGTGGAACAGAATGACTACTAGTTCTAGAGCAGAACTCATCCAGAAGATGTTGCAAGTACTCAACAACATCTTTGGTCCATAGCTCTGACCGGGACAGCGGATTTCTATCTTGCGTACCAGAAGCAATAATTGAAGAATTAGGCCTGACCTGAAAGAGACATCAACCCGATGCTTTGAACATAGCTAAATGGAAGCTATACCTCAGGATCAATAGTTGAGTATTGGAGTTAAGGGTTTACCTGATTAAGATAAGTAACTTTAATAAACCAAGTTGCCCTAAGCAGTGGTACATTATTCCTTACAAGAACTTCAAAAAGTGCTTTCTTCCGATATCCATGAGGGACATGATCAGCTAAATAACGCAATCTCTTATGTGGTTGTGATAGACCCTGCACATATGACGGGAAAGGAGGGAAAGAAAGCATTAAAAAGGAAAGAGATATAGAAATGCACAAGTAATTACTAAGCAAATGTTTAGTAAATGTCAGGTTCATAGGGAAGTACTCATATCCAGATCTAGACTGAAAAACAGTGATTATTCTGAAAGTCAAAATCCAGTTGTGGATAGCTAGCAGTGTTACTTTTGCAATAACAAATCTACAAGTCCACTGCATTAATAACACAACAGCAAGCCTTTACTTCTAAAACTCTCACACAGTTTGTTCGATACATGTCCATGTTTCCGTGAACCAGAGACAAAGAAAAAGAAGTGTATTAGAGATTTCTGAACACCGTGTCATACAATGCTTACTATCAAATGCTAGCAACAGATTTCCCACTCATTATAGCCAAATAAGATTCGGTACACGAATTAAACAGACATACCTCGATCCATTTTTTCTTGGAGTCTTCTCCACATGCCCTTTGTTCAGGAAAGACACCAGGCTTAGTAAGCAATGATCCAGAGAGAGGAACACCATATACTTGACCAGCCTGCCATATCAACAACAGATGCCCATGTTTTAGATTTGGAATCCAAATACACCATATGAGGTAAAGTTAGTCACCCAAGAAAAACAACCATTAAAACAAAGCACCAAATTACCTTTCGCTTCTGAGCACGAGACTCATTGATGGCTCTCAGACACTTCCGGATTGACTGCAACAACATACATCATCAGAAACTACCAATGGTATTGTTATGAAAATAGGCAAATTCACAGCACCGGAGAAAATAATAGCCAAAACCAAGTCTAGTGACTAACCTCTTTGCACTTTATCACGGCAAGCTTATTGAATGTTTGAACCTGAGTCAATGAGATTTCTCTTGTTTCCTGAGAACACAGCCAGTAGTTACTAGTTAGACTTTATTTAACACTGGCATTAATGAAGACAACAGAGGTAAAATTCCCCAAAAAACCAAACCATAACAGAAGAAAGAAGCATTAATCTGTCTCACATCCTTAAACCTAAAGGCACGAGCATTTCCTGGAAAGATACAACTTATTTTCCAAAATTGATCAGAAACAAACCTTTTAAGTTGTGTGAAATTCTTTTCGTGTTAGAGACCCAACAATGTAAAACGTAGAATACGAGCACAAGGTTAACACTTTAAAATCACACATTATCAAGCCTTTGACACTCATCTGTAACCAACCAAGAAACAGATACAGAAGTTCATCAAATGTTTTGTGCCAAAACAGAACACATGAGTGACCATCTAGACCAATAACGAACCACTTTCAAACAATAAACAAGATGGTATACAGCACGGCAAGGACTTGAAAATTATAAGATGTTCAACATAACAGATTGAGAATACCAAGTCATCAGAAGCAAGGAGTGTATCACACACATATATAAAGGATGATCAATAAACAAAGAAATGTCAGAAATTCACGTGGTCTATATAAAGCAACAAACTTGAGTGCTAAAAAAGCATACCTCAAGTCCTTCAATTGTCTCTCTGTATCCAGCTTGTACATACTCTCTGGTGAGTGTCTCCTCAGGACAATTCGGAGTTTGCGGATGAAAATCAGGTGGCCCAAGTCTAAGTTTCAGAAGACATATAAACCCAATAAGATAAAAGCCCCAGTTACTCAAAAATCATGAAATAAAAACTAAAATAACTGTAATAGAATCATCTAGCCTACAATAGAAAGATACTGTGGTTACTAGAAACAAATCAAGCCACTGGAAAACTAATTAACATGAAGAACCATGGTTGTCAATGGAGCAACTACCTCGAATTTAAAGGTTCCTTCTCACACTTCAACTTGTATGCAGTTAGAGGATGTAGTCGCCTGCATAGCATAGAACAGCTCTCTGAGTTAGATGATCAAAGAACGGTACAAAGAATATCATCAGAAATTGTGTTATTATGAGCGAGCTTTAAGGTAATAAAAATAATAAGTTGAAACCAGAGATGTGTCCAACAGTGGACTACTGTCATTAGCATAGAAAGCATCATCAGGAACCAATATACCTAGAGTTTATAGAAAAGTTGGATGGTGATGAAGAATCAACCCGGGAGGCATCCCTAGCAGATGCACCACCAATAGCACTGTTGTTAACTGCATTAGTGGAACCAGCAGCATGATACCTTTGCATTGTTCCGAACTATTGCCGGCATAATGCAACCAACATCAAGCCACTAAATGGAGCTAAAACCCCAACAGGAAACCTGGCCCATAACATATTCATCGGCAACATGAAATTTATAGTCAGAATCATATCAACAGCACAAGAAAAAACAGCAAGAAAAAATAATAAAAACAGCACAATGCCACATTCAGGAATTAGATTGTCTCCATTAAAAACTATAGATTCTTAGTGGCATGAGGCTAGTGATAGAATAATGTCCTCCAGCTGGAACGCTCCTAGTATTGAGTAATATGTCTAAACACAGCCCCTAATCTCAAAAAATTAGTCAAAATATATAACTTGTGATTACTAAACATATGCCAGAAAAGAAAAGTAGAAACTTGATGCTGCAGCACAGGCAACCATTGCCAAAAATATCCAAGATGTGAGCACATAACTCGAAGTTTAGTAAAACCTAGTCTATGTGAAATTTCAGCAAGCATATTCTGCGGCCAAATAAAGATTACAGCCGCAACAACAAGCCCCAAGAAACAGTGTGGGGAATTGGATGGATCATTACAGATCGAACAGGTTTCAACTTGGAAAATGGAAAGATTTTGCAAGTTAGCAGAGAGATTGACAGGGTGAACAAATGAACCACTACTTCAAGTTGCCAGCCCCTTCAGTCTATAAAGTTGAGATGAGTTAATGGAGAAAGGATGAAGAGTTTCTCAGTTCTAAATGTACAACCACTGCCATAAACATAAATTCCAAAGTTAGTACAAAAGCTACAACAAGAAATAGTGTTTGATCTACGAGACTGTCTTTGAACTAGATAAACCGGAGTTCCAAATTCAAACCTCTTCCCACCAGCACCCACAGAGCATACAAGCACACACCTCAAAATGACATAAAAACCCAGACCCAAAATACACCAATTTCCACAAATCTAGCTGATCGACTAGGCATCCGATACGAACTCATACCCCAAAGATTTGAACTTTCACCTACTAACAAAACTACCAAATCCAGAACGAGCCGAAATTTCAGCAAATAAATTTAAGAAAACCTAGGGTTTAGGCCAAGTGCACAAGAAAAAGAACACATAGAACATTCGCAAAGCAAAGTGTAGTCCCTAACATCAAGATGCGTGAAAGCTAGGGTTTTGCGAAATTCGTTACTCTCTGAACAAGCAGAAAAAGGAGATCAAACCGGGCAGGGGCGGAGGGGAACTCGCGCGATTCACATGACATAACATTTCCGAAATTAACTGAAACGTAACGTCCCGTACCTCCGCAAAAAACTAATCACGAACGCATCCACGACCAGAAGAGAAGAAGCGGAAGAAACAGTGATGGGGGCGATGAATTGAAGAAGGAAGAAGCGAGCACAGGAAGATAAGTGTTGTGATTGGGAGGGGAGGGCAAGGAGAAAGGGAAGAGAAGGGACTTTGACTCTTTCGAGCTTTTTTTTTTTCTGCTATTGTTTTTTTGGGTGGGTTTAGTTCGCTGCTGACTGACGGGGACGATGGGCGATCAAGATTGCTGCCCCTCTGCTGATGATGGGCGCTCGATGGTTGGATTGGATGAATGAACGGATGGATTTGGATGCTCTCTCCTTTCTTTTTCCCTTCACTCTTTTTCAGCTCTATTCCAACAGAAACTACTTCCCAACGGTAAGGCCCAAGCAAAGCACACACGACTCGAGAGAGAACGAAAGGACCATGAGGACCCAGAGCGAGAGCGAGAGCGAGAGCGAGTAATTACTAATTAGGGGTCATCACCCAAACAAATTCGAGAAAATCGATCAAAGTTTAATCGCTATCGGGTGGATGAGGTTTTTGTGAAGGAAATTAGTGGGTATTGGGTTGGTTGCAGGGTTGGGTGTCTAAAATATGGTTTAGAAGGCACTTTCCGATCTACCGTCCCTCGGAGCAAAGGGTTAGGCGGCAGATCCAAGCAAATCTAAACCAACTCAATCATCCAATAAGTATCTAAATGACATCACCTAAGAGAGTATATATAAAAGTATTTTTGTGTAGAGTTTAGTGTTTTTCATCTTCTCAATTTCGAGCGGCACCCTCAATTCGCTATCTACCTCCAATCTCTCAAGCTCCACCACAGCACTGCTATTTATCTTCTTCCTCCAGGCAGGTCATCGCATTTATGAAGTGGATGTCTGTCGCCATCGTCCACCTATTGATGCCCTTCTTTCGTTGGCTTCCTCTTTCACTCTTTACCTCATGCCCTCTCATTGGTTTGATGATTCGTGTCGTCAAATTCTAAAGATGTAAGAAGAATCCCATATACCTACGTTCTTACGCGATCATACGTAACTTGTTAAGGCCATTGAAACAATAGCACAGACAATAAAAACCACATGTGGTATGAATATTAGATTGGTTCTTGCTTTGGATTTCATACTTTTCTGTTTCTCGTAGAAGTTTAGGGTTTTGTGTCAAATAACATACGAAAACTAAGGAACACAAGGATTTAACGTGGTTTTCCTAAGTATGAGGATTAGTCCACGAGAGAGATAGAACTCTCCAAGGGTAAGCTCTTATTTGCGTTAGGGTTTCTCATACATACATGTTACATATTTAGGCGGCTAGTTAATTACATATTAGTACACTTAGTTTGATATTTCAACACCCTCCCTCAATTTGATGTTGGGTGCGCAACATCAATTTTGATGAGAGAAACTTATGTCTACTCGAAGCCAGAGCCTTAGTCAGGATATCTGCAGTTTGATCCTTTATAGATAGATATCCAACCTGTATTGACATACCCTCTACAATCAACTGTCGGATATAATGAACATGCACCTCAATATGCTTTGTCAGGTCATGCATCACAAGATTTATAACGATCTCTATATCACTAGTATTATCACCATAAATCCTCATAGGAAGACGACATGGCATGCCCAACTCACCAAACAACCGATGTATCAATTCCATTTTAGAACTCACCTCAGACATAGATCGGTATTCTGCTTCTATTGTCCTTAATATTTATCTGGATTCCTCTAACCTCCAACTTACTGATATAGGCTCAGACCATAGATGATTCTTTTGTCTCCTCATTTGCGCTTATGCAGTCAGAGAAACTCTTCCACTTTGAGAGAAGCCCGTGAAGATTTTTAGTAGACAATGCATTTTTTTTTTGTGAAGATGTTTGGCCCGATATCACGATCATGAACCGTGACCAAGAAACTAAGTCAGGGGTTGTATAAAGGGCAGAAATCTAAACAAGAAGTGAGGGCTTTTAGAGAGAGAATTGGATCTTCTTCTTCCTTGAGCTAGCGTGAGAAAGTGATGAACCGTTCTTGAAGGAAGGAGAGAAAGACCTAGTAGCCAAGGCTAGAGAAGGGATAAAATATTCTTCAAAGGGTGATCAAGACAAGTAGGAGCCAGAGAAATCAATTTCCATGGGTTCTTCTTCCATTTTATTTGTTTCCCCTTTTCTAGCTATGGAGTACTCACCATTTTCACTTAGACTTTATGAACCCTATTTTGGATATGTGTTAGATGCTAAGAATTGTACTCTATATGTGTTGGGTATGTGATTAATATAGTCTTTGAGGTATTATTCATGAAATTTGAGCTTTGTTTTTCATTTATCAAGTTTATGGCAAATTGGCTAGAAGAGGGAAATTCCCTTATAAGGCAATCAGGCTAAGCCTCTTACACCGAAGTAGTACCATAAGGCAATTGGTCTCTGTTCACCGTTAGGTTCTTGAGACGAGGGATTGTGTTTGCAATCTGTAGTTAGTCGATTAAGAGAGCTAGGTCTCTTACCTTGATCTTGACAAGCCTTAATCGACTAGCTAAGTGAGTGATTGTTTCCGTCTAATTGCAATTTTCCTTACGGTGTATTATCACGAGTTCAAACGCTAGAGTTTAGTTCGAATTATCTTATCATGGGTCTAGGGGGATCAAATATCGGGGTGAGGTTCCTCTAAATTGAATCACAGCTTAATTTACTTTGCATGCTTTCATTCCTTAGTTGCTAGTTCAAGCTACAAACTGATTGCTAGATAATTTTCGATTCTCTAAAGTAAAGGTAGATTGATCGACCCGGGTTGATATTATTAATTGCTTACCCTATACTATACCTGATTATAGATTATATTTGGTCTATAGTTGGGAGTGTAGTTAGATTCGAGCCAAGTTTTTGGCGTTGTTTCTGAGGACAACGATTAGTTATATGGAAAAGGTGAATTGGTGGTAATATAGTGTTTTACGTTTGAGTTTAATCTTGTGTGTGTTTGGCTCTAGTTTTGTTGTTTGAGTGTGTGTAGATGGTGCATGACCTAGAGTAATCTGGCACACATTGACGCCTATCGACGTCAACATCCATTGCACCCTCCGACTCCTAGCTCGTGACTCGGAGTTCGGATTCAACCACCAGTTGACCTCGTGGATCAAGTTGAAGTTCAAGAAGAATTTGAAGGAGAAGTTTCAGAAGAAGAGGTTGTAATGGATAACGAAGACGGTAAAGAAGGAGAGATCGCGAGGACCATGACTTATTACATGACCCTGCGGATGTAGGACATCCAGTTGAGCATCCGACATCCACCCGTGGCAGCCAATAACTTTGAAATCAAGATGGGCCTCATTACAATGATTCAAGGCAACATTATTCCGCGAGCAAGAAGATGAGTCTCCCCGAGAGCATATTAATCGGTTCTATGAATTCAAAGATGGCCTCACGATCAATGACGCTCCTCAAGATGCCATTCAACTTAGACTTTTCCCTTACTTTCTTGGTACTAAGGCGAGAAGTTGGTTGAACAACACGCCCCCTTTGTCAATTACCTCGTGGAATGATTTTTTGACGAAGTTCATGGCGAGATACTTTCCACCGTCCAATACTGTATAATACTGCAAGAAGATCACCCACTTTGCACAAGAGGATGATGAAACTTTAAAAGACGCGTGGGAAAGATACTCGGATTACTTCTTGCAGTGTCCACATCATGGTTCCGATGAAGAGTTCTGAATTGCTACCTTTTACAACGGGCTCTTTCATGAGGATATGATGCTTATTGATTCTCTATGCCAAGGAAATATGTTAAATAAGACTTCTCCCCGAACTTCTCCTGGGCTTCACCGGCAAATGCGAGGCCTCATGGCTTCCAAGGACCAACCGGGGGATACCAACCTAGATCTTTGTTCATTCAACCTCGAACACAATTCCAGAACTCCAACTTCCAAGAGCAACAATACCAACCGCAAGGAGTACAAGTGTACCAACAACAACAACAACCCGATCGAGTTTCCAAGCTCGAGGACCTTGTCTCCACTTTTGTAAGTTTGAGCAATCAACAATTTGAGAAGATTGAGAAGTTCATGGAAGTTGCAACTACAAAGTTTACCTCGGTTGTGGTGGGTTTGAGAAGCCACCAAGCTAGTCTTCAAAGCTCGAAATCTCAAATCGACAACCTTGTCAATATTCTCACCGAGCGTCCTCATGGAGCCCTACCTTCCGAAACGGTGGCCAACATTAAAAATCCAAGGTACGGAGTTAATGCTATTACACTTCTAAGTATGAGGGTAACTCAAGAATTTACTCCAAAGGAAGTCATTGAAGAAGAAACCAAAACGGTTGAAGTAGACAAAAAAGAGTCCGAGGATAGAAAGGAAGAAGAAGAGGCGAGTCACCACTTGTGACTGAGTACAAGCCTCCACTTCCCTTCCCCTCGCGAGTTCACAAGGACTAGTTGGACGACGAGTTTGGTAAGTTCATGGGGATGATCAAGAAGCTTAATTTGTCGGTCCCATTCTTAGAGGCAATGACGCAAATGTCGAGGTATGCAAAGCTACTCAAGAGGCTCCTCTCCAAGAAGCAAAAGCTTGAAGACCTTGATTCGTTCACTCTAAGCGAGAAGTGCTCGGCAACAATTCAGAACAAGTTGCCCCAAAAAACAACAAGATCCAGGTAGTTTCACTATCCCTCTTAGCATTGGATCATGTCATTTAGAAAAATCCTTGGCGGATCTAGGAGCAAGCATTAATGTGATGCAATACAAGCTATAAAAGAGACCAGACCTAGGTGAACTTAAATCTACTAGGTTGAGTGTTACATCGGCTGATCGTTCCATAATGCGACCTAAGCATTATGGAAGACGTCCTAGTACGAGTCGACAAGTTTTTCTACCCATCCAACTTTGGATATGCCACTCATACTAGGATGCCCCTTTTCTTGCCACCTCCAAGGCACTAATAGATGTGAATGAGAGAACTTTTATTCTAAGAGATGGTGAGGAGAGTATTACCTTTTCGATCGATTCCCCCGTTAAGGTTGAGAATGTATATGGGATTGAGTCAAATGGTGTGCTTGTGAGTGGTGGAGAGCCCCCCCCCCCCCCTGCGCAGAGGAATCCTCATTCATTCCCCTTGTGTCTCTGGTCTTATGAAACAGGATGAGAAGGTGGGAAAGAAACCCGTGACCGCCAAAAGGAAGGCTTGTCGCCAAAAGATGAAGCATTGGTCGAGAAACCGGAGCAAAGGTAAGGCCAAAGTTCAAGGACAAGAAGGCCATCCTTCCAAGGAAATGATAGGAGGTGACACACCTCGTCCCGAAACCATGGCGAATCCACTCTCGGTGGCCTCATGATCCAATGCATGATAATTAATCCTATTAAGTTACGGAGCACTTCTATTATAAGTAAAGGGAACCAGAAGACAACAACGGTTCCATGGTCTAGTGGTCAGGACATTGGACTCTGAATCCAGTAACCCGAGTTCAAATCTCGGTGGAACCTCACAGTTTTTATCCTTCCTCTGTTTTTTTCGCTCACTCCTTAGTCTGACTGTTTTCTTTTCTTTTCTTTTTTTGTAACAGTGATAATTGATTCCTGTCATAGCCTATCCACGCCGTCGCGCGGGATTCAAGCCCTAATAGTAGTGCCACTCTTCTCATTCCGCCGCTGTTCAGCCGGCGACGCTCGGAATGGAGCCGGACATCCAACAGAAAATCGAGGCAACGGTGGTCGACATTCTCAGAGGTGTCGACATGAATCAGGCGACCGAGTTCAATGTCCGGTTCATGGCCTCCGTGCGTCTCGGCATCGACCTCTCCAACATCGAGAGCAAGAAGTTCGTCAGAGAAATCGTGGAGTCCTTTCTGCTCTCCTCCGCGGGCCCGCTCGGTGACGCTGAAGACCACCAGGCGCTCGACGACGACGGCCGTGTCGCCGGAGAGACGAGTGAGGCGAGGAAGGAGGTCGAGCTGGATGGCTATGGAAATCGCGTTATTTGCAGGGTAATAATAACATTCCCTCTTCTTCTCTGGCCCCTTGGATCTAATTTTTACTTTTTTTATGTTTGTTCTACTCTATAAAGCTTCATGCAAACTTTGATGTTGGCTTTGATTTCAGCTTTCGGATAGACGGAGCGTGACGGTGCATGACTACAACGGGAAGTCTCTTGTTTCAATCAGAGAGTGGTTCTTGAAAGATGGTTTGGAGCTTTTCTCCAATAGAGGTAAAAGTTTTCATTTTCATGATCGTAGTTAGATAAGCCCGGAGGATACTTTGTCTATGGAATTTCTGCAATGCAGTGTGATTTGTGAGTAGTTTAGACCGTAATTCCTGCCAATGGAAGCTATGAATGTGCTTTTCTCTGTGGTAATTGAATGACTGAGATAAGATGGGGCTCAAGGATTTCGTTCAAAATGACCACTTGGTTGATATTTAGGGTTCTCTCTTGACTTGAGTGGTTAACTCTAGTCTTGCCGAAACTTACTGTCAACACTTCTTGTTTCAGGAATTAGTTTGTCTTCTGAACAGTGGTCAGTGGTGAGAAAGAGTATGTCTGACGTAGACACTGCCATCGCAGAGATGCAATCCAGGTTGAGGTAAAGAGTCCTTTGCAATTGTGTTCAGTCCTGCAGTTGTTTGTGCTATAAAGTCTTGCTGATTGGTAATGCTCGTAATAATGCAGAAGATCTGATCTCAATGGTTCAAGAACGGAGAAGTGTAACTCGGTCCAACAGAAAGTTGCTTCTACTTCGACTGTTCTGCGTAGTGAGGAAGTTCTAAATGGGGTGGCTACCTCTTCAACTTCAACCAGGGCTGAACTACAGACCGAGGAAGTCTCTAATGGGGTAACTACTTCTACCCCATGTGCAGAAATCCCTTCTTTACCAGTTGCTTCTACCCCTTGCAATCCTGTCTCTGATCCAGCTATTGCTTCTGCTCCTGAAGAAAATGTACCCACTGCAACTGCAAATTGTGCAGCAGAAGAAGGTATTGCTTGGGTTAGTGTGGACCGTTTTGATGGGAAGAACTATAAGAGCTGGGTGATAAACATGGAGCTTTTCTTGAAGCAGTTAAAGGTTGCACATGTGCTCTCTGATCCTTGTCCAGTGGTTGCCGTTCATCCTGGATCGAAAAATCCTGAACAGATGATACCTCCGGCTAAAAAAGCTGCTGAGAGGAAGTGGCTTAACGAGGACCATTTGTGTCGCCTCCACATTTTGAGTTGCCTCTCCGATTCTCTTTATCATCAATTTTCAAAGACGACTCATACTGCAAAGGAGTTATGGGATCAGCTGAAACAAGTTTATCTCTATGAGGACTTGGAGTCAAAGAGAGCCCAAGTGAAGAGGTACATTGAATTTCAGATTGTTGAGGAAAAGTCAATTTTCCAGCAAGTCCATGAATTAAACAATATCGCTGATGCCATTGGAGCCGATGGAACTATTATTCATGAGAACTTCCATGTTAGTGCTGTCCTCTCAAAGCTTCCACAATCATGGCAAAATTTCTGCATCAAGTTAAAGCACGAGGAGCATCTGCCTTTCCGGATGTTGATGGACATGATAAAGGTCGAGGAACAGTTGCGTACAGGGGGGAGCAAGCAAGTGGAATCTGCCAACAATCACCTCAAAAACCACCAACACCATGCCAATAATCTAGGGCCGAGGACGAGAGAGATGAAGAGACCAGGTGCGATGCAGTGGACGAGGCAGGGAACGGGAATTGAGATGGAGAACAACAGGTTGCCCGTCTGCTTTTGTTGTGGGAAGAAGGGTCACTTTGCTAACCAGTGTCGTAACAGGAAATTCGACAATGAAGATCATCATCCTCATCAACATCATAAGTCATTCACCCACTCTGTTAATGGAGGTGACCCATGGCCGTACTGAGTATGCTACGAAATCTTCACTGTTCTCTGAGAGGGTAAGAGCCATAAATGGTGGCCACACTGTTGTTCCTTCCTTTCTGAAAACTTTGGCTATGGAATCGATTTTGTAGCCATCGGTGGAAGCAGTCGTTAGCTGTCATATACATACTTCATGCACCTACCAGTAGTTGTAAGCTTATATGGCGTCATTTCTTTCAGTCTATAGTAATTTTACGACTGTACTATACCAAAAGTTTGGTATGTTGCAGGTAACTATTTCGAGCTTATGGAATTAGGGCTGGCTTCTGGAATCGCACTTCTCAGTGCCTTGTGGTCTACTCCTGGATTTTGTTTTCACCCTGTACGTTTTTGTAAGACAAGACAAAACAGTCGCTCTCGAAACCTACAAAGGTTTATCTAGTTAGAGTTATTTGCTGTGTTTGTAAATCGTACCATGTTAGTCTTGGGGAAAATCTTTTATTGGAAGCTAAATTGTTAGGTGGTTTTTAGCGGTATGAAAATGATCAAACTATGATTAAATCACGGTTTCAATATAAAATATTTTATTGTCGACTTTTTTGATGTATGTTTGGCAATCCGACTGGATTTTTTTTTTACTGAAGGCTAAACAACGGATAGGTAGTTTTTAGTAGTATGAATGCTTGAACTATGTCCTTTTCGATACAACATCTATTAAATAACCATGGCAAGACAATCTATAGAGTATAGAAGCAAGCATGAAAATAGAAATAATTTTTGCCATCTCCCATGTGTGATGAATAATCAAAAGAATCCTAACTCAAGTTGGTAACTTACCTCTTTTGCCTTTGTTTTGTTACAGCTTTTCTTCTTTCATTTTCATTTACTCATCTCATAAAAAGGAAAAAGAACAAAAACGTGAAAGAGAATAGAAGCATCTAACTCAAGTTCAAAGGCTCGAATCAATGGATCACTGGTTACCCGCAAGGAGGAAGATTGTAACAACACAACACACAACCCCAAGTTACACTGATCAGCAACATATCAAACTCTAGGGAAGATCAACAATATGTACGTTTAATTGCGTTAAATCATGTCATATGTACGTATAATTTTTTGTTACATCTTGCCAAAAATGAGCTGCCTTTTCTTACAGAAACTCCACATATATGTACATAAACACCAGCAGAATGAAAGTCCTTTTAAAAGTTGATGATGCTGTCCTCACTGTTCTTCTCGTCCAACTTTATTTACACAGCTAAGGATGGTTCCCTCTATAAGATCCTCAAAAATGGCTTCACCAATTTCGTCTATGACGGTTTGAGTATCTCGTCGAAGTTCCATCCACGAGCTGTCTGTATCCATGCCTTTCTTGACCAGCGTTTCCAAGATATGAGGCAATGGCAGGGGCATGAGGTGGCAGTGAACTATTTCCCATACCTCATGAATAGTATTCTCCATGTTGGGTACCGGTCGAATGGAAGGCATTGCCAAGGAGAACCCAGGGGAGCAACTGAAGTAGCGCTCATAAACCTGCACAAGTGCTTCATCGGTACAATCGAAAAGGAGTTGCTTTTCAGAGCAAAGCTGGTTAGGGAAGAACTGGAACTCTTCACAGCTTGACGGATCAAGGATCTGGTCTAAGGAATCTGACATTAGATACAGCTCCTCCCAGTTTATACCAGATGCTAGGAGTACACTCTTTATGAACTCAAATATACAATCTGTTTCCTCTGTACCACTTTTCAGATGGATTTCTTCATCACCATGTAGACTATCGACCTCTTCAAACTGAATCCTCAGGGGTTGCAGCACTGGAAGGTTCAAGTGAAGAGTTCTATGAATAACGATACTTGCATAAAAGTATGTAGATATGTGAAAGTTCAGGTACGAACTGTAAGCCATTCAATGTTTAGGTACTTAATGATATTTTTACGATATCCAACCCAGTAAACCAACAAACCGAATGGAGGTGACTCAAATGGGTTGGGTTAGACGGGTTTTAAGTAGATGGGTTTGGGTTGATATTTGCAACCTCTACACTTGATAAGCCATGTGTGACAAAACTCAAGCAGAAACCTCAAGTTTGTTAGCAAACATTTAGGTAGGAATAACTCACCAGAATGGGATCTAGTCGCTGCTGGACTGACTTCATCATCTGTGTAAAGTGGCTCAAGGACAGATACAGGACTCGGCCGACCTTGTATCCCCTTAGGCTCGAGAGCCTGGCAGATTTTGCCGATTGATGTGGGTGGAGAACAATCCTGGAGAAAGGAGCAGTAAGGTTATATGTACAAGTTGTGGAAGCTAAATGCAAGAAAAAGATCTAGAGATGGGAGAAAGAAAAGAAAATAGTACATGCTCAAAGATATCAGAGTCTCCTCTCTCCTCACGAGCATTGCAAGTACCAACATTCTGGTTATTAATAGCATCATAACAGCTGCTAGTTTCGGAAAGATAACCAATGAAGTTGACATCTTCTGAGGACATAATAATCTCAGTGGCCTTTTCAATCTCCAAACCACCTGCATAAAATGAAGACCGTTTTTCGGCATTATCAGTAATTAAGGGACATACAACAAATTTCCACCTCCCCTGGTAACATTGAATATGAGATTGGGCAAACAATAACCTTGAGCAGTCACTTCATTCACATTCTTTTCTTTACCATCACGAACATGTTCCTTAGGAAAACTTGAACTTGGATCACAAGGAATCTGTCCTTTATTATCAGAGATGATGTCATCAGATAGCTCTGAGCTCAGTGATATTCGACCTATCTGACTTTCCAGTCTCTGAAATTTTTCGATGTTTGGTAAGCTCATCCGCGCTGGTATGAAACCATACCACAAATCGCCCCCAGAACTGCCACAGGAAGAAGAATTGTACTCTGGGGAAGAGAGAATCCTCCCAAGTGGTTTTGGATTTGGTTCGCTCGGAAAAGCTTCGCCTGTAGGACCATCTGTCAGTATCTCTGAGAGGAGCTTCTTCTTAGCTTCAACGTAGATGTTCGATGTCCTTGATTTGGGAAGAATATTATTAACTTCTTGCTCCTTCCCTTTGTCAAATTCAATGGAATTGGCACCATTCTCACCTTTCCTGGAACTCGTTGGGTATCTGGCAATTCTTTCCATGAAGAAGTGTTCTTTACTGGGACCTCTTTTACCAGAACTGCTTTCATTCAATCTTCTTCGGTCACCTTCTTTACCAGCCCAAGTAGGCTCATTGGGATGTCTATTTGATATGGTGGAGCCCTCTTGCCGCTCTCTACCCATGGCAGTTCTCAACCTTCTTTTTATTTCAGTCAGGGAAAAATGGGACCTGTTTTTTCCATTTCCTTCTTTATTTCTGAAGCTCATTTCAAGTTGAGGCGATGAGCCGAGACCTTTTTTGGTTTCAGAATCTTGCAAACCTTTTTGCCCTGGCTTCAGAATGACAATCCTGTTTGTATCCTGAGGGGAGACGTTTCCTTTTGAAATGGTCCTTTCAAGATACTTGGACTTCCTTCTAAAATGTTTGCCATGTTTGGTTGCTGAAACTTCGTTGGCTTGCTTTGAGACACATTGCCTTTGTTCTGCTACACTAGTTCCAACAGGTGACTTTGACTCTTCCCCATTAGCTACCTGAAGATTCCCTTGCCCTTGCAAGACTTTAAGAAGCAATTCCTCATCGGAACATATAATCTGCAGAGCATCCTTAAGTGCCTGAGACTGATCAATGCCGTCATCTTCTTCTTGATGCTTTCTGTGTTTGACCTTTTGACTAACAAGAAGCTGTTTGATCTCTTTGAGTTTCCCTTCAAAGTCATCATTAATCCTCTGGCTAAGCTGATGATGGAGCTCACTGCCTTGGTCCTTTCTCAAACGACGACTACTGCTTTTCTGATGGTTGAATTCCTCTATTCTTTTCTTACCTATCTCACCATCATACATGAACGCCTCTGAATTGTGGGGGCAAGTTAGTTCAGCAGCAGTACAAGCAACATGGGCTTCTCCATGCACTTCGCAACCTTTTCTGCGACTAGTTCTCTTGGTGTCGCTTCTTCGTTTGCCCTTTAAGATCACTTCCATTTCACCACCGATTGTCTCGCTCACAGACAATTGCTCGTCTAACAAATCTTCCTCTATGAGTTCCTTCACACTTGGCCTACGTGTTACAACCACATTTTCTTCACCATCCTGCCACATTAAAAGATAGATGAATATTTTTTTTACCCAGGAGAAGAATAAGAAAATGACCTGCAAAATAAGGTTACCTGATCATGTTCATCAATATCTGTGTCATGCATAAACTTTTGCTTTTCAGCACCTACAAAGGATGATAAAAGTTTAACACCACAGCCAAATGCAAGCTTTCATCACGAAACAAAAAGCCACCCAGAATTCATAATTCAACAAGTTTCTATCAGGCGATAGGCAATCTGTGACACAAAATCTCTTACACTTGAAGCCAGATGATGTAGATAATTAAGAAAGCCTACATACCAGCAGCGCGAGGCCGGCTTGCATATCTCCTATCTAAAAGCATCTTCTGACTGAAGCGACCATATCTGAAGTCCAACATGCTAATCAAGCTCCACATACAGCCTGATTTCTCGCATCGAGCATGTGAAAGTCTCTGCGTGCTCTTCCCCATAATTAGTGTATCTAGTACCTTTCCCTTGATGCTTGAATCATACAAGTCTCCTCACCACCATCTGCAGTATAACTCTGATATGCAAAGAAAGAAGGATTAAGAACAGTGAGGGCCAGAATGTCAACCCTCACAAATTTTATGACATACAGTTCCTTGCATGTTAAGCCAGACAACATCATTTAGGTATAATGCCTGACAATCCCCAATATCAAATCTAACTAAAGCTGAGAACATTGAAGAGAACAATAGCAGGAAAAGAGAAATTAAGAGATTCATACGAAACACACATCCATCAGGAAAAAGGAGAACTAGAAGAGAGACATGACATACAATCAGAGAGAAATCTGAGGGAAATTGGCCTAACAAGAATCTTTTAGGAGGCCATGGTTGTGTTCCAACCATGGACCCCTGAAACTGTTTTATGTTTAATGCATGAGAAGGCTCATTTCTCCCTTTCCCCCCTTCCTCTTGGATCTTCTTTACAGGACAGCTAATTCATGAACATTGTACTAAGAATTTCTTTAAAATATGGAATCAAGAGTACCCTCTGGAAATTGGGAAAGGCCAACACGAGGAACAAAGAAAGAAACCGCGTAGAATTGGCATATTATTCCCCCAAACCGACAAGACGTGAATCAAGAAGTATGAGTCAACTCCAGAACTCTAAACCTTTCCTCCACTAACAGAAATAGAAACCCTTTTAAGCTATGGGGAGGACAAAATTCGTCAGGGGGAAAAAAAAACGTGGGTGGGTGGGATGTAAATGAACTAAACTTAAAGAAGAGAAGACAGTATAATTTCGACTTCGAGAGTTGACGCAGAGCTCAAATTGTGCAAACAGCAGAGCTCATCATAATCAACTCCAATCCATCAACAATATGGTGCAAAACCCACTTTGCACATTAGCCATAAACATCGAAATACCAGTAACCACGAAGCTTAAAAAGTTAAAAAAGACAGAGCTAGCATCAGAATTGGCATCTTCCAGCACCTACCCAGTACGTTTTCAGAAGGAAAAGGCGGATATTTCTCATATAGGCAGGCAGAGAAGGATCAGAGTGAAGCTGGGTCTGTGAATCGATGCCGATGCTGATTGGACCATTGTCAAAGACAAAGTGGGGGAGGAGGAGCTCTGGTTTTAAGTTGATCTTTTACTATGCCGTCTCATCCTCCATTGCCGCCTTCTGAGAAGTTCTTCCGACTTACCAATCCATGATCAAGAGTCGCACTTCTTCCCACTCTCTGATTGCTGCTGCTGCTGTTTCTCAATACTCTCTTGGGGAAATTTTTGCTGGGCAGCAGACAGAGCCCTTTTCAACGGCTTTCTTGATCGTAACGATGATAGTTCTCGCAATACTAAATGTAGCGCACGCCAAATACAAGAAAAATAAAATAGGCAACAATATGGACAATGATGTATAGAAAGCTTGTCAGTTTATACCTTTTTGTCGGTTTGTGATCCGATTGTATAAAATGTAAAATCGGTATATGTCGGTTTTAATAGAATACGGAAGAAAAATTAAAAAACATTAGTAATGCCAAATGAATCGTACTTATATATAATGTATTTGAAAGCGATCTTCCTACGAAATTTAAATAAAATACAATCTCACAAACAAAATGATAATTTCTTATATTTAAATAGAATATTTAACCTTAACATCCAAAACATTTATATTGGAATCCAACAAATAATTTCAACATCTATATTTAAATAAAACATAGTACTAAATGACAAATCTTCATATTTAAATAAAAAAATTGTTAATTAGATTTACCCAAAGATGCTAATGGGTCGAAAATTCTTCATACAGGTTATACCACCAATTTTCTCAATATTGATCGATTTTGACTACCACTTAATATTAGGGGTATTCTAGCTTGTTTGTGTTAGATACGGGTTAAACCCAGTTGAACCGGTCAACATACAAACAACTAGCTTGTAACCCGACCCGTTGGTCGGAGGAGCTGAGCCGAATATTGAATTATTGGGATAACCCGTAGATTCAACCATTAAGCTAAATTGGTCTAATGGTGAGTACCGCCTAGCATATCCCTAATAATCATACCAAAGTGAATATATTGGAACATAAACAGTACATCAAAAGTTGGTACAACCATGAAGTTAGACCATTAAAAACATACCAATGAAATTGAATAGCATCGAAAAACTTCAACTTCATTATATAATTACATGAGATCAGAAAGAGAACACCATTAATTTGATTTATAAAACTTTCATCTTGTCGTCATTGTGCTTTCTGGTTTTTGTCAGGCCATGATAAAATCTAAGAAAATCAAGAACGAACAACACGATTTGGGATAGGAACCGCCGTTGTCATATTCCTAGAGAATGGTGGTAAACACGGACTCACCTGCCAAACTGGTTTGGATTGAGATTTTTCTCGGGTATCAGGGAACCATGTGATTATAAATTAGACTTGATCAAAACGGGCCAAAACTTAAAATTCAGCCTGTTTGACCGACCCATGCAAAATTCTAATTATTCGTTACTTTTAAACTTTCTATTTGAAAATAAAAAATAGTGAAAGAAAATAGATGACTGCAATTCGCCATTTGCACATCACTTATTCGGGAATAAAACCATAGAAATTCAAAAGAAACTGAAAATGTTTAGGATCGTTTTAATGTTTAAAATAACCAAATAGATCTTTCTGTTTAGTTTTTTACTAACAAATACCAAACGATTCCCTATAAAATACACTATAATTTTATCATTATGATATCAAATAATTATATAATACATATTTGAAATGATAAAAATTGGACTAATTGGGTTGGTCGAGATTGAACCATTCAATAACTTTAAACTACATTATATTTTAGCCACTAAAATATAAAATAATATAATAATATATATTATGCTAGAGAAAATAGCTTGTTTTAGAATGTCAAACCAATGATGTTCATCTGTTTTACTTGATGGCCAAATCCGGTGTAGGTCAGGCCCATTCAACTCTTTTATTTTATGGTTAGCGGTTAGCCCTTTAGATACCATGCATTAGTTTATTGTTAAATTTTTTTTATTTTTAGCATAAAAAGAAGTATTGTTTTTGCCTTTTCATATATATTTTATCACCACGGAGAAATACAAGGGGTTAAAGAAAAAAATTGACACTCCTGAACCCGTTTAAATTCGCATGTGTACGGTAAGTTGGCCCGTTCCACAGAGGAAAGAGAAAAAAATTAACACTACCTATTCTACCCTTCCTACAAACGCTCATGGAGCAGGGAATTTGAAATGGGGGAAGGGGTTTTTCCTCCCTGCTATTATATGTTTTTGATTTAAAAGGATGCAACAAATGTACTTAGTGTGATTGGTTATGTTCCTTGCTTTTCTTTAAAATGGACATGGTTCGAATCCCAGTACGTGTCTTTTTAATGAATAAAAAAAGTAATTGTGAAGACCAAAATGTCCTTCCTACTTTCACTCTCGTTGCAGGAAATTTGAAATGGGCCTCCCGTTTTTCCCTTCGGTGTATTATATTATGTGTAGATTTGACAACTATGAATTATACGATGGTGTTGTCGTCAAATCAAACTCAAACAACAAACAATTTATGTGATTTTCCAAATAATTGGGATTGGTTCCCGAAGTAGTTCATACTGCCCGAGCTTCTAATCTTATTATGTTTTCTAGTTTGTACTCTCTTGAGTCTCAACTTCAAGTACAAGCACATATGAAATGGCGTAGTCAGAATTTTATTTAAGGAGGTGCCATAATTTTTTTTACATATACAGTTTCATATTGTAAATTATTCGAAAACTATATGAATCGGCCAAATCCAAGGGGGAGTCATGAAACCCCTTTGTTTGCCTCTAGCTCCGTCCCTGCACATATGTACTACTAGGGCAAAGATACTCGATACAACCGAGACTCCCAATACATACCCATGCCTCTTGGACCTTACATTAATACATACACATGCAAACTAAGCCCGCAAAAGATAAGTATCTATAGTATCCTCCCCCAAATTGATATTGCTTCCGAAGCATCAATTTTGCTCGATAAATACTAATGGAGACTCGTCAAGAAAGCCTTGGTGAACATATTAGCGAGCTGATGATCACAAGCAATATAATGAAATTTAATCACCGCATTGCGAACCAAGTCTTTATATAGTTAGTTGGTACCTAGATTTACTTGGTACGATAATGAAAAACAAGATTGACAGCAATCTGGATTGTGCTTGTGTTATTATCGAAACATGGTCATGGGGGGAAAGAAATGTAGCTCCCAAATCTCCAAATAGGCGTTGCATCCAGATGAACTCGAGCCCAACATCCAACTTTGCTTGATATTAAGCTTTCATAGTAGACTTTCAAACCTTACCACCCTGCTTCCTAGAATGCAAATTGACGAGGTGTTTGAGAAGAAAATGCATTGTCAAGTGGTTGAACGTAGAGACTACCTGCAATTATGGAGCATAAACCACATCCCCTAAGTGTCGATTGAGCTTCAAATTTAGCTCCATAGGGTTGATGACTAATCAAAAGCACCTGGAGAGGATCAGAGATCTAGAAAATAAACATGTTCATTTTAACTAAACAAGGCATGAAAACCATCTTTGAGTGCCTATCTGAATCCCATGATAACCATGTCATCAGCATTAAAAAAAAGGACAAAAAATTAAGATATGTCGTCCAAGCTTTCTTGAAAACCAAACTTAAAAAATTGTTTGTTGAAATTATAATATCGGTGATTAGGGTCCAACGACTCTGTCACAATAATATGCTCCTTTTCATGTGATGTACATGTACTCCTATTAAATATCAAGCAAATAATATAACTGAACAACCACAAGATTCATGATGGTTACTGGTTAGGGCGGAATACGACCATTAATAATGATCATTGTTTATGCCGGACGGAGGCCAAACTCCGTTAATCGCCGGCAATACCTCATCATCAACAAACTAAACCAAAAATTAATTAATTGGTTGCATGGTTGTCACGCCGGCCGGGGTGTCACCGGTTGTACCGGGTTCAACTGGTACCGGTCATAAAACCGGCGTGACACCGCCGGTATGATCGGCATACGAATCTTTTAAGTAAAATGACTTTATTTTAGAGAATTTAATTAATAAAATTTAGTTGTAGTTATTAGTTTTTTCACTTTTTGTAATTATAGACGTATTTTTCAGTTTTTTTTATGAGTACAAAATCATAATTGTAGTCATTATTTTTACAGTTATAGTAACGGTGTTTAACTTTTTTGGGCAGTTGTTTGGAAATATTGGACAGAAGCTTTGGTGGTTGTCATGTAATGTCAGGAAATGATGTCAAGAAGCTGACCCAATTTTGGCGGGACGGCTTTATCATTGTATGTTTGTTAATAATCTTTCCAACCCCTTATCTCATATTCGTTCGCTGAATTACAAACATAACTAAAAATTTATCAATTATTTTCGTTTGAGATAGAAATAAATTTTCTTGTTTATTAGCTATTCACTTTATACTCAATTTCATCATAAGTTAATGATTCTCCAATTTCGTTCATCCAGTCTTACTTGGCAGTCAATTATATCCTCTTGATTTCTATGGTGACGTGACAATTGTTTTTAATACAAATTCGCCTTAACCATGGTTGTCACGCCGGCCAGCGTGCCACCGGTTGTACCGGGTTCAACCGGTACCGGTCATAAAACCGGCGTGACACCACCGGTATGACCGGCATGATCGATATACGAATCTCTAAGTAAAATGACTTTATTTTAGAGAATTTAATTGATAAAAATTATTTTATTATTTATTTTATGAGTATAAAAATTAAATATTGATGTTATTTGTTGGATTCAAGTATAAATGCTTAGGTATTGACGTTAAATGTCATGTTTAAATATGAGTATTTATAATTTTAATAGTAATATTGACCGGTATGAACCGGCACAAACAGGTATATGCCACCGGTTGAACCATTCCACTTGCTAAACCGGCACACTGGCATAAACCGGTTTGACAACCTTGCCCTTAACCAAAGACTTACCGAAGGAAAACAAAAAAGCTGCAGAATGAGAAGCGTTCGACCAAAAAAAAAAAAATCTAAGTTAAAACAGATACAGACCGATTAAAAAAAGTAAGAAAAACGAAAAACTTTGAATCTCATACCTTAAATTTGTCTCACTCAAAATAAAAATAAAAAAAATTAAGAAGAGAGGAAAAAGTTCAAAGGAATGGTGGTTCTTGTTCTGAACAAATTTCAAACTAGATATATATAAGATTAAACTGAAATAGCCATCACCGGCTCGTTCCGCCTATGCAAGCTTCATAGTAGAATTCCATCCATCTATGTTACCAGAGAGGGAAGGAGTGATGCATTGTTCTCATCAGAGGCGACAAATCAAGGATAATTCGGAAACAAGGATGGATATTATTCACCTTAGGAGATGCTGAGCTTGCAGATTAATCTGTTTCGGTGGCTTCTTTAGTTACTTCTGTGAAGGCGAATTCTGAAACCAGAGCTAAGTGATCACTTCCTAGCTTCTGTAACAAGCATGAAACTATGGTCAGAAACAGATACAAATGACCTCTTTTTTTCTTTCAGTAGATTAAGACACGTGATCGTAGTCCGCGGATTATAGGAGATATCTTATGGGTTGCAATCATGATTAGTGAGTGTGCAACCGGTTTGCTTGCAACATTTAGTCACATCACTATCATTGAGTTACTTTTAGCAACAAGTCGCGTCCTGAAAAAAAGGTTACAGAAAGGAAAAGCGATGTAGTATTGCACGATCAGCATTGTTACCTTGCAAGGAAGACCGCCTATTCTCTTGAGGAAATCCAACGGAAGAGTATCTAGAACTCCAGTGGCCTGAATTCCACTAGAATACCTACAGCAAGTTTTCGCAACTTTAATTACAGAACCCCCGCTGCAAAGAGCAAGAAATCAGTGCTGTTTCAAGGGTGAAAAAATTATTTGTGTAATCACCACAGGTAGTCAACAGTCCCAACAAATTTTGAGTGGAATGATGTTGCTAGAGGTTCACCACTGAGGTCTCTTGTCGTTTTGGAACCCTGAAAATGAGTAGTGTTAGAGAGTCATCGATGACATTTAAAATAGAGGATCCAGAAAGTAGTCTCATATTCATATACATGAACTGTGGCATAAGAGCTGCAGAGCTTCAAAGGGTGTTTAGCAAAATCACGGTTAGAGTGGCCAGTTGCAGCCTCAACTTCCTCAGCTGTCCAGGAACTCTCGAGAAACCTGCAATTGGACAATGCTTAAATGCATTTAGAATTGCAAGTAGACCACACTAGCAACACCTTGTGTGTAATTAGAATTCCTTATCAAAATGAGAACAAGACACTGACAAAATACTTTGTGTAATTACTGTAATGGACTTCTCCGAGCACAAGTATAGTGCCTTGGCTGGGGAGCTGACAGATTACTGTTATGGCTGAGAGAATCACCTGTCTATTAATACAAAGGGACTTCCAGCTTCTCTTTTGGCACCGAAAACTTCAGCAGGATGGAAGTTCCTCTGTCCAGACAAGTTTTTTCTATCGTGCAACTTTACATTGAGCTGCATCCAGAATAATTCTTGTTTCAAGAAAATAAAATAAAAATCAAGTAGTAGCGGTCCTTCATTCGCGAGGAAAATCAGATAACGATTTGAGTTATAATTACAGAAACATGGCTCATATCGAAACTGGAAGTAACACACATCGTTCTTTATACATTCACCAACCACAACGCCATTTACCTTGGATGATGATAAGAACTTGTATATTGCACTCTGTTGAAGGAGGAAATGCATTAAACTTTGCTCAGGAGTATTCGACATTGCTCAACAAAAATGAGGAACTTGACCAAACACCTGGGGAGTGCTATTGAAGTCACCGGTCAAAATAACAGGGACGTTACCCCATTTCTCTGAGAGATACTGTGCCCTCGAAGAGAGAAAACGAATCTGAAAGTGAGAAATCCATGATAGAACTTAGAACACCTACAGTGGTGTGCTCAAGAAAAAGCTAATCAATAATACAGCACAGACAAGTGAGCAGAGATGAAAACAGCAGTTTTGGCTGTCAACAGTTCAAAGAACACGCCAAAGAAAACCACTACATACTTGGCCTAATTTGACATCTCCTCGACTTGGGCGATAGATCACATGGATGTTACCGATAACAATCCTTCTTGATTCAGCTTCAGAGGTCTGTCTGTAAACAAGGAAGTCAGACATATAAAGGATCGAGCTGATGACAGACTGAAACCAACGAAGAAGGCTGCCCAAACAAATTTCAGTTTCAGCACATCATAAAGTAGAAAATGAAGGCAACAGCAGAGGAGTGAAACTAATTCTAGTTGAAAATACCCATGGCTGTTCTAAGGGTATGAGACAAATCCAAAAAATGTGTAAATAAAGACCAAAAGAGAAGAATGCTAGATACTGTACATTCATCTAGATTATTCTTATCAGTCTAAATACGAACTCAGAAGCATTAATCGAGTGAGACGTACCTCAAAAACAAAGATTTGAGCAACATTATCGCGAAGACCAAGTTGCTTAAATTCGATGCTCTCTCCTTCTAAAAGTCGCAACCTACCACCACAAGCGAACCTCTTAGACGACAAGTCGCAGCTAAACAAAGCAAACCATATTAGTTTGACTTCCTTACTTATCAGCTTTCCAGAACACAGCACATCCGTCAACCTTATCCCCAGTACACCTCTGCCATTTTCCAACAAATTACAACAATTAACAGTCTCCCACAACTCTCTGGCCGAGAAAGCGAAAAGGGAACAATCATAATGCAAACCTTCACATATTCAACATATCAAGAAATGCTAACCTTGTAGGAACCCTCATACCCAGCTTTCTGCATGACTTTGAGTAAATCAACGTACCTATCCACCTCCTGTCGTAAGAATGAACACACTTCCATCCGTTAAAACATTCAGCCAGTTACCTATACAATACTCTTTTCTTCATACCAATAACCGAGATAACGAAAATTATCAGGCGCTAACCTGTAGACAGACGATATCGCAATTGTATCCAACTAATTCCTCGCAAATGAGCCTTCTGCGATAATCCCAATTCAAGTAGGCAGAAGGAACATCTAGGTATAGATCTCTGTGATTAAAAGCGTTTCGATCCCCCAGTATGTTATACGAGACAACGGTGATTCTCTCTGCAAAATCTCACACAATTGTTCATCACAATCAGATTCTTAGGCAGCAAAATTGAACTTACGATAGAAAATTATCATCAATTTGCCCCCGCTGTGCATTCTGTTTGCTTTCGGAATACTAATCGAATACCTTGCGATGATGAGATTGGACGGTGGTCCGCGTCAATCCAGAGGCGGCCGAGAGGATTGTACCATTGGCGCTCGGACCATCGGCGGCCATCGGAGCGGGATTGTAAGGATGACGTGGTCTGGTCCGGCGAGTTAACGGTGGATTTGCAAGAGCAGAGGAAAGCTTGAGGGTTGGGGAAGCTGGGTTGAATCAGCGGCTGGTTGGGCCAAGACGAGAGGCCTCGGCCGCAGCTGTACATCGTGATTTGGAGCGTCGGCGACGATGATGGAGGGGCTGGCGGATGTTATCTTGAATTGAGAAGGGAAGTTTAACGGACAGGGAAGAGCCAGCGAACCGATATTTCTTTCGCGCCACTTCACCTGACCTGACGAGGATGTAGTTTTTTTTGTTCTTTTCATTTCATTTCTTTCTGTATATTTTCTTGGATATTTTTAAATGTATTTGATTTCGGCTAATTATTTAACGGTCCATGAATTTCCAATAAACTATCAAATTAGTCCTTCAGCAATCAGCATTTAGCATTATATAGGCCTGGTAAGTCCTGAGCTTATTACTCTGAAATTTCAGGTACTTAACTTCTAAATTTGGGCTATTATGTTCTTCCCCTTGGAAAATTAGAACTTCTCACAATTGTATTATGCAGTAAAATTTTAAATATATCTTATTCGAAGAAAAAAAATTCTTCAAAAAAATACAAATGCAATCTCATGCGATACCAAAAGACAATAAAATTTTATCATCTCATATCGTATTTAAATCTCAACTTAACTCGGACAACTTTGGTTTCTACACCGATTACGGAACAAAAAATTGTTCCCCCTCCCAAAAATGGTTCTATTGGAGTTGGACCATATCGAACTGGAGGTGAAGTAGTTAATGAACCCATAAAATGTAAGAAAATAAAAATCAAGGTACTAGATAGATACTTAAAGATGAGTTTGAGTATCATATACAAGTTACAGCTCTTACTGTCCAACAGAATGTGTATATATGGTGGCCACAGCACATTTGCTCCGAATCCCCCTAAGCTCCATTCTGAATTGAATCTGGGACAAACATTCAAAACTAGCAGACATCTTAACTGCTCGTTCTATCTTACAGTTACCGTATCTGAAAGAGTGGGCAGAAATAGCAAAGAGCCAGGGATGTACCAATATCATATCCATCAGTCTATAAGGATAGGAGCACATGCTTTCCTCTTTCTCCTTCGTGCTCTCCTCAGTATTCGTTCTGTCTCTTCCTTCGCTTCGTCCATCATATAGTTTCCAGTACCTTTTGCCAGGGAAGCAAAACATATTTAGACCAACAAACAGCTAAGAACTAAAAAAATCGCAATTGGTTTCTCGTACCTGGTTCCTTTGGGTCGATTAGGCAGGACAGCCCTCCATCAATCTCCTCATCTGAATCAATGCTAATTCTTTCATTTCTTTCCTGCTTTCTTGACTGTCATCCAATGTATAAACAACAAAATCAAAATTTGCTATTAATTGTATTTAGAGACAGACTCATGGTGAGAATCTCTACAAGAGAATTGAAACTTGATTCAGAAAGGAAACAAAAAAAAATGACGTTTCATGAGCTCAATCCGGATACTTAATATCGACGCATATGGAATCTATCGACACTTGATCAAGTAACCAGTAGAAAATCCAGAAGCTGCAGCAGTGGCAAAAAGTAAGCACTTACTGTTGGCTCATTGTAAGAAACAAGTTGATGCTTCTGCTCCTCTTGCCGTTTTCCCCTTGATTTTGTATTTCCTCCCCGCTTGATGGATTTCCATCCTAGGGTTTCCTCCCCTGGAAAATCAGTTGCTTGAGCAGACACCTTGGGGGCCACGCCTTGACTGCATGAGGCGAAGAACTTAGAGTTAAAAGAGTACTACACAGTGGCAGATCAATCAATATGTAGTTTCAGCACAATCGCACAATGCCTGCAAACTCCACTACATTCCGTAAAGCCTCATCCGAGACCAACAGACAACAGACATAAGCACACTCTCATTCTCTACCCAATCACAGAATGAACCCTGAAAGGATAAAGTAACCAAGCATGATCAACTTAAGGGAACATAAAACTAGTATGCATACATCTCGACTGTCCCTGGCTTTCTTTGAAGAGGGGAAGGAGTGCCAGCATCCTACAAATGTCAACAAGCAAAATGGCATCAGAGAACTCTCCTGTATAAGAAAAGGTTTAATTACCTACGACATAATTGTCTAATCTTCTTAGTGATGCAAATTACCTTTGGTGGAAGCAACGCAAGGCATGGATTTTCCGGGTTTGGTGTCCTCAGGCTGCAGATCATTGCCTATAAAAATGAGACATATCCAAAGATGAGCTGAAGCGCAACATCAAGCTGGAGGGCAGAAAACTATTGCAAGTTGAATACTTAGAATCGGCTGACAGCATCAAGATTGGCACTTAGAAATGATGTAAAATTCTAAGAACCTATTCACCAATACTCTAGCACTATCCAGTTCAACCTGCAAAATAAGAAACGGGTATGTGTGACTTTCTTAGCTCATGGGTGTTTCATGAGCTAGCACACTCCCTTGTATCCAGTAAAAACTGTTCACTGCGGCATTATACTTACACTCCTCTTTCATGAGAGGAAGAGGAGGGGGAGGGGGAAAGAACAGTATGTTTACCTGCATTTCCTGCCTGCAAGTTGCACGAAGCTGATCTTGTAGTTTCAGTTGAGAGTCCGCCATTTGTCCAGGTAAGGCAGATAAAAGAAAGAATATCTCATCAATTCTGTTCTGCCATGCATCCTTTTCGAGTTTCTCAGACATAGATTTCAAGCTCCCATCCAAGGTTGATTTGACATCTCCAAGTCCCTTGTTCTGTTAGTGCAGTAGACCAGTGATGTTAGAAAGGCATTTTTTGCATGTTAAGAAGGAAGTGCAGAAGAGAGAAAGGGCTTACCGTAAGTTCTGTTACCATTGTCAGCAGTGAAGTGTCACGGGCAAGTAACTTCTGCCGTATCCCTTCCACTGACAGAAATTTTGATTATGAAACTTGCTTTAGTAAACCAGTAATGAAAGACTTCATCCATAAGCAGAAACCATTATGACTGCTATCAAACACAAGAATTAGCCAGAACTTCAATCTAATCAATTAAATAACTCACTCTCCAGCAGCACTTCTTTTGTCCCTTTGTTTAATTGCATAATATCACTTTGTACAGAATCCAACATCATGCCAACTTTGCTTAATGAGTTCTCCATAGTTCCAAGGCGGCGCTCAAGCTCTTGGCTCATATGGCCTGCTTAAACAAAGCAATAAGAGAACACTTACAATCATCTAGTTGGCTTCGACAATCTGGAAATAACCAGCATACTGCCAGGTTTCCAAATTATGGATTCTCGTGATGAAACTAAGCACATACATTTGGATTCTGCCTCGGAGCCATGACTCCATTTTCTCATTAGATTGCCAGAAGATCTCGTGATTGGAAACTGACTCTCTTCGTGCACATCGCTAGTTGGAAGGAGTGACGATGCCTTCTTCATACGGTTGTCCTGTTCTTGTGAATTACGTCTTGTTGGAGGGAGTGACGAAGCCTTCTTCACACGGTTGTCCTCCTCTTGCGAATTAAGTCTCTGGTGGTTTTCACGAATCAATGAAGTCAAAGACCAGATCAGGGCTAACTTGCGTAATGAAGGCAGGATCATTTTTCCGTTCCTAAATTTTCAACTAGATAGGAGGATCTAAGCAGGAGAAGAGGCGGTGGAAGAGGCACCGAAAGACAGAAAAGTCTAAATTTGAACCTGATCGATGGTGAAAGCTTCATCCAGGGAAGTCTGAGATAGCTGAGAGAAGACGCCATGCTGCGATGAAAATCCATGTGGAAACGATTGTTGCGAAGGCTGCGACCTAAGCTGCGATGGCTGCGATCCAGGTTGAACTCCGCTCATCCTCCTTCATATCGACAGCAAAAAATTGCATCAGCACATGATAACACGACACAAGGAAGGAACAAAACAGAAGACGGACGGCGGCGATCGAGGAAACCTCTCACATTCCAGAGCTAATCAGAGCTCATCGGAATTTGCATAAAAAATGAATCGAAATTCAATTTCGGACCAATCAGGTTTTCACTACTCGAGATTTCGTGACAGAAGAGCCAATCAATGAGGAGGAATTTGATTTCCTGACTCTTTTTTACTTGAATTTATCGATCGTACGACCAGAAATTACCAGCAGAGGAATCGGATTCAGAGGAACAAGAGGACAACGAAGTTTGAATCGAAGGAAGCGGAAATCGGACCTTGAATGCGGAGGAAGGACGGAAATGGAGCTGAGATCACACGCTCTGTTGAGCTTCAGCTTCATTTGAAGGAGATGCCTGTGAGTCTCAACCGCTTGGCGGAGATATGAAACCCTAGTCGATCCGACTGATCGGAACGGAAACGAATCGGAGTGGTCTGCCGATGCAGGTGAAGTTCCGGTAATCTCAAAGAGATAGGAGAGAAGGAGAGAGAGAGAGAGAGATTGGGAGTTCTGAGTTGTGAAGCTTGGGCGGGAAAACGTACTGGCTGCTACAGAGTGATGACTGGCAACTCAGAGATCGTACTGCTGGCAGCTGTGGCAAGGACTGGCGCCTCAAGATGGGCCTCCTCAATCTCAATTTTCCGAGACCCGAAGGCCCGTAGTAATTCCTGCTGCAAAGCCCAAAAGTCGTACAGCTTAGTAGCATATACATGATTCGCATATGGGCCAGGTCAGGCGGTATTTCATTATTTCAAGAACATATTACGTGGCAAATTGGGGAATTTATCATGGAGAGCGGCAGTCGAGACAGGTCAATCAATATAAATATATAATTTAAAGTAAAATATTATAAATATCAATTTTATTCATTAAAAAAATCAAGAAACAAACTATAGCATGATAAGTGTAGTTAAATTATTCGAGAAATTTAGGATCTCACTTATTTATAATATTATTATAACTAAGTATGTGGCAATAAAAGTAAATTTAAATAATTTAAGCCAAATTTGAACATGGTTTAGGCAAAAATCGAGTTGAGAATGGGGCGGGTCAGGTCAAGGATAGTACTTTTGCCCACTCCTGCACGCCTGCACCATCCCCATAACCGGTCAAACATATTAGATAAACGAGCTAGATCAATGACTGGCTAGGCCTCTAATTATATTTCAACATGTATTATCTAATATAAAAATTAGAGAACCTTCTAAAATAGTACTACTAGAATGGCTAATGAAATTTTTTCAATATAATAGATAAAATAGTAAAAATAGTAAATGAATATCAAGAAGGAATAATAAATATACTAAAAGATTATAATCTATAATTAAAATCAATATTTGGAGATCTATTTAAACCCATAATTCAATTAAAAGCACTACTAAAATCAGTTAAAATAAAACATATTGGCCATTAATACATCAAGACCAAAGAAGGATAAATGGAACACAATTTGAAAATTAAACATATTTCATTAATTGAATAAAATTAGAACGAAATGAGACAAAAAGTAAAAACTATAAAAGCTACAATATTTAGTTTCAAATATAGAAAAGAAAATATGACTATAGGAAAAGAATTAGAAATAATAAATTTAACTAATATGGAACATCTAGAATATAATATTATAGAATTACAAAGGAGATTTGAATGAAAAATTAGACAACATCAATATGATGTAAGTGAACTAAATATAACATTCTCAGATTATTTATATCGTGATAAAATTTATAGAATATATTTATTCAGGGAGTAATTCAATTATTAGAACACATAATGATAATTTAAAAGAAGATTTCAATTCAATAATAAAAAGTGATGTTTTTCATAAGTCCAAAGGATTTTTTACAATAATAAGAAGTAAAAGGACAATTTCCGAAATTTAGAAAATTGAATATTCCAAGAATATTATGTCAACTTTAACGGAATGCAGTTAGCAGTAAACTTAAGTGGTACCGGGTGCATATATAATAGAGTTAAGTGGTACCGGACGCCCTATTCAAACTTAAGTGGTATAGCTCCCATAATTCTCATACTTTAGTGGTACCCGAAGTATTTTACCCTAACATTATCTTACTCTTTCATTATTATTTTTATAAGACTCTTCCTTTATTTTTTACTTCAAATTCATTATAGAAAAAGAACATCGTACCACTAAAATATATAGCTTTGTAGTAAATATTGTACCTCGTTGCTATCTGTTTATAAATTCAAGATCCACTTTCGAGTTACGTGGACAGTTTCACTTTCATATATTTAATTTGTGCTTAGTGTTTAGTGTACTATTTGGAGATAATAATGATTTGAAAAATACAAAATGTTTTTGATGATGGAGATATAAGTTTCAATGATAGAGAGAAAAGATTAAATATAAATTACTAATGGGTCGTTTGGAACTTGTCTATGTTAAATCGTTGTATTGTGAAGAATCATTGCAATATATAATACATGTACTGATACAATCGTTGCATTTAACATTACATTGTTTGGTTGTTGAGTTTATAGGTTAATAGTGATTAACTTACCTAAAGTAACTTTTTGGTGGAAATATCACATTTACACTTTATTTTAACATACAACATATCAATCTTTTCCCCCTTTACTAAGGATATAAATGGAAATAAAAAAGAGATATAATCCTAAAAGTAACAATCACAATAATCCGGCCTAGTTATTCTGCTAACGACATAAGTTGTTCGTATATACTAACTAATATCCAAAATGTATTAATAGGTATCCAAGTCTGCTGATTTTACTAAAGTATCTAGATAGCACAGACTAATATTCAAAACAACACAAACTAGTATCCAGATAGCAGATACCAACTAATATGCACAATCAACCAATTAGTATTCAATATGGATACTCTTATGTGTTATCTAGATACTTTTATGTTTATCTGGATACTAATTATGTGCTGTATGGATACTATTCGGTGTTGTCTAAATATTAGTTTGTGAATTTGGGATAATAATTGATTCATGGTGGATATCAAGTTAGCAAACTTTGAATACTAGTCTGTGATATCTAGATACTTTAGTAATTGGATATTAGTTCATGTATTTTGGATATCAGTTAGTATCTGCTAACGAATCTTCAAGTTAGCAGATTAACTTTCCCCACAACCATCTCAACTTTTAGTTGAGATTGTACAATACCTCATTTTTTGTGATTGTAGGTGGGATCCACACAAAACAATACATGCATTGTTTCACACTTTGACAATTCCAAACGTTGTATTATGGACAATGCATGTATTCTATAAATACAACACTCATAATCACAACTTCCAAACGACCCCTAAGTGAAAATTATGTTTCATACAAAATTTTGACTTTGTAATACTTTTAGATAATTTGAACTCTCTTCTCTCATACCAAATAAAATGTAATTTTCATCAAATAATGCAGGGTTAATACCCTAGTTTGGCCCGAAGTTTAGCGTAAGTGTCAGTTTTGGCCCGATTTTTCGAATAAGACAGTTATGGCCTACTTTTCAAATTATTGGACAAATTTGGCCCAAAATGTAAGTTGACCGTTAGTCTTGACGGTCAAACATTTAATCCGTCAGTGACTCAACATTCGTTGCTGAGGTGGCATCGACATGGCTTCCACATCATATCCACATAATTTATATATGCTAAGAATTCTAAAAATGAAAATAAAATAAAAATAGAACTTAAGAAACAAAGAGGAAATTTTCCTCTGGAACCCTAGCCACCGATTCTTAATCCCTCTCCTCCGTGACTCCTTAGTCCTTCCTCTCTCCACTACTTCCCGTCGACGACTCCCTCGTTGCCGCTCCTGGCGACACCGCCTTCATCCCAATCACCTTCTCTTACCTCATCGTCCCGCAGCGACTTGCCCTCGCCGATCTCCGCCAGTTCAAACCTCTCTCTCTTTCATCAGAAAAAGCAGAAGCGAGCTCTGCCTTTCCGAGCCCGACAGGCTATTCCGCCGATTTGAACACTTTCAGAAAGCCAGAAGATCTACCAAACCCTCCGCCGCTGCTGCAACCTAATCGCCCTTAAACTCTCTCCAATGAGTCTGTCGTCTCTCTTATTTCAACCCCATCGCCTTTCAACTTTCTCATTCGCTGATTTTTGCTTCCTCTAAACCAGATCTGAGTTGAAATAGGGCGGTAGTTCTATTTGGGTTCCTTGACTTGACGATTGGATCTCCAGGTCATGATGGCGGCGATGTCATGTTTTTATAGACTAGAGAGAGGGCGGAGGTGGGTGGCGAAGGCGCCGACGAGGCCATCGAGAGAGGGAGGAGGTGGGTGGCGAAGGGCACCATCTGTCACGGCGGAGGCGAGTGGGTTTTGGCAATTTTGGATTTGCCCGAAGAGGAGAGTGGAAAAACCAAAAAAGTCTTTGGAAAAAAAAATATAATTAACTAGTTCTAATTTTTATAATTTAATAAATGATGACGTGTACGATCCTAGTCAGCACCGGATGCTGAGTCACTATCGGAAAAATCATGGACAATCAATTTTGACGGTAAATTCAAAACCCGGGCCAAATTTGTCCAAGAATTTGAAAAGTAGGCCACAACTGTCTTATTCAAAAAATCGGGCCAAAACTGACACTTATGCCAAATTTCGGGCTAAACTAGGGTATTAACCCAATAATGCAATTAATGAAATGTATCCGGCCAACAGGTCGAACCGAAATTTAGTTTTGTAATATATATTTTTGTTTATCAGGCATGAGTTAGTTAATGTTAATGATAATAATATCCCCTATACGATTCTGATTCTCACAACCATGTTGAAAAGATTCCTTTAAATGTTCTCTTTCCGCGAAAAAGAGATAACCAGCAGTGGGCCCCAATCCCATCCCCCTAAGAAGCTTCGTCTTCAAGTAATCACGGAGCTGAGCTTGCAGACAAAAAGGGAGAGAAATGATAGAAACGAAGAGACGAGAGGAGAGTAGACCAGAGAAGCAGCAAGGCCCGTCATTTTCTTTTGAGCTCCAATATATATTATTGAAATCACATTTCAGTTTCATCCGATTAAAAAATTAGGGTTTAAGCAGCTAAAGCAGCAAGCCAATGGCCTGAATATGGACAATCAGCTCCTTTTCACGCCTAATCGTGATTGAAATCCTGATTATTCTTTTGGGTTTTACCGATGGCCGTGGTGAGTCCAGTGCCTCCAATCACGCAGGTTGGGAGTCCGTTGAGGCTTTCTGAGTTTGGAGGTTCGAGGAAGATGAACGGCAGAAGTTGTAGTAGCAGCGCCAGCGAGGTTGCGCCCGTGGCTCGGATGATTGAAGAGAAGATATACGTCGCCGTTGGGAAATCCGTCAAGGAGAGCAAGTCGCTGCTTGTTTGGGCTTTGCAGAACTCGGGAGGGAAGAAGATTTGCCTTCTTCACGTTCACACTCCTGCTCCGATGATTCCTCTGACTCTGAGTAAGTTCTTCCTTCTCCCCAGAACTTCAGATACTTTAACTCTTTTGGGCTTGATGATCACCATGAATTTGTTTTTTTTTTTTTTGTCACTATTTCCTCGTTCGCACTTGAATGTTTGAGGCTCAAATTAAATTTTGTTATTCATGGATGATCAGGCGATCCTAATCTGAATTAGATTATCCGGTGACTGTGGTGGCTGGTGATCGTTGACTGTTGATCTGGATTAGGCGTGTATGACTTTCAGAATCAATTGCTTGAGACGGCTAACTTTGTGGTCATGGGTATTTGCAGTGGGTGCCAAATTTCCGGCAAGTTCGCTGAAAGAGAAGGAAGTCAGGGCCTTCCGTGACATTGAAAGACAGGAAATGTACAAGATCCTAGCTGAATATCTTCGTTTATGTCGAAAAGCAGGGGTTAGTTCTGTTCTCTTCAATTTCTAATGTTTTACTTTGGTCAGGCAAACTTGTAAAAGCTTCTGAGCGAGATTGTAAAGCTGATCTTTGAACTAACTGGATAATTATCATGGTTTACAAGTTCCAAGGCTTGCTCACATAGCTCAGCAACAGACATGAGTTACTTCAAACTTAAAATCAGTTTTCTTGATTGGTGATGAACTCGTTTGAAATAATTTCAGTATGGTGGAATTACAGTTTATTTTGTTTCCTAATATTCTAGGTCCAGGCTGAAGAGCTGGTTATTGAGAAGGAAGCCATCGAGGATGGCATCGTTGAACTTATCACTAGTCATGGGATTAAGAAGCTTGTGATGGGAGCTGCAGCAAACAGGCGATATTCCAAGTAATTGTCACTAGCTACACAAGTCACCAATGCAAATCTCAAATTACGTGGAAATGAACTGGTCCAGATGAACCAAAACTGGATTGCATTAGTGGAGTAGCAGATTGCTTATGACTGCTGAATGTTGCAGGACTATGATGGCCCCTAAGTCAAAGAAGGCCACCTCAGTGAAGGAGCGAGCACCAGCTTATTGTCATATATGGTTTGTTTGCAAGGGCCATCTTATCCACCCAAGGTACTTGGTGTTACGGCGGTCTTATTGTTGTCTTCTCAATTGACGTTAAAGGGAAACATTCTTTCATGTCTTGTAAATGGAAACCTGGGATTGAAATTTGAGATCTCACGATATGGATATGTAAGTCAATGAAGAGTGATAAAAAGCTTGCTATGATTTTTGTTTCAAACCACACCCTGTACCACTGATTCATATTTTCTTGTCAGTTTCAGTTCTTTAGTTGTTCTAAGATTGTGAATGCTTTATCTGAATTCTACTGTTTTTTTAACTCAAATCATTGTGGACATATTGATCTTGTTAAATCAGGCTTGCTACTTTGCATCAAGATGATGACACCAAATCCCCTCAGCAACAAGGGAGTCCAAGCATGAGAATTGGGAATTACCAGCGATCCCGTTCTGCTCAAGTGAAGCCTTCCAACCCAGTGCAAGATCTGTTCCGCAGGATGTCTTCTCTAAATCTTGATGCCGAATCCAATGGGGGAAGAGAAACACAGCCTACTATGCCAGATGATACTAGAAAGGTGGGAACACCAGGAGCCAGGTCAGATGCAAGTTCTGATGAATGTGAATCAAGGAGCACATCACTGGGTTCAAATCTGTCAGCAAGTTCTTCTGGTGAAATGGTCAACCTTGCTGTTGTTCCCAGTTTGATAACTGTAGGTAGTTTCATGGCTTCAGAGATTAGCACGTTGCCAGAGAATGCAGATGGTCCTTATCATACATCTCCTCCCACTGTACTGGTACTTTTAAAACATAGATGTCATATATTCCAGTAGTGATCTGTGTTCTTACCAGTTTCGTCAGATTGACAAATGATGATTTCTGACAGGAAAGAACTTTAGTGGATCCTCTTTACGAACAGCTTAAACGGACAATGGAAGAGTCTATAAGCACCAGGAGGGAAGCACTTGAGGAAGCACTCAGGCGTGCAAAAGCTGAAAAGAATGCCATTGAGGCCATACACAGGGTACGTTTTCCTTTCAGAGTGACGAGCCCCCTTCCCTTTCCTTTCCGGTAGATTCTTTTGAATGCCCACCTTAAATGGGGAATGTCTGTTGACACTTGTAGATAGAGAACATTATACAGATGGAACCTGATGGTAGTTGATGCTATGTCAATTGACTTGAAAGGTCAAAATTTTAATTGCATACATTATTTGCTGATTTTATCAGTGTGCCGTCGATGGGTCAAAATTATACTAAACACTTACCATTGTCCATCAGTCTTCTACAGAATCTGGATCTCCAGAATGCTGTGTAAAGTTTGCAACTCCTTAACCTGTAAAATAAGAGAATGGAAATGAAAGGGAAGACTATGCTGACATAGAATAATTATTGGGGACATTTTCCACAAGCAGGTGGCAAGTTTGCAACCCATAACCTGAAAAATAAGAAAAGAGGATGCTGACATAGAATATTGAGAACATTTTCTGCCAACAGGTCAAGGCATTAGAAAGCCTCTATGCTGAAGAGTCAAAGCAAAGAAAAGAGATCGAACAAGCAATAGCGAAAGAAAAAGAAGAAGTTGATGTTATGAGGAATAACCGGGACAAAGTTAACGATGAACTTCGCGTTGCCTTGGATCATAAAGCATCACTAGAAACCCAAATTGCTGAATCTGATCAAACAGTTAAGGAATTTGAGCAAAAAATCTTTGCTGCCGTTGAGCTGTTGCAAAAATACAAGGAAGAGCGGGAAGAATTGCAGGTGGTGCGCGATAATGCACTGAGACAAGCTGAAGAGCTGAGGAGAAGTAGAGCAGAGGCCTCAAAAGCAACAATGGATGAATTCTTTTCGGAGTTCAGATTCACAGAGATCGAGGAAGCAACTAATAACTTTGATCCATCTCTGAAGATTGGTGAAGGTGGATATGGTAGCATTTACAGAGGGGTACTGCGACACAGCCAAGTGGCTATAAAGATGCTTCACGCTCATAGCATGCAAGGTCCCTCGGAGTTTCAACAAGAGGTATTATTCGGTTAATGAATGTTTTGAACTATGTTTGGATTCACTGTTTCCTAACTAGTTGATGCCTAGCTTCTATTGTCAATATACAATAGAACTAGGAGCTTCTTTTGATCACTACTATATGTTTAGGAGTTCAAAATGTCTGCAGTTTTACTCTCTAAAGGGTGTAACTGAGTTTTAATATGATATCTACTCAGTGTATCTGTTGGTTATATTCATCATCAGGTGGATATCTTGAGCAAGATGAGGCACCCAAATCTTGTCACCCTGATTGGTGCCTGTCCTGAAGCCTGGACTCTTGTATATGAGTTTCTTCCAAATGGAAGCCTTGAAGATAGACTGAGCTGCAGGGACAACTCTCCTCCTTTATCTTGGCAAACTCGAATCCGCATAGTCACCGAGCTATGCTCTGTTCTCATATTTCTTCACTCAAGCAAACCACATAGCATTGTTCATGGTGATCTGAAACCCGCAAATATTCTCTTAGATGCTAACTTGGTTTGCAAGCTAAGTGACTTTGGGATCGCCCGGCTACTTCATCAAGATGAAGATTCCAGTGGCAGAGAAATGATGCTTCACAGGACTGCTCCGAAGGGTACTTATGCTTATATGGATCCCGAGTTTCTTGCCTCCGGGGAGCTCACTCCCAAGTCCGATCTTTATTCCTTTGGGATAATACTCTTATGTTTGTTGACTGGGAAATCGCCTTTGGGTTTAACCAAAGAAGTGCAAGATGCATTAAACAAAGGCAACTTGAAATCTCTACTAGATCCTTTGGCAGGGGACTGGCCCTTTGTGCAAGCCGAACAGTTGGCTCGTTTAGCACTACGCTGCTGCGAGCTAAACCGGGAAAACCGGCCAGATCTTGCATCAGAGGTATGGAGGGTGCTCGAACCTTTGAAGGCATCATGTGGAGGGCCATCAAGTTTCCGGGCTGGATCAGAAGAACCATGCCAGCCTCCTTTGTACTTCATATGCCCCATTTTCCTGGTAAATGAAAAATGAAAACGATGTTTCTCAAACTCTGAAGTAGCATTTATGTTCAATGCTTAATCATAAGACATATTCCTGCCTCTGTTAATCGAGCGTTTAAAAAATGCAGGAAGTTATGAGGGATCCACATGTAGCAGCCGATGGATTTACATATGAAGCAGAAGCATTTAGAGGATGGCTGGACAGTGGACATGAGACGTCCCCAATGACCAATATGAAGCTTGAGCATTCCAATCTCGTCCCCAACCGGGCACTGCGTTCTGCGATTCAGGAGTGGCTTCAACAGCAACAAAGCAGCATCACTTGACTTTCCCCTTTTGAGCAATGCATCTGTTAATATCACTATTGTTTACAATGTAAAAGCATACCTAAAAGATAGAAGAACCAATCGTGTATGTTCGGCTCCTCCGACTTGTCCTTGGGAGGAGAACTATCAGTATCAGTAGGAAAGCAGAGATACTCACTTTCCATTTTTGTATTGTAGATGGAGATCGTGGAACTACTGTTTGCTTGTAGAGAAATCGTACATTACCGTTGTTTGTACTTATGCACACAGATATGCATATACATTATATAAACATAGCATCTTTGCTTTCTGTATTAGATGCAAGATGTACGCATTACGTATTAGAACTGATAACATAATTTGACTGCTGCCTTTGGAGATTGCAGGGAAATGGGAGATCTCAACGGCTTGAGTTCCAGTCTTTAAGTCTCATTTTGTAAAGAGAATCTTAAAACCTTCGTATTGGTTAGGGTTTAGGGGTGTTCAAACGGTGTGGTTAACATGGTAACCGTTTTAACCAGTACTATTTGGATAATTTGGTTTGTTTAATTTGGATAATTGGTTTGGTTTGGTTTGGTTAAAGTTTTTACCTTGTTTGGTTTAAGTGGTTTGGTTTGGTTTCGGACACTCCTAACCAGCCAAACCAAATCAACCAGATAAATAATTAGCTATATATATAATATCTACACATACTTAATACGTTGAATAATCACTCAAGAATTAAACGTTCATTCTTTTAGACTCATAAAATATAAAGTTTGATATTGTTCCTAAAATATAAAGTTTGATATTTTTTTTTTAACAAAAAGAAATTTTCAATTTCGAAAATCTAATGACGTGTAAGATATTTCTCCATATTTACATCGGACTGGATAAGGAGGATGAAGACAAATCATGGAATCCTAAGAAATAGTAATGAACGAATATATAAATAATAATAAATAAATAAAAAACAGGACTGGACAGTCATTATAGATTGAGGTACATTTCTGTCCTAATCCTAAACTGTACCATTCGCTCCATCAAAATAAAAGAAAAAAGAAACAAAAAAAAAAAAGAAACGAGGCCGTACACCATTATCCCACGCGTACTTCCAGCGCGTGGGTATAAAAAGAGGGGAAAGATGAAAAAGAAAAACCAGTTCACACCTCCAGTACAGTAAAAAGTAACGGACACCACACGGCGGTTTTGTCATGTCATGTTCATTTTTTATTTTATTTTATTTTGTTTTCATTTTCTTTTCTTATTAGGAAAAGAAAAGGAAAAAAGAAAATTCTCCTTCTTGTTCTCTAACTTAACAAAAGAAAATACAGAGACTTGAGGGTTCTTGGTAACTTCTGCCCTGTCCACTTCGCCTTCTTCCTGTCTCCCACTTCACATTTCTTCTTCTTCCTGTCTCCGTTGATTTGTTCAGAGAGAGAAAAAGTTCCCAATTTCTTTCAGAACCCTAAACGACATCAACATGGAGGGAGCTCTGTGGAAGGAGCTTCTGGGTTTTCAATTTCCCATGGGAAAGTTCAAATCTTTGTGGTTATTTGTGGCTTTCTTGACTTTGAGCCCCGGCTTTGGTTCAGCTGGAGACATAGTTCATCCGGACGCTAAGGCTCCCAGTAAGCCTGGCTGCGACAACAGCTTTGTACTGGTAAGCAAATCGAGCTCAGTTCCCCTGATTGATTTCTTTTGTACTAGTATTATCCCCTTCTGATTACTTCAATTCCTTGTTCTTCGCTTTGTTCTGTTTTTTATATCTCTTGTTTGGAAATTGGAGGGAAAGCATAGATGAGAAGGTTTTATCTGGGGGAGACTTTTTGTAGGGGAGGGTTATTTCATCTTTGCTATGTATTGATTTATTTTATTTCTCTCCTGGAAACACAATCGCATAAAAGGAAAGAGCTTTAAATGGATGTGGCTGATACTTAAATTCAATGAAACTATCTCGATCCAGCAACTGCTGTGGTGCCTTGCCTCCTGTTTTCCTGCTACGTGGGAAATGAATTGAAATCATCTAGGTCGAGTTGTGTTCCCAGCATGATGGCTTCTAGATAGAGTTTGGTTCTGGAATTTGGGTAGATAATCTAAATCCTCTTTTGGGGGAATGAAGAGAAGTGGAGGGGAAGTTGTTAGTGATTTCTTCTGTTTTAGAACTTTAGGTTCAATTCCTTGGGGCAGTTTACATTTGTTTCGAGGTACTCAATACTCTCTTGGAACTTGGAAAGAAATGATAGATGGGAACCAGAAAAGTGGGCAGTAATGTTGTTGTCACAGCTGGTTTCGAAGTTTAGGTTGAGGTTGGCTGGAATTAAGTTGGCCTACCGTTTGAAGGTGCTGAGCAACTTCGGCTGCCTCTTGCTAAGCCCGGATGAGTTCTGAGATGAACCCTCTTTCACTTTCTTAGAATGCTGAATGTTTTCATCTTTTGTTTATTTATGTGACCTTGTTGTACTTACTTTTGTAGGTGAAAATCCCCACTTGGGTTGATGGGGTTGAAGACACAGAGTACGTTGGTGTTGGTGCTCGCTTTGGCCCAACATTAGAATCAAAAGAAAAACATGCAAATAAATCTAGGCTTGCTTTGGCTGACCCTCCTGACTGTTGCAGCACACCCAAGAATCAGGTTTAGAATTTTTTAATATACTTGGTGCTTAATCCTGATGTCCTGAATTCAAATGTTATTATTTCATGATACATCTCTATTCTGCTGTTAGTTGAAGAAATTTGTTTCTGCTCGGTTAATGTCATTGTAATTTGGACTATCTGTTCTCTTGGTAGCTCACAGGGGAGATCATTATGGTGCACCGTGGAAACTGCAGCTTCACAACTAAGTCTAATATAGCTGAGGCTGCTGGGGCTTCTGCTATTCTAATTATAAACAATCGAACGGGTAAAATTTTATTCTATCCATGCCGATCTATCAACTTTCGCCCTCATTTACATCCTATACGCCCATGATACACAACTTTAAATGGAGACCTGGGATGATCAATTAGGCCATGGAATAATTTATTTCTGGCATGTCATTACACTGGTGTTGGGAAATCGTCAGAATGTTGCTTCATTCAGGTCAAGTTCAAAAGTCATTTCTATGTTCTGCAGTCATGTTATTCGCTTGCACTGGCCATGTTTTTCTTAGCTATGGATTCCTAGAGAGATATTGGGTATTACTTCTCATTATTCCAGGTCTTTGGAAGTGTCTAGATAGGAGAACTAATAATATTCGTGAAACACATCAAATACTGGCATTTTCCACCATGTAGGCACAAACTGCAGCTTGATGATATGGGATTTTCTGTTCAAATATGAATTTGTATTTATATTATTGTACATACTCTGATACTAGCATCAGCATAGTGACTGTCAGTCATTGTCAATTGATCTACATGGTGTCCGCTTGATTAATCTTGTGGGCTTGTTTGCAGAGCTTTTCAAGATGGTTTGTGAAGAGAATGAAACTGATTTAGATATAGGAATCCCAGCTGTCATGCTTCCACAGGATGCGGGAACAACCTTGGAAAATTATATGAGCAGCAACGCCACAGGTATTACTTATTGCACCAGATCAAAATTGAATGTGCTTCTTCGTATAAGTCCAGTCTTCACTTAACTTAACGGTGGCTTTCCTCAGTTCTTCTGCAGCTTTATTCCCCTAAACGTCCATTAGTTGATGTTGCGGAAGTGTTTTTGTGGCTTATGGCTGTCGGCACCATTTTATGTGCTTCTTACTGGTCTGCCTGGACTGCAAGGGAGGCAGCAATAGAGCAAGACAAGCTCTTAAAGGTGAGATCATTTTGAATTTGAATCTGAAAATTTTGGATTCGTTACCATTTTTGCTGAATCAATGAAATTTGTCTCAAAGTCATAGTCAGTGTCTGTCATTCTCACAGGATGGTCTAGACGTACATCAGGAAGATGTTTGCGCTAGCAAAATAGTTAACATCAATGTCACCTCTGCGGTTCTCTTTGTTGTGGCTGCTTCATGCTTCTTGATTATGCTCTACAAGCTTATGTCATTCTGGTTTATTGAAGTTTTAGTAGTTCTCTTCTGCATCGGTGGCGTTGAGGTCAGTACAAGTTTTTTTCTTTTCTTCTTTTCTGTCTTCCGTTTAATGCTCTCTTTTTTTTCCAACTTTGTAATGCAGCAGTAGAGAACATTCTTCTAACCTTTCCTTAGCCGTGAGAATTAGTTTGCATTGTGATGTTGGTTTCCAATGTAAAGATGTTGACCTTGAAAACTTTTGTGCTTACAGGGTTTGCAGACCTGCCTGGTTGCTCTGTTATCATGGTATGCCCAAATCTTTAGTTGTTATGTGAAATGCCCTTTGACAATTATAGATGACTCTGAGCAAAGCTGTTGCGTGCATTCTCTCATTCTATGAATTATTTGCTTTCAGATTCAAATCATGGTAGTTCTCTACTATAACTTGCATTGTCCTAGATGTTAAGGGTGGAAAGAGTTCAGCAATTCTAACTGTTTTTCCTCCAGTCATCCAAGTGTGCAAACAAAGTCCATGACTAACAAAATGTATCAAACCCCACTATATGCTACTCTTTGTTTGCCACAAGCTCAAATGTTATAACACTAAGACTATCTCCATACTCTTAATTGTTGATGATGTGATACTAACATTTCGAATGGGCAAAAGGGAACTATGTTGAGAGTCTACCTTACATATTTTGTCATTTTCTTGTAACATGCTGACACATGGTGACTACAGTTTCAGATGGTTTCAACATGCTGCTGACTCATCTGTTAACGTCCCCTTCTTTGGAGCTGTCTCGTATCTGACATTAATTGTCGCTCCCTTCTGCATAGCATTCACTGTTGTTTGGGCAGTTTATCGCCGAATTTCATTTGCTTGGATAGGTCAAGATATCCTTGTAAGTAACACTTCAGCCGCTATTGTTTTTTTATCTTATTTTGTATATTTTCTATGTGTAACTAGTGTTAAACATTTTCTTCTCTGCATCAATCAGGGTATTGCACTGATCATTACAGTTCATCAGATTGTCCATGTACCAAATCTGAAGGTGATTTCGAAGCTGAATCCTGATTGTTGGTTTAGTAGCATGTTTGTGCAATAGTAATGTTCTGTCGAGGTTCAAGTAATTTTTTGCTCTTTCCTGAATGGCTGTGCTCATTAAGTCCTATTGTATTGCTGTCTATAATCAGGTTGGTACAGTTCTTCTCAGTTGTGCCTTCCTATACGACATCTTCTGGGTATTTGTTTCCAAATACTGGTTCGACGAGAGTGTCATGATAGTGGTAAGTACTCTCAAGTTACCTGTTGTATGATAGTTACGGTTCATAAATTGTTGGTTCTGAACTAGAAAATGATCTAATCTGTCGTCTCTTTCTGCCCGCTTTTCATCAGGTAGCTCGTGGTGATGGGAGTGGGGAGGATGGCATACCAATGTTACTGAAAATTCCTAGGATGTTTGATCCCTGGGGTGGATATAGCATCATTGGCTTCGGTGACATCATCTTACCCGGACTGGTCGTTGCTTTTTCCTTGAGGTAAAACAAAGAACCCATTTTGCCTTAAATATTTTCCTTATCTGAAGGCTCCATTTGTTCCATTGGAAGAATGGTCAGCTGAAGGAGATAGATAGCGCAAATGGTTGGTAAGTCTAATGGTATAATGGTCAACCCTTTTTTCAGATACGACTGGCTGGCGAAGAAGACTCTTAAAGCCGGATACTTTGTATGGGCAATGACTGCATATGGCTTAGGTACAACGCACAGAACCAAAAAGCAAGCAAGCCAGCTGATGCATTGTTTTCTGTTCATTATTATTATTATGGCATTAAAGAGGGAGAGGGCACATTCTCTTCCTACATGTGCATGGTTCCTGACGTCAATTTGAAGGCTCTGACTATTGCAGTCATCCCTTATTCTGATATGGACCCAAGTACTAAGCAGCGATGTGTTCTTTCTTTGTTGTGAATTGCAGGTCTTTTCGTCACGTACGTAGCTCTGAACATGATGGATGGGCATGGCCAGCCAGCACTTCTTTACATTGTTCCTTTCACGCTAGGTAAACAAGCACTTGTTAGCTCGGAGCCTAGCGCGACTAGGTTATCGTCAAATCCTCCATGTTTGTTTTCTCTGCGTTCATTCATTGTTAATGCTGGTGATGATCTGAAATGGCAGGAACGTTTCTGGCACTTGGGAAGAAGAGAGGAGATTTGAAGATATTATGGACAAGAGGGGAACCAGAGAGGCCTTGTCCACACCTCCAACTTCAATCCTCTCAACTACTACACCAACAATAATTAATAATTATCATGTTATGATATATTAATAAAAAAAATACCAGTCCTTAACTTACCCTCCCAATCCATACACCTTTTTAGTAGAAGCTTAAATTCTATAAAAAAAATCTGTAAGTAGAAGCAAAAAGAAAGTTTTAAGGTTTTCTTTACCCCGTTTGGTCATGGGCTCTTTTGGGGATCTTTTGTAAGCTGTAGAGAGGAGAAGAAAGCTTGTAATATTTGTAGCTTAGCAGGAACCGTGACAAAGGCTGTAGTGTAGAAAGAGAACTTTAAATTTGTAGCATAACTAGCTAGAAGGAGCCAACTTAAATCGTTTTCGGGGTCCGTTTTCTTTGTGAGATTATTCAAACTTACTAAAGTTTATATTGCCTTGTGGCCAACTGAGCAGTTTTTTGCATGGCATCAAAGGGATCTGCTCTGGAATCTGGATCAGGTAGCTCTTTCCGAGCACAAGAATTGTGATCCGACGAGTGGAGTTTAATCGGCGTGTGGTTTAGGGGTCGTCGGTATGGTACATTTTCAAGGATACGAAACAAAGGTTGGTGAAGAGATCGGCATACAGCAGAGAGCTATTGAGGGAACGAGTGGTCTGGTCTCCCTGGATCAGTTGAATCATCAGAAAGAAAGTTCATTTCTATTGAAGGGCAACACCAAACCTACAACCGTAATCTCATATTACCTTGTTCCTAAGCCATCCAATACTGTTGCACTATCAAGTTCAGATTACAATAAAATCCCCCCTAAAATTTTTCAATGAGAGGAAGAAAAACAAAGGACAAGAAAGACGGTCTAATCTATCTACCCTTTTACTGTACGAAGTCACCTGAAAATTGTTTTTCTTAACAAAGCCGGCTGCTTGGGCTGAACCAAAGAAACCTGATCAATCATCATCTTATCTCTCAAGCTTTTATTGCTCCCTGTGAGAAGTACAAGTTGTTTTTTTCTTTCTTTAAATCTGCCTCAACGGTCAAAAATTAAGCACATTCTTCTTTTCTTTCCCCTTCATCCTCTAGTTCATCTTTCCTTCACCAGAGAAATTAAAAAAAAAAGAATAAAAAAATCATCACAACCTGAAATTTTGATTCTCTCAGGAATTTGCTTGCACAGGGATCCCTATCCAGCTTCAGCCCACATAAGATATGACAAACAACCAGCTCCTCTCGGCACCATTGGGTACGACATCTAGCCCGCACCGTCTTTCTTTCGTCAAAATTGGTCCAGTCATTTGCCCGACTGAGGAGGAAGCAATAGCAGCAGCAGTTACCATTGAATCTCATTTTTGCTCTTCATCTGCCATCCCCACCCAATAACATACTTTCAGTTACTTCACTTCTCAACCATCGATCTCCTAGACGGGATTCAAAACGGTAAAAAAGAAGGAATAAACTCATCTGACAAGTGCAAAAGAGATACAGAGCACATACTTTGGTGTTTTCTCAAGCTACCATTGCCATTAATGGAAAAGTGAACAGGGCTCTTCTCTTGACCCAAAGACAGAAGCTCCTGCATCCTTTCAGGCCAGTCTGAATTCAATCTCCTCGCAAAATCTTCCACCTCCCTGAATGGAAGGTGTGCAGACATGAGAATCCCAAGAAGCACAAACAGTACATAGATGCAGGGGGACAAGCACCAAAGGGAAAACACACCGTTCTGATATCACAACACATAAAATAGTATAAAGGAACATGCAACAGTATTCAAGCACTCCTGCAACATCACAGAAATATTTGTGATGGAGCCATACTGGTATGGATAGATGATTGGATGACACTATACTGAGTTCCATAAACCCTACAAAGCCAAACTCATCCAACACTAAGAGCTGCGACCTGCAAAATTCAAATGATTAATGCCTGCACCAGTTGCATCATTTCAACTTTCAGGAGTTTTGGAGGGGGACCTATCCTAAACAGGGTTTATAGATGCAAAATTGAAATCATCCAATTCCAACTCAACCAATACCAACACAACTGAAAGGGGTAGATCAGCTCCACAGCATCAGCAATTTTCATGACATGCATCACAACATAATGAGTAAGAACTAATTGAACTGAAATTCTGAAAAGCTCACCTATCAATTTCCTCCTTTAATGCGGGATCAATCTCATCATCAATATCAACATCGTCAAGCTCCACTTTATGATAAAAAATGTCATCTTCTACATCTTGCAATTTCGATGTTTCGCTCAGTGTAGAATGTGATTCATTATCACCCCCAGTGCCTAAACAACCCAACCCATTTGAACCCTACACAAGTAGAATCATAAAACCAAGATTCTTTTTATGTTTCTTTCATGGTACGCAGGCTAGAAATCAGAAGAGTAACCAAAGATGTAAAGGCTCCAACCTTTTTAGGCGATTCAGTAGCATGGTCAATGGAAGTGCTCTTTTGAGGATCCTTTCTCCGGCGATTTTTCTTTTTGTTTTTTGAAGTTGTAACTCCTTTGGAATCTGGAAAACCATACAACCAAATGAGGATGTGCAAATGATATAGAGTTCAGGGTACAAGATCGAAATAAAAGTAAATATGCTTGCTGGAAACAGTTGTCTTAGTCTATCTGAAAAGAAAGAATAAATGCAACTACTGAGTGCAAAAATAGAGCTACTTTATACAGAAACTACTGACATGAACCCTTTGTCGCGTTCCTTGAGTTTGTAACGCATATCAACTAAGGCTGCAGTTAAGGTATCCTCAACTTCACTTTGCTATGAGTTATTTTAATTGAACTGATTTAGAGGAGGTATTAAAGGCATGAGGTATGGCCAACGAACCCCCTCAACCAGAATTACAATAGATAGATCACCAAAAAACTACAGGATGCACCGAGTAAATTATGTTTATATCACTATCTCAATTCTCAAACACATCTATAAAACAAATTCCACAATTTTCCTTCGCTATAAATTTGTTCAAATCATTGTTACGAGCAAACACAAACAGTCACCTATCATATTATGAAACCATATGGAACCAATTGTTTGCTATAATCTTTTTTCCAAAATTGTAGAGTTGGCTAGCAGCAGATTATGCGTCGATTCTCCACATCCAGCAACTCAATTATGCTATTTTTGGAAATCACTTAAACCAAATATCCCCTCCCCTATAGTATTTTCTAACGGTAGTTGATTCAGTGTTCCCTTTCACCGATATAGAGTTGAAACCTTTTCCATAAAACCAAATCACTTTCCTATATTGTTTTTTTTTTTTTTTAATTGTTGATTCTTCTTCCCTTTCACCTACATAGAGTCGAAACCTTTTCCATAAACAGCCAGGGAAAACTAATACAGGGGACAACCAGTAAAAGCATAAATTAGTATAAGTAACAATTTCCTTCCATGCAACACAACACAACCAATAAACTGAGTGTTGCTTAAACTTTTTAGGATGACAACCCAAGTACTTATCTTCAGAGAATATAGCAAGAAGATTACATCAGGCACTCTAAGGTATGATCTCATGAAAATTTCAAGCACGAATTTTAAGTTCCTGATTGATAGAGAAAAATTAAGAGAAAAGATAAAAGTTCAATGCTACTTATAGGTTGCCTTGCCAACTGCACCTGCGTTTTCTCCATTAATAAATGACAAGAGGTCATCAACTGATCGCTCATCTACACGCTCTTCTTCCACCTCGATGTTCTGCAAAAAGGAGACACTTGTCTATCATCGACAATAAAGTCAATTCTAGCATACCACATGCATCAATATAAACACTATAAATTCACATCAAATGGTAGACCCTTGACAATGCAAAGCACTGGAAACTGATAGGTGGATAAACTACAGCAGCATGCAGAGCAAAGTTTCACCTTTTGTTTCTGCCTTTCTTTTAGCTCTTTCCTCTTCTTTGCATACAATCTATTCAAAAGTCGAATCCGGGGATCATCAGTTGTGTTTTTCAAAGGCTCCAACTTCTCTTCCTAAAGAAATAAGATCAGTACTAAAATAACAAAACGGGGAACTAAAGGGTGATATAATATATTAAATTTGACAAGAAACTTTCAGAAAGCACCAGACACCTCGGTCAGATCATCTGGCAAATGAAATATCTCGCGTATCTCCTCGGGGGTTTTCCCTTCAATAATCCGTGCCAAGGCTCGGCTAGTTAGATCAACCAAAGGCTTAAGCTGGAGGCTATCAGCAGCTGATGTCAACTCACAAAGCCTTTTTGTATCCATTCGAATGAACTTTTCATCAAAACTTTTCCGTTCCTAAGCAAAAGCAATGTCGCCAAAGTTCAAATAGAGGTTTAGTAAATGATGACAATTGGTACTATAATTCCACAGTGTGACCAGTTTATAATATTTCAGAAGCCAAATTGCGATAGAAACAACAAAACAAGGCCAGAGAAACAGTAGATAACCAACCTTATTGGAGCGACCCGGTACTTGATGAAACCTACAGTAGTCAAGAATCAGACTCAACATGGCAGGACTGACGCGTTGTGGAAGAGATATGGCATAATTCTTCGATGATCCCATGCCCTTCTGTATTATTTCGTGGCATATCATGGGACAAAACATGGCAACCTCTTGTTCCACTTGTTGAATCGAACCATCAGCAGTTTGAAGCCAAATATATGACTTCATCATCTGTAAAATCCAGAGCAAAGCACCACAAGTTGAGATCACGGTCAACTATCAATCAAACCTGTTCACCGAAAAAGATACAAGATTTCGGACGAGTCCTATAGAACAATATAAAGTAGGTGTTCCAAACACAATACCAGAACACCGATGCAATAAAAATATAAGATTCATGGTTATACCCACTGTACATATGAAACAGTAGCGGACATGGTGAAAGTTTTAGGCACAAGATGGCATTAATGCAGCTCAAACAAAAAAATCGAGACACAAAGCAATACGATAAATAGCCAAATGCCCAAACACACATTTAGAAGTCCAAGCTCACTCAAATAAATAAACAATTACAAGTTCGAAAATGAATTGTTTGCCTGTTCAAAAAGATCCCAGTAGCTTCCTTGGAATAACTGACAGAAAAGTAGCAAAAGCATACCTCTGGTTTGATGACTGCCATGTCAACTTCTGACATTTGAGAATAATGTTTAAATACCGAGATGAAAATTGAATGACCTCTGCTGCTAAAAGCTTAAGGCAAGGTACACGCCACACTCAATAGACACATACAGCTCCAACAAATGGCAGGCTCATCCCCTCTGAATCCAATAAGTAGCCAAAACGTCATTCAACTGAGCGAACTCCACAGTGATTGTTAGTTTTTTTTAAGTATTCCCTGTAAAGGTGTATACAAGATAAAAAGGCAACACAGAACATTAGTGGGATAGCACAAAAAAAAATTCATGCACAATATGCACCCATGAGAATGCAGCGTAGATAGTTAAAGAAGTAAATGCTCCAACAGATTGTAGCACAGCACATTCCTTCTACAATTAATCAGAGAAGCAGCACTCTGTGGAACCTAGATATATGGGTACATCATCCAAACATGTACTAAAAAGCACAAGCCAACAACTTTCAATTCAATGCTATACAGGTTCCCACTTCAACAAAGCTCACAGTCCAAAACAAGAGTTAAGGAAATAGAATTTTAGCAAAGACAAGTTCCAAGTCCTAATTATGATTCCAGCCATGTCAGAGCATAAGAAGATGTTAAACTTGAACCTTGGAGGAACTTAACCACAGCTCTTTGTAACTTTTTCCTCATAAGGGATATGAATAAAGAACCTCAGAGGAAGCTCCATCCTCCCTACTACACCCTCGGCTTTATTGTTATCTTCCTAGCAGCAAGTATCTCAATGAACTCGATATATAATCCAAAGAAGCTAACATCCTTTCAGTACTAGTTGATGGATTTATGCCAGCTTTAAGAGTGACATTGCATGAAGAGATATGATTCGACTTAGTACAACTCAGGCCATAGTTTGAGTCAGTCTGAAACCCAGCCCACATTTCTACCCATTTTTGCACAAAAATACACCGTCCCACTAGTCAGTTGGCTAGACCACCCCTGCTGTGACACTCTCTAACTTCAAATTTGACAACTTCTGCGAATATTAAAAAAAAAAATCGACAACATCTGCATTACCAACTGCTTATTTCAAAGATTGAATCATTGCAGCATACCAACAATTCAAAACTCTAATGTAAATCCAGTAGCGTAATCAATCAATGGGTGGCAGAAAGCAGCATGTTGACATAACTGCGCCACCATCAGAAATGTTAGTTTCCCATTAGCTACACGAACGGAAGAGGGGAAGCAATACCCAGCTAGCAAATTAGATAAAATCGCAAGTGGAGAGGGGCGCCATCTGACCTAACCCTAAAGAGAACGAATTTGGGGGTGGGGCGGGGTGGGGGAACTAAGTAGAAGGGCTCACTCCACAACGAAAGAAGGCAACATGAAATGTAAAGGTAAGCAGAAAAACTCCCCAATTGATCGAAGACATGAGAATCAAATTAGTAGTTGATTGTAATGCAATCCAATTGGTACAAGCAGGCATTCAATTCCAGGGGTTTAGAAGCAAGGGCATGAACCAAGCGCCGCCACTCCCCATGGATAGGGCCCCGCCCGAAAAGAAATGCCGGGTCTGGTGTTAATGGAGAGAAAGAAAAAATACGAACCTTGATGAGGTAAGGAGACAGGAATAACGGACTGTAACTGGAGAAGAGGGGTTGGAAAAATTAAACAAAGAAATGAGGAAGCAGATGGGCAGCTAGATAGAGAGACGGATGGCTTTGAATTGCAGAGGGATTTGGCGGTTGTCGGCGAAGACAGGCAAAGCTTAGCAAAGCAGAGCAGAGCAAGCACGGATAAATGAGAGAGAGAGAGAGAAAGGGCCGGGTTCATAGATGTGAGATGAAATTGGGATTTTCCCCAATTTTTAGGTTAACAGAGGGAGAGAGATTGAAAGTAAAATAATATGGGAAAATGACAACAGTATGTTATTATCCTGTCTACTGGAAAGAGAACACTGTAAAAAAGTGAAACCAGGAACAGGAAGGATCGAAGATAGGCGGAGGAGAGGAAGCGAAGAAAGCCCGCTACTGCGCCCCCCGAGCTCTAGGGCTGGCTCCCGCTGCTGCCCTGTCCCGTCCCGTCCTTGCTCACTCGAGCGAAACTAGAAATCCAAATGAGAAGATTAAAATAATTCGTATTATTATGAAATCCTAATTTTCCTATATTATATTTTTCTAAGTCGCAGTTCATGTTAGGGTGGCCAAATTGATGTCTACGCTTTCACCTCGATTGGATATTGCACAAAGTAGGGTACCCATTCTGGCATTACAAACTTGACCATGACTATTGAATACAACAATACCATGAACTGGCTCCTGAGAATCGTTTAAAAATGATCAATCACGGTGAATCTCAATAGAGAGATTGCTTGGCAGTGGAAAATGTTGATTACGGGGCTGATGAGCTGGTATGTTTGCTGAGGTAGATGTTTGGCGAGGGCAGGGGCAAGTGGACCATTCTAGCAGATCACTAGACGCATTGGTGCATGTGCTTGGTGGCTAAGGGACAACATTGCAGAATACCTTATCATTCATTGTCTTCCAAATGTTCCATCACAGGTAGATGATCGGATGGATTGTTGATAATGCACAAATCATAGTGTTTGTCGCTTACCATATTTGATACATTCTTTCTTCTATCGACGTATCTTTTAGTACATTTTACTATATTTTGTAGGAATTCATAAATATATGACTAATGTGCTTGTAATAGACCTAGGTTGTGTTTTAGGAGTATCAAAGGGGGGTAATTATCGAAAGATCAATGAGTAATTCGTCCAGCAAAATAAAGAGGAGCCCAATGAAGAAGTTTCAGCCCAAGCAGAGGAAAGAAACCAAGACGGGTCGGCCTCAAACCCTAACCCACAAGTCGCGCTACAACCTCATGGGGAGGTTACTTGTGGGCCAAGAAGCCTAATTGAGGAGGAAAATTAACGACGGTGCTGAACGCCAGGAGGCCACAATAGACCCAAGCCCAAAGGAAGCTTCCTGGAATATTCTTTATTAGTCCCCAAGTCAGAATCTGTGTTCTGGACGTACAAGGAAGCTTCCGGTGGAGTTTTAGTAGCAAAATCCTAAAAACGCCTTAACCTATGTACTATAAATAGAGGGTCATGTTATAGAATTTCATACACTGCAAACATTTACATAAATTTAATCTGCAAGTACTTGAGCAAGGAGCCACTCAGCTCGAGTAGAGTTCTAAATAGCATTCATAGGGGAGGTGCAATTAAGGAGATGCATTCATCATCGATGGTGGTACCATCCTTTCTCTTATGTATAGCTTATTCAAATTCGTTGTTAATGATGTGAATTTCTTTGAGGTTTTATATATTACTTTCTATGAATTAATCAGATATTTTAGTCATTAGATGCTTTAGTCATTCAATGTTTATATGATGAAGACCCACCCTCATTGCATGAGGGTGCTCCTTATGATCAAAATTTAATCAAATTTATGGGATGTGAAAGATGATAAGACATAGGAACTATAATGATCCGAATCGTCAATCCAAACATCCGGCAACGACCCAGATTAATTCATTTCATTGTTCTAATTAAGTTGTCCGTTTAAATTCATGTACTCCATTACATTGCAATTAACCTAATCCTTAATCTAGAGCTGGCATTCGGTAACCCGGTATTCAGTATAACCGGTTACCGAATAGATTACCGACGATATCTGATATACCATTTAATGTCGGTATCAGTATTCGGCATATAGAAATTGGAAACGGTAATACCGAAATATAATTGGTAATACACCAACGGCGAGCCGGTATACTGTAATACCAGATCAACTGTTTCTAGGGAAAAAAGACAGCGTATTCCCCCCAACCCAACCCTAACTCCATGCTTTGCCTCCCTCTGCCTGCCTCCACGCCACGTGTTTCTCTTCTCTGTTTCTATAAGAGATGGAGAGCTTCCGGCCGGGAGCTTCCAAGATGATATCGCTCGTAATCGAGGCACGGTCTCCCTGGTGCCAAATCTCAGGAAGGGTTCATATTCGGTTGTGCTGAGAAAGTCGGTGGGGACTTTGGTCGAACAACTGGTGTGCTCGGGCTCGGACTAAGGCAGTTGTCGCTGCTGGCACAGACAGATCCGAACCTCTTCAACATCTTCTGTTTACTGCCTTCCGCATCTAGATGGCAATGAGTCGGGCCAGAGCGGGTACCTAAATACCCATGCCCCGCCCCACGTTACTATGGGTCGGGGCGGGTAATACCCGCGCGGGTACGGGGCGGGTCGACCCACTCTTATATGCTATTTGAAAAAAAATACAAGCAAAATTTTACCTTTTACAATAAAACGAAGGGGAAAGACTTCATGAATGAATAATAGTGATAATATAATGGGTAATTGGATCTATTTAATTGAAAGATCAAGTCTAACTAGTTGAAGAAAATCCAGAATAGGAGATATATGAATGAATGGTGTAAGAAATTCATAGAACGAGCCAAGAATGGGGCGGGGCGGGTCAGAAGTTGATACCCTTGCCTCGCCCCATGCTACTGCGGGTCGGGTAATACCTGCCCCATCGCGGGTCAGGTCGGGTAATACCCGACGGGGCGGGTTCAAATTGCCATCCCTACTTCCGCACAGGGATTCCGCAACTGGGGTGCTCTGGTTTGGGGTCCAGGCGATGGAGAGCTGCCGGCTGGGAGCTTCCAAGAGGATCTCGCTCGTGATCGACCCGAACAATAACGGTCTCACCAACTATGACGTTAAATCCACCAGCATAACTCTCGGTTCTTAGAGATTGGACTTCAATTCATTGGTCTCTTCCCCGATGAGCACGTTATTAGATTCCGGGACCGTCGTGACGCGGTTACCTCTGGCGGTCTATTCAGCCCTCCGGACTGCATTCCGGGGGATGATGTCGGGGTACCCCAGGGCGGAGCCAGCTAATTTGTTTGATACTTGCTATAATTTGGAGGGGGCATGAGTAGGATTGGACGCCGCGGCGGTGGTGCTGCATTTTGAGAATTCGATCCGTCGGCGGTGACACTGAAGGAAGGAGATGGGAAATCGGCGCCTCAAGTTTGCTTGGCTTTCGCTGGTAATGGCGATGAGAATGAATTGACCATTATTGGGACCATCTTCTGATCCTCTTCTCTTCACCTTGAGGAATGTTTTTTAAAAAAAAGTACAAAAACACAATAGCTCCTGTTCGTTTTCGGGATACCAGATACCTACCGGTTACGAACTATTCGATATATCGGTATACCGACTGAGATTCGATATAGATATTCGACAACTACAACACCAGAACCTGATATACCGAATACCGACCGAATACTGCCCTACACAAATCGTAGAAGTCGCAGTGTAGGCGATGGGGGGTGGACATAAATATTCCCGTGGCAAGCCAACGAACTTCCATCCATCCAACCATATTAATTTGGTGGAGCCACCCCACCCTCCACCTCCAATCCGGACCATTTTTTCTCATCAAACACACCCCAAATCGCCGACTCCATTTTTATTCATTTTTTATTTTTATTTTTACACCGACCTCATTGAATATATAGAAGACATTACACTGCCATTTCCGTCCCATTTCCATCCCAACCCACTACATTTAAAACAAGGCCGTTCCCTCCCCCTCTTCCTCCCTCCATTCAGCCAGCCCCGACGAGAAAGACGAAATAGAAAGAGAAGCCAGTAGAGAGAGAGAGAGAGAGAGAGAGAGAGAGAGAGAGCATTTACACTTGTCCAAAGCAGTTGCGGTTGTCTGTCGGTGCTGGGGGGAGTGTGAATCTTTAAAAATGGCGTCGTCACCGGAACCGGCGAGTAGCCGGAAATTCCCTTCGATAAAGTCATGTACGGGGGAATCGTACGAGTCGATCGCGGCGGATCTGGACGGGACGCTGCTCTGCTCGAGCAGCTCGTTCCCTTACTTCATGCTGGTGGCGGTGGAGGCCGGGAGCCTCCTCCGTGGCTTCGTACTGCTCCTCTCCCTCCCCGCCGTCATCGTCTCCTACCTCTTCATCTCCGAAGCCCTCGGCATCCAGATCCTCATCTTCATCTCCTTCGCCGGCCTCAAGATCCGCGACATCGAGCTCGCCTCCCGCGCTGTCTTGCCCAGGTAATCAATCAATCAATCAGATATTCGTGTGGGTGGTGCTTGATTAATTAGTGTGAAATCAGTTCGATTTGAATTGAATCGAAAAATTGGGGGGGAAATTTAGGTTTTACGCGGCGGATGTGAGAGGGGACAGCTACGAGGTGTTCGCGAGGTGCAAGAGGAAGGTGGTGGTGACGGCGAACCCGACGCTGATGGTGGAGCCGTTCGTGAAGGATTTCCTGGGCGGGGACAAGGTCCTGGGGACGGAGATCGAGGTGAACCCCAAGACGAAGCGAGCCACCGGATTCGTGAAAAAGCCCGGGGTTCTGGTCGGCAAGTGGAAGAAGCTCGCCGTCGTCAAGGAGTTCGGGGGAGAACAAGTGCCGGATCTGGGCATCGGCGACAGAAAAACCGATCACGATTTCATGTCCATTTGCAAGGTACACGCCATGATTATGATTTTGAAATCCGGTCTTTGCTTGTTTTGGTTTGATAATAATCCCTCGTGCTATAATTTGATAGCTTTCTCAGTAAGCTAATAGGGTAAGAAATAGGGCGTTTGACTTTTAGGAGGCGAAATCTATAATTAAATAATGATAAATTGGTTGCGCCTACCAAGCTGCTGAGTCAGCAGCTACTACTGCCGTCCACCGCGGTGCATTAAACATGAATGAAGAGTGATTACGGAGAGAGAAACATAACGTCGACTTTGTTGTTTTTGGGTAGAGAAGAGAGAGAGAGAGAGAGGGATTTGAATTTTGATTGGTTTATGATTTCCAGCAATTCTTGATGGGCCCCACAGTCTTAAACCACCTCCAACCGTCTTTCTGACAGTATTAATACCGTTCTCAACAATTTAGGTGTGACTCTCTCTGTGAGATTGATAGCGTGAATGGGAGAGTGAGTCGGTTAGGCCGGCCAGCTGGAGCTCTGCGTAATTCGTTTTTTTAGGTGGCCTAACATACATGATACATTTTTTCTTTTGGAAATGTCTATTTTTTATTCAATTTTTTTTAATTTTTTTTATATTATCTAAATCTATCGAAATACTAAGATTTAGTCAATAAAGAGTTAGTTACTACTATGTGATGTTTACTCCTTGTTAAAAGTGGCATTTCGGTTATTTCGGTTATAACCGATAATCGATCGGCTGGTTATTGGTTAACCGAAATAACCACTCCCTCTACCGAAAACCGTCCGAAATAGGCTTCGGTTTCTCGGTTATCTCGATTATCGGTTAACCGACCCACTTTTAAGACCAAAAACTATTTCGTCTAGCCTCCGATAACCGACCGAAGTTCGGTTACTGCGATTACAGATTAGTGGATACCGATTAAACCGATAACCGATAACCGAACTGCCACCCTTACTCCTTGTAGTTTGTGCCTACTTTATTTAATCCAATACTTATAATTGTCACATAGTAAAACACTTACAGAAGAATGTTATGTATTTAATAATTAATATTACACTTAGCCAAAAGACAAAGAAAGGTAAATTTTTTATTTATAATTTTTATATAATATAATAAAGAGTAATTGTACAATTGGTATTATAACAGGATATAAGTAATTAAGTAACCTGGATGACGATTTGAAGGTTTTCCCCACGGCTAATTAATAATAATAATATTATTATTATCGATAATGATGAGACATATCTCAATGGTGGTGATGAATGAAAGTGCAGGAGGGATACATGGTCCACCGGAGCAAAACAGCGACGCCGGTCCAGCCGGAGCGCCTGAAAAGCCGCATCATCTTCCACGACGGCCGGTTCGTCCAGCGACCCGACCCGGTCAACGCCCTCCTGACCTACGCGTGGCTGCCCTTCGGCTTCCTCCTCTCCATCTTCCGCGTCTACTTCAACCTCCCGCTCCCTGAGCGCATCGTCCGCTACACCTACGAGCTCCTCGGGATCCACCTCGTCATCAAGGGCAACCCGCCTCCGCCGGCAAACTCCACCTCCGGCGGCAACCTCTACGTCTGCAACCACCGCACCGCCCTCGACCCCATCATCATCGCCATCGCACTCGGCCGGAAAGTCTCCTGTGTCACTTACAGCGTCAGTCGCCTCTCCAGGTACGAATCAATCAAAATTTGATGACAACAACAGTTTTTATTTTATATAAGGGTTAGATAGGTTGTTTCTATAGTTAAATGCTACTGAAGATATTAGAATTTCATATTCAAGATTAATGATATTACCCATTAAATTAATTTCTTGTTCGCTGAATGCAGTTTTTGTCTCATACTAGCTAATAGTAACATAGAACAGTAGAAGTAAAACTAATGGAAAATATATTCAGGGTCAGAGCTAGAGGCTTAGAAATGGTTCTATGATAACCCTTAATTTGGAGAAGTAAGAATTAATAGTATATGTCAATAATGAAATTTGAACTTCAAATCTCAATGTTAATTGTCAAATTTTAATTAACCATCCACCACCACGTCAACTGTATAAATTAGTTTGACCTATAAATTTCTACATTAATACAAATCTCACACTCGTCCTAACCAGCCCAATCCGGAGTAACCACATCCGGTCAGTGCCTTTTGAATCCTATATCTTTAACGGGAAAGACGGATTGAAATAGACAGCATGCAAAAGACCCTTTTTCTCCTGTCAACACCTCATCCTCTAGGTTATTAAGATGGTAGGAGGTGCAGATTATTAGAGGAAATTTTTGAACTTTCTATGATAATGGTAGTTGGAAAGAAAAAAATTGGTTTCCATCAATGTATTTGCTTATGAAACTAGGTTTCGTTACCTACTGTTTATTGTCAATACACATGTTTTGATACAAAATTTCGTGTAATGAAATGATTGACCCCATCTTGGAATCCAAATGATACAAAACCGGGAATGGTTATTTGGTGGATAACATTTAGAGTAATCTTGATCATTTGGATTTTGGACAACTATGCAATTTTAATCCATGATATTGCATCATGGATTATTATTCAACAATAATTTTATCTTGATGTTGAATAAAATTCTGCTTACGCCGGGAAAAAAAATGGTGATCACATTTTGCTCTACTCATGTCTCTAAATATGTGCACGTTCCTGATGCTGGCAGGCTGCTCTCCCCAATCCCGGCTGTGGCGCTGACCCGCGACCGCGAAGCAGACGCGGCCATGATCAAGGCCCTGCTGGAGAAGGGCGACCTGGTGGTCTGCCCCGAGGGAACCACCTGCAGGGAGCCTTTCTTGCTGAGGTTCAGCGCCTTGTTCGCCGAGCTCAGCGACCGGATCGTCCCCGTGGCGATGGACTGCAAGCAAGGCATGTTCTACGGGACGACGGTCCGCGGGGTCAAGTTCTGGGACCCTTACTTCTTCTTCATGAACCCGAGGCCGAGGTACGAGGTGAGTTTCCTCGAGAGGGTGCCGGCGGAGATGACGGTGAAGGCCGGCGGGAAGTCGTCGATCGAGGTGGCGAACTACGTGCAGAGGATGCTGGGAGACGTGCTAGGGTTCGAGTGTACTGGGCTGACGAGGAAGGATAAGTATATGCTGCTTGGTGGGAACGACGGGAAGGTGGAGTCCATTCATAATGCCAAGAAGGCTGTATGATGCTTAATTACTACTACTACTCCTAGTAATTGGGAATTATTTACTGTTATTATTGTTATAGAATTTGTATGTGGTGGTGAGTGTGCTCATGCAATGGGCTGCATATTTTTTTTTTTAATGTGGATGATTTGGTCAAGTGAGGAGAACGGATCATGTAATAATAATGATTTTAAAGTTGTGGATGTTGGCTAGCTAGCTGTTGTAGAATTGTGTCTGCATTTTGTTGATTTTCTATGTCCTCATGTTCTATTGGATTTTGGCTGATTCAATCATTTGGAATCACACAGAAAAAGAAGGAATTTTGAGCTCTGGCCTTTCAATTTTTGAAAACCACAAAAGTCGGATTTCAAAATAGCGCTAATCGCAGCTATTTTGAAATTGTTAGAAGTTTTATCCACTTAATTAATGTAAATGAACGGCCGTAGCCAAAATGATCACCCCATTGTTGTACAGGAGAATTATTCGGTGTTATATTACATACATAAAGAATCGCTATAAAAAAAAAGTCTGTTTCTTGTTCTAGATTTTTTCTACAGAGCATTAACTACGTTAACTTTTTTATTCCTACTAGAATAACTATATTTATCCTATATTTAAAGGTCACTAATTATAAACACAAACGAGTGTATCTCAATGAAATAGTATCACTAGGGTATCATTTCGCTACAATATAACGTGGCCTACTATCTTGCCACGTCCCCCTCCCAATTAATGCATAGTTTCTCACACTCTTAAGTCTTAACTCCCACTCTGTCCCGCTGTGTTTTGCGATTAAGAAAGGCTGATTTGTAACCACCGCTCACTCTCATCTCCCATAGCCAATACCAAATCTACCCTCAACGCCACGCCTATATTAACCCACCCGCCAGGCCGCCACCACATGAAAATATGTCTGTTTTAGATAATTCGCCACTGCACGGTAATGGGGGGTAAATGCATAATTGCCCAAGTTTTTGTTCACTGGAAGGATGACGCGCCACGTGTCAACCTCTGGACCCTCCTTTTGCCATTTCCCGCTTTTCAATTTTCCTCATGGCGAGAGCATCGTCTTCAATTATCCTCAACTGGGAAGTTGGGAGGAGACAAGATACGGGTTCACTAGAGTGGAGCCGACGGGAATAAAAGCCACCGACGACGTCGTCTTCCTGCTGCTCCTTAGTCTTATCTTCTTCTTCGCTGCTTCTCATTCAATGGTGCTGCTGTAATTCTGTCTCTTCGGCATACTGTGGAGCTGCTGCTGTTTTCCCTTACCCGGCATTCAATGGCTATCGGGGGTTTGATTTCTCACCGGAACTCCGGTTCTTTCGTCGGCTCCGGTATGAATTGGTGGTGGAATTTCGTTTTTATTTTCCGCTGCATTTCGTTTATTATTCTTGTTTCCCCACTCCAATGTTTGCTGCGCGTCCTTGGCGACCGTGACATTCTGCTTGGAGATAGAAGTTATTGACGAATTCGTCTCTGTACAAAAATTGAGTTCAGCGACTTCAATTTTGTGACCGCTGGATTTTCTCCTACTGGTTAATCTTTGCTTGCATTCACTGCTGCAAGCTTTGCTCAGTAAAGTTGGGGGGCAATTTAGCTCTTTCCGATTGCAGTAAGGGTTTTTGAAGTTGATAGAATGTGAATTTCACTGAATTTCATTTAGTGCTGGGAATTGAGGGCTCTGCATGAGGCGGCGGACGCCGATTTGGTAGTCTAAATTAGGCAGCTGCCTAGCTTCCACCGCTTCTTGAATGGACTTTTGGAAATCTGCGGAATAGGAAATCGAGGGTACATTAACTCACGCTGCCTTGATATTTGTATCTGGGTAGTGTCAGTAGTGACGTAGTAGGATCTGCACTGTGGATTTTCTACTCCTGTAGCTAGCATGTGTGCCCAACAACCATCTTACAATGCTGGATTTTTCGTCTAGGATAGAGGATACAAATTGTTTAATATACTGGTAACTTCATCATATCATGTTGGCAGGGAAAAGATGTGAGTCACAAGCACGGGGTGCAAATGCTACAACCTTCTATGGAAAGTTCAGCACCAGGATAGCCAGACAGGTTGCGCCCATCGTCCCATCTTCCGCTCATCTTCGAATTAACTGCCACTTAAATGGGGTGACTTTGAGACTACCAGCGACTCATCTTCCTAAGAAGCCGAGAGGCCAATGGCAGAATTTCGGGTCTCCAAAGGTCAATAGGACCTGTGCTTACTACAAATCCGAGGAGTTTGACATACCGGTGGAAGCAGCCGTTGAATCGCTGAACCCGGAAGATGGTTCCGGTGAGGTTGCTTTAGTGGAAGGGAATGTGGATGGAGCAGCTCCATGGTGGCAGCAGCTTCCTAAGAGATGGGTGGTTGTACTATTATGTTTTACAGCATTTCTCTTGTGCAACATGGACCGAGTAAGTACCTTGATGCGTTAGAAATTTCAAATTAATGTGTCAAATACTGCCACCATGTTACCATTTTAGCATTCAAATACTGAATTATTGAATGATGTATTGGCGTATTGCTCTGCCTAATATACAACCTCACTCGATACGTATGGCAGGTTAACATGAGCATTGCCATACTTCCAATGTCAAAAGAGTTTGGTTGGAATAGTGCAACAGTTGGTTTAATTCAGTCCTCTTTTTTCTGGGGCTACCTAATGACTCAGGTGAGTGTTGTGAAAGCAGAAATTTTCATCTAGCGCACTGAAGTCAACTATTGATTACAGAGGTTTTGTCATGACTCAGCAAAGGACATTTCTCTTTACTGTTGTACTCGTGTTCATTGTTTTGAATTATCAAAGAAGTTATAGAAAAATAAGATTTTGCTTCTACTCCTGTATGAAGCTTGTTTTTGAATCCTATAGTGCACCCATACCTTTTCAATTTATTTGTTTGCCACCCTCTTGCAGATTGTAGGAGGAATTTGGGCAGATAAAGTTGGCGGCAAGCTGGTATTGGGTTTCGGAGTTGTGTGGTGGTCAATAGCCACCATGCTGACTCCCGTTGCTGCCAAAATCGGACTTCCTTTTTTGCTCATGATGCGTGCTTTTATGGGAATTGGTGAGGTCAGTCTATTACTTTGCTAAAACCGTATAATAGCAATGATTTGTGTCACTTTGACAATAATTTTCACACCAAAGATGGAACACATGGTTGAATAATTTGCAGCTGGAATATAACTTCTAATAAAGGACATGCTACTATTAGAAGAAAGAAGTGTATCAGCCTTTCGGCTTACGTTGGACGGGTTTTGATACAAAATGTTTGTTACTGTGATCGCCTACCTTCTCTTTTAGTAAAATGTTCTAATTTGGTGAACTATATCTTCTGCTGCTGGCTGCTATATGTCGAGGTCTGACTATCCTAAATGAATGGATATTTCATACCCAAGTAAAATCCATAAACTATCTGGTGATCAACCTGTGTTGCAGGGTGTGGCGATGCCGGCTATGAACAACATCCTCTCGAAGTGGATTCCTGTGTCTGAAAGAAGTAGAGCGCTTGCCCTTGTTTATAGCGGGATGTATATGGGTTCTGTCACAGGATTAGCTCTCTCTCCTGTTCTAATAAATAGATTCGGGTGGCCATCTGTCTTCTATTCATTTGGGTCCCTAGGTACTATCTGGTTTGCATTGTGGCTTAAAAAGGTAATCTTTGGCTCCTTTCAGCTCCTCCTTGTGGGCATACCATTTTCAATGAACCCTTTTCCATGATTTTCAATGAACTTGTCGTTTGCATGTTCTTAATGTTGACTTGAAATTATCAATAGAAGGCCACTAAATAAGTTATTGTGCATGTTCCCTGTTTTGTATGTAGGCATATAGTTCTCCGGAGCATGACCCTGAGCTGAGCCCACAGGAAAAGAAGCTTATTATGAGTGGTAGTGTATCAAAAGAACCCGTTACAGTCATTCCTTGGAAGTTGATCTTATCCAAACCTCCTGTTTGGGCACTTATAATTTCTCACTTCTGCCATAATTGGGGAACTTTTATACTCTTGACTTGGATGCCTACTTATTACAACCAGGTGATTGATCGTTTTCCCCCTTCTATCGAGATCCTTGAAATTTCATTCAATGCAAGCTGGTAATGATGTTTTCCGGAGATAGGTCGTCTTACATTACAACCTTTTTTTGTTCTATTTGTGATTGCAGGTTCTAAAGTTTAACCTCACTGAATCTGGGCTACTATGTGTCTTGCCATGGCTGACAATGGCTGTTTTTGCGAACATAGGAGGGTGGATTGCTGACACACTTGTTAGCAAAGGCCTTTCCATAACAACAGTCCGGAAGGTAAGAAGTAAATGTTTATGTTGTTATTTTTACGAATTGGATGCTATTCAAAATCTCTTGTTACTTGACAAGTACGAGATCAACCTATTTTTGCATATGACTGTTGCAGTTGTTGAATGTTAAACTTCATCTTACCTTTGGTCCTTTACTTTTTCTGTTTATATTCGGCAAGTCATTGATGTTTGTAATGGCATACTTCCCTGTCGCAGATCATGCAATCAATTGGCTTTTTGGGCCCTGCATTCTTTCTCACGCAGCTGAGTAATGTGAAGACTCCAGCAATGGCAGTACTGTGCATGGCTTGTAGTCAGGTTTATCCCTCAACTTGTCAGGCCTCCGAAATTTGTATCTCAAAAGCACTAGAAGTCTACGACATAAGAATGCAGATAATCCTTGAACACTCACTTTCATGAGAAGGAAAATTTGCAAGTTCCAATTGTATCTGCTGCCATCATTTGGATTGTCATTTGTCACCACGGACAGTGCCTTCAAAATCTTCTTTTACGAGAAAGCAGGCAGAATGAATCTACATAAATGTAGCAAAGGAAATGAAAATATTTGCTGAACATTTGAGAGAGTAAAGGATATTAATAATGGTTTAGCATATAAGTATTTGGTATCTTCCTGCTAGAAAATGGTTTATGAAACAGGATTGAACTTCCTGGTGTGTTGTTGAGTTAATGAGGGCCATTATTGTATTTGGTGATCAGGGATCTGATGCGTTTTCCCAATCTGGTCTATATTCCAATCACCAAGATATTGGCCCACGTTACGCTGTAAGTACTCTCCTTTTACACCATCCATCACCTTAAGCAATAGTTCTTAATTGCTTGAAGATATATTTGCCAAGCAGAAAACACCAGTTCTATTAGATTTGGAGTTCGCTTTGTGAGGTGATTTCGTAAAACAAGCACTGATTGTTCTAAATAGTAATGATATTTGGTCAACTTTCTTTTCTAAAACCCTACTTGGATGAGTCTGCATCAATAGGTAATATTGCAAAACTACATGTGTAGTAAATGGAGATGGCCTCCTCTAATGAAACAACTGAGGTTGCACTATCTTTGTGCAGGGGGTTCTGCTAGGTCTATCAAACACCGCGGGAGTGCTTGCTGGTGTGTTTGGTACTGCAGCAACTGGCTACATCCTCCAAAGAGGTGAACAAGTGACGCGGCAATGAAGACACCACTTTCCGATTTTCAATCAAGCAATTTTGCACTTCTCCCTTCTTAACTCAAATTTCTCTACATATACATTGTTGTCACCGACTTGCATTGTGGCGTCGTCTGCAGGTTCCTGGGATGATGTGTTCAAGGTGGCAGTGGTTTTGTACATAATAGGGACGCTAGTGTGGAACTTGTTTTCAACTGGGGAAAGAATTCTTGACTGAGGGAACTTAAAAAAGGAGCGAAGTGAAAAGGCGAACAACGTAGCGCATGCAACTGCAAGAGGGATTGAGCAGTCGCCGACGGAAGGTGATAATGTAGAGAGAAAAGTATGAGCAGAACTGTATACGCAGGGATGGGGGATGAACTCCATGGATGCTATCGGATATTAAGATCAGTTGTAATCTTTCTCACCAGGGGCCTCTTTAGTTTTGATCTGTGGAAATAATGTCAGGATAGATGCCATTGAAATACCCTTTTTTTTCTTTCCTGAAAAGTTTCAGCATGCATGCATATTGTGTCCTTCTAGCTACTCTTTCCCTGTAATTAATGTATTAGAAGAACAATAGAGGTTTTGCTGATCAGAGAAAATATGCAGGGAGAGGAATGAACTTCCAGCCAACGCCTGGCTGAGATCGCCTGCAAGTAGTAGTTGTCTAGTAATGTAAACCTCAATTTCATCCCAAATAAATTTTATGACTTTGTTTTCAACTATTTAGGTACAATTATTGTAACACCTTAGGTAAATCTTACATCGACAAAGCACGTGAGAGATCAATGGTTCATAAGAGTAGGAAATCGGCTTTAACTGACAAGACGCGTTTTGGGGTGTAATGGAGGAGTTCTTGTGAGAACTCCGGAGTTAAACGTGCTCAGTGTGGAGCACAACAAGGATGGGTGACCTTATGAGAAGTCACCTTGAATTGCACCCCAAGTCGAAAACCGTGAGGGTCGAGGCCCAAATCCTGTCAAGAAAAAGTTCGGGATGTTACAATTATTCTTTCTACTGTATTTATTATTCATTTATAAAGTTTTTTTCTTTATGTGTTCTTGTAAAAAAATTAAATATCGAAAACCAATCCAAAACATTTCAATTCATCGCAACTTAGATAAAACAAACCAACAACAACAAAAAAAAACCCAGTATATATAGTTGATAAAAAGAAACAGCACAACAGCAGCAACCATTATTCGACTCGACCATTACTCAAAAACAGCCTGAAAAAGAAGCGCACATACACATAGTTATTCTTAACTGATCATTCGTCTTCGTTGCCTGGGCGGCGGAAGCGCTTGCAAAAGAGAGACTTCCCCGCCACAGAGAACCGGACTTCATCTTCACCGCCGAGTATCATCGCCGGAATGTAGGACGCCCGGAAGTACACCTTGCCGTACATCGGCGGTTCCCCCCAGTCGATATATACCCTCTCCACGCAACGCCCATACCTCCTGCATCCATATATATAAATCAAAAGCCCAACCAAAATAATTAACAAACCCAACCCAACCGCGACATTGGATCTTCATGATTTAGTTGACACATAACAACTTCGTCCGACCATCCGGAAATCAACATCCTGTAACGATATATATATATGTGACTACTTTCGATGTACCGAGTGATTCAATGCACCCAACTCTGAAACTAGTTTAAAGACATCAAATTTTGAATTTTAATTGGTAGGATTAGTCTTATATGATGATTTAACATAGGATCACAACTAATCAATATATGTTCCTAAGCCCTGGACCTTCAATTTTGAACTCTAACCTTGAACCCCAAATTGTAAACCCAAACCCTAATCCTAAATTCCTAAACTCTAAACCAATCAAATCAAAGTAAATCTTGAATGATTTTTGTACAAATTTATGTGTTTTATTGTCTATCACATCAAAAGTAATGACTGACATTATTTTGAGATGAATCGCATGGTTAAAATGACAGTTATGAGACGAGTGCATTGAATGCACAAAAAAATGAGTGTGTCGAAAACGCCACCACACATATATATAGTTTTGCGGCACTCAGTACTTCTTTAGAGTATTCGGTGCACTCACCTCATAATCATTATTTTGCGAAGACGATTTATGTCATAACGTCTTCAATGGTCACTTATGATACGATGGACAAGTAAACACATGAATTTGCATAAAAATCATTAAAAATTTACTTTGACTTGAATGATTTAGGGTTTAGGGATCTAAGGTTAGGGGTTAGGGTTTGCAATTTGGAGTTCGGGTTTGGGCTCAAAATTGAAGGTTTAGTGCATAGGATAATGCATTAGTTAGTAGTCAACCTATGTTATATTATATCATTATATTAGATAATTATACCGATTCCAATTAAACATTGATGTTTTATGGCTACTTATAGAGTTGACTGTACAGTACGCACTCAATTTTTTTGTTTGCATCAATAATTCACAATTAGTTTTCTTATAACTTGGAAGATAAGTATTGTTGCTATCAGTCGATATAAGTTTTGAAATGACATTTTCTACAATAAAGTATGCGAAGAATATACTTTTTATCTTCTGGATAATAAATGCGTTTAAAAATGTTGTAGAATACGAAAACCAATCGTATTATAGAAACGTAATAAAAATTATGTATATTTTTTTACGTCGAACCCACGTAAACTAAATCCTGACTACCATCTGCCCAAAAAAACAAATTCATGTCTACCCGACTGCCCAAAATTCTGATTTTCTCGAACTAATTAATTATCGATGGTTACCGGGTGAAAAAACGCTCGATTTGGTCAGCCGACAAGGGATCGCCGATGGAGAAGGTCACGTACAAGCACCGATCCTCCACCGGTGCACGCCCGCTCTCTGGGCTCCACGCTCGCGCCTTAGGGTCCAGGCTCCCTCCTCCTCCTCCTCCTACCACCGCTGCCGCCAGCCTACCATCACCTTTCCTGCCTTCCTCTCCTCCCTCCACTACAACTTGATGGTCATCACTCTTCTCCTCCTTGTCCTCCTCTTCATCTTCCTCGTCTTCGTCGGAGGTGATGTCGATCTTCCTCTCCCTCAAAACACCACCCAGCAACTCCTGCAAGGTCCCCTCACATATCTCCTCTATCTCATTGGCCACCCGCTCCCTCCCCGCGACTATCCCATCGAGCGGGAACTCGTTTTGGGATATGTCGAGGGTGACGGGGAGGACAGGGATTTCCTCCTCAGTCGTGGTGGAGGACGACAGGAAGGATACCGTGGTTTCAGCCTCCGCCGCCACAAGTTGGAGGATCTTGTCGCTCCTGTGGGCGATTGTGGTGAGAAGGTCTGGAAGGCCGCCATGGCCTTCCAGCCAAACCCAAAAACCTATCACCTTCATCGACAGCCTCGGAGGCCTTCCGACCTCGAGCATTCGAGAGAAGAGACCGATGATCGTGTTTGCCCATGCTCTTGGGGATTCTCGACCAGTAGTACCCATGATTGTAAGGGGGAATCGGATAATTATGGAGAAATGAAAGTGTGGAGAAAGGGGTGAGGGTTTTATAGGGTATAAACAACGTAGGCAAGAGGATATATGTTGAACCAATGCAATGGTTTGGAAAGGAAAGGAATTTTACAAACCAAGAAATGTTGTATTTTTTTATAGAAATGGTTTATTGAAAAGCAAAAAAAAAAAAAAAAAAACAAAAACAAAAACAAAAACAGTGTACGTTTGTATTTAAATGTCGTGGATTAGGGTTCCTTTTTTGTTGGTTTCCTAATTTCTTCCTTTTGGTAGTAATCCGTCGTATACTTACACTGTTTGTAGTGATGGCATTGGATATGGTGCTGACCTATCAAGGGACAAGTATGCTTTTTTTTCTTTACTAGCTTAAGTCTTTTTCTTTGTATTATTTCAAAATTAAATAATAAATAATATCAAAGAGATGAATTTAGTCTTAGTATAAGGAATGGACATTTCATTTGATATAATTCGAATATTTGTGTGAAATTGACCATAATATTAAGGGATGGGTTCAGCTCCTTAACCCTCTAAACTTAAGAAGTTTCTTAAGCTAATTAGGTTCACTAGATTAGTGGTATTTAGTTAGTGAATAGTTAGTGGTTATTTGGTAGTTAGTGGTAGTGATGGCATTGCATTTATAGGTTAACTAATGATTGGAGAATTTATTAATACCAGCCGCATTTCTGACGTAAGTCAAACCAGTTTCAATTTTCTCCTACTGTTTTCTAGGTTTTACAACTTACACACGTTCCGCGATGCCAGCGACGTGATTCCTCCGAACTTACGAACTGTTTTTGGTGCCCCTGCGGCGCCTTTGACAGCATACCCATCGAATTACCTGTATGGTTTACGGTTAATTCTCGGATTAAGTTTGTTGGCGAAACTTCGAGGAAGAAGGATACTAGATAAGATTCCAAGCATCCTGAAGTAATAGAAATCGCTAGGAACGTTAGGTCTGACTTGTTGCATTCTGAAGAGCAATAACAGTAGAGTTCTCTGGATGAGGTATCGTGGTTCCGAATTCTAAGTTCGGGTTTCTATGCTTGAGGTTTAACCACGTGGATTCTAGCGATGTGAGTCATAAGGGTTATTAATGATCCCAACTTTAATTACTAAAGATTTTTCCTAAAGACCATACTATTTTACGTGTCATATTAGTATTGATGATTTATTAGCGTTATAATGAAACAGGTTTAACGTTTTATGTTACGTGTTATTAACAAATATGGTCAAATTATTAATGTTTATGTTACTGATTTCATCGTTTGTCACATTTAATTTTGTTTCCTTTTGATTTTTTACCTCTAGATTGTGGCTATGCACGAGGAGGCTAGTTTGTCCCTTGATGTGTTGCGTATTCAAGCTATAGTTTGCACCGTGTGTAATCAAGGATTATAAGGTGAATTCCTCTAATTCGATGAGGATTTTGATGGTAGCCATGACGATCTATCTGAGGACGACACTGGCAGTTAGAATTTCCTTCTCACCATTAACTGTTTGTACATATGTTGTTAACACATCACAAATTTTATTTTTTAGTTATCCATATTATGCCATGTAAATTAGCATTGACATAATACTTGCAAACATTTTTAAGTTATCCTTCTCACTCTTAAAATCTTTTAAAAATGTTTGCAAGTATTATGATAAAAATATACAAAGAAAATTATAAAAGTAAAGAAACCATGTCAGTACAAATATTACAAGTATACAAACCATATCATAAAATATTATAAAACAATAAAACAAAAGTTATACAAACAATATAAAAAAGTGCACATGATGCAATCACCAAAGACCCAAGTTCACTTCCATTGATACTTAAAAGAAGGTTGCACAATGTGGGAGCAAGAAAGGGTAAAAATGGCCAAAGTATGGGAACCGACTTGTGATACCTACTATGACAAACCATGCTTAGCTTTACTCAAATGCCTTCCCTAATGAAGACATAAGCTCCCAAAGTAGCTATCACAAGCCGGTTTCCATACTTGTAATGTTTTTTATGGCTAAAAAAATTTGGTTGACTTTTGGACGCAACTACTCTATATAGAGATGAAACCTCTAAAATCAACCCGGGTGTTTTTCCATTTTGTATGGTTTGCCGGTCTAGTTTGTCATTTTTGTCAACCATGTTTGTATGTCTAAAAAACAACCGGGTTGACTTTGGGACGGAACCCTTCCATATAGGTATGAAGCCTCCAAGGTCAACCCGATTGTCTTTCCATTTTTTATGGTTTATATTGTTTGTCGGTCTATTTTGTATTGGTTGTATAGTTCGTATGTAACGTATTGTTTGTAAATTTGTTTGTATGTTTTGTTACTCTAGGTCGAGTCCGGACCAACCTTGGTCAACCCGCTGGTTGACAACCTTGGATACGAGATCGTAGAGCAGCCACTGACAATTGTCCGGGAAAATAAAAATTATTTGCGGTTGCAGTTTTAGACCACAACTGCGCAATTTCGGATTAATCCAAACACAAGCCGCTAAAAGTTCAGACCGCATATTAGACCACAAATCTCACGACTCGATTTGACTCTACCGCTAAAGCAGTTTGGTGCGGCATGGAGCAGTTCTAACGCACCAATGCTCACCCCTACCTAGCAGGAAACCATGTCATTGGTCGATAAGACGAAACTAATAGAACTTCCCCAATTCACAAGGGCCGGGCCAGTTCTGGTCTACAATTAGGGACTTTGGGGTGAGCAATTCTTACCTACAATCTATTACAGAATCCAACTAACAGCATTTTCTCTGCGGCAGCCCTGCAAATTCCACTCTGCAACTAATACGTTTCAACTCACAACACCTCACCTTCTCAACTCTTCTTCCCTTACATATTCTACTTTCACATTCTTGAAAACCTATAGAAGAATTACAAATGGCTCGGCCGTCGTTTACCCGCATCTGTCCTTAACCTCTTCACAGGATTTGCCCAGCCAACATTACCACCACCAGCAGCGCCATTATTATTCGCAGGTTGAGATTGGTTAATCCATGCATGCTGTGGCTGATGGCCGCTGCTGCCATGCTGCTGATGACTCTGTCTTCCTTCTCTACCGATCAAACCTGCCCCGGGACTCATCATCATGTTCCGCCCAATGCTAGGGGGGGAAACAGGGCCACTTGATCCAGCCCTAGACTTCACCACGGACTTGTCCCGATCTTTTCTCTTCTTCTTGCAGATAACCAACTCCCCAGGGTGCAAGGGAGAATCATCCTGCTGCTGTTGTTCTCGGTTCCCTGCACTTCCACTCCCTTGCTGCCTTGTTTCCCTTTGAGGAATTTGGACCCTGATCCTCGTGTCCTCTCCGAGGTTAGAAGACCCTTTTTGAGGAATTGGCTTATGAGCATCGGTTTCTACCTCAGTTACTTGCTTGTGTCTCTTGCCTTGGCTTGCCACTGTCTGTCTTTGAGATGGACCAGCATTGGATGTAGGTGGTACAGGCCCAGAGAACGTAAGTGAACCTCTGGCTTCCCGGAAATCTGCGTCTGGAAAAGCAATCTTCAAGAGATCAAAGAATAGATCGTGCACTTTTCTCGCTTCAGATCTAACCTGCATCATCAAGCAAACACACGTAACTTCAGACTTTTGCCTTGCATAAACAAAGATAATGGATTAAGAATAACCCTAAACTCACATGCTCAGCTTCCAGAAGTTCCACAGCAAAAACAAAAATCCTACAATTTCATGAATGATTGAATACATTCACAAATACATCAGAGTCATGGAATATATTTGCTTAGACTGAATATATTCCATAGACTGATGCTCGACTGCAACTTGGCAAGATCTGCTTTAAAAACGCAGACAATCATATAAATGCAGTAAGGGCCGTAGGGCAACGGTAAAATAAGAAATGGCCACCACTTGCCAGCAGCCCAGCCCTCTAAGCTTAACAAAAAGGAGATATATAGCTAGCCGGTGTGCTTAACAAGATGCTTTAACCATAGAACTGCATCGATGGGTCCTCCACAAGATGCTTTAACCAACAAGGAACAGTTGAGAAGCCAAATGGCAAGCATACCTCATGTGAGAACCCATAGAACTGCATCGCACCCTTTAACGTGAATTGAACATCAAACACAAGCTCCATGACACCACCGTAGTCTGACCTATCGACGCGCTGCTCAATCTTCCTTAAATCCAAGAGATTATTTCCAGCACCACTCATACAGCCTGTTTCAATCCTCTTCCATAGATCAGTTAGGAGAGGGACAATTTGTTGGCCTTCCTTCTCAACTTTCCTTTGAAGCTTGATAACCACATTTTTGCACTGCTAAAAGGAAGAACTCAGGTAAGCTCAGATGACAATACAAAACAACTCAAGTGCAAATAGGTTGCAGAGAAGGAAAAAATTAAAACGATGATCATCCGAAACATCTTAAGAGCTAAATTTCAATCACAAGCTATCTAGAAGTTGCCCTTTGTGATAAGGTGAAGCAAATGAACGAAGCTTTCGATATAGACAAACGTATGTAAATTTACAACACAACCACACAGTGAGCCCTTGATGATGATTTACAATGCACTAAACATAAAAGAACACATCAGCAAAAACAACTTCCATTAATTTGTTCAAAGTAGCATTCTCACTATCCACATAAATGTACAATTGCATTTTTACCAACCGTAACTATAAAATTGGAATAAAAGTCTAAATATCAAGGAAAGAACAAATGAACTATCGGACATCACATTAATAGGTCAAATACATGACTCCTAAGATAAATGATGAACGCAAATGGTTGCGACCAACAGGAAAGACACGCATGACTAGCATATTAAGACTTCAAAGGCAACTAAGTTAGCCCAAACAAACTAGTCACCTTGACCTCTTGCACAGACAGTGGTAGATGCCACCTGTAGAAACCAAGAGCCCTATCATTCTTAAATTCTAATCCTAGCTAAAAGAATTTAGTTACCACAGATTTTTTCCTTAAGAAGCAACTTCCCCTTGGAAAATGAAGACACCATGTTGAAAGACAAATCATTATCATATTCGTTGCCTATATGTTTGATAGCATAAGCAAATGACTTGCTGGAAGCTTAGGAACAATAATGAAGAAACCATGTTGAAAGACAATCATTATCATATTCGTTGCCTGTATGTTGGATAGCATAAGCAAATGACTTGCTGGAAGCTTAGGAACAAAAATCAGTGGTGATAAATGTCCCAAATACTTTCGCTATTGAACAGACGTACCCTTCTCTGCGTAACTTCAGACATCTTGTTCCCCGCCGCTGGAGTACCACTGGGACCTGTCCCTTTTCCATCCCAGCTCTCTCTAGAATGTTCTGCAACATCGTCTGATGGAACAGACTGTATACTCATCCTGCCTGATTTTGGTGATGATGCATGCAACTTCGATGCACTAGCTGCTCTCCTAGTGGGTAAATTTCGCCTACTTTTAGAAGAATCGCTTTGATCATTCTTGACAGCATTTATTTCTCGGGTTTCTAGATCACTCCTTAACTGCGCTTGATACTTGTGTTCCATGTGGAAAGGTGAAGGAGAAGAATCTCCACGTTGAACCTCATTAATAGGCTTCTCCTCTGTCTTCTCTAGAATATGTCGAGGTCGAAGCCGAATGCTTCGTTTCCGTTTTATTTTGGGTTGCAAAACCTGTTCATCTTCACCTTCATCACGCTCATGAATCCAACTTCCTGATTGCTGGCGATCCATGTGAGAATCTCCAGACATTACTATCTCCCCCTCCTCCAGCTCATCTGGCTGGACAATGTTAACAGAAGATGGTGAAGGGATAGGGAACAAAATTTAATATTAATATAATAATAACAGAATACTAGTGCAGAAACAATAACGTACCAGTCGCTTAGAAAGAGAACCTGGTCTAGCATCTAAGGCAGACAAAGATCCAAACTTTTGGGAAGACACTGGAGACACCATCCTTATCATTTTACTGCCATTGGAGGATGATCCGGAGGAACCAGCTTCCTCTAAAATTCTATTGTCTCTAATACCATCTGAAGCCTGGGGATTCTCATGCCCACCATCACATACTGGAACTTCATCATCTGACTGGTCCTTATTGATTGCTTGTGCCTCACCAGCACCACTAGATTCATCATCTTCAAATTCTCTAATCTCGCCCTCTTCATCATGAGCAGAATATCTATTTATCTCATCAGAAGTTGCATCTGAATATTCTCCATTGTCATCATCAATTTCCTTGTAATTTGGATATTTTTTTGCCTTTGGCCGCCCCCTTCTTGGCTCGTTTTCACTGGCTTGCGCTACCAAATTTCCAGCAGATACCATGTATTTTGATGGTTTCTTAGAGAGATTCGCAATTGCAGAATTCACATCGTTTGAACTGGCACGAAGCCATTCAGGCACCTGGTCATACCTGGTCATCTCCTCTTCCCAGTCTAGCTCTTCATCCATTTGATCAAACAACTCGATTTCCTCCTCACTTCTAGCAATCATCCGATTCACTTGTTGAAGTGAAGGAACATCATGGACTGTTTCCTGATACCTCTCTTCATCATGCAGCAGTGTTTCCAAAGTCATGCGTCTCTCTTCATGCGTTGTTCTTTGGTCAAAACGCCCAGCATTGATAACCTCATCAGCCATATCAATCTTATATTGTTGAATGTTGTTCCTGATGAGGCTCTCAATGGACCCCATGTATCTATCTTTACCAGCCAGGTCGTCTTCTAGATCAACCGAACCTCCACTTCTAAACTCATCCTCTTTCTGATGGCTAGGGATTTTGTTGACGACTGCTTCCATGTAAATGACTTTTACTTCCCTTTTCTGTCCAATTCGGTGGGCCCTTGCAACTGCCTGTTCCTCATTTTTGGGGTTCGGATCAGGATCATAGATGATAACTGTGTCGGCCGATTGAAGATTAAGACCCCTTCCAGCTGCACGGATGCTGAGCAAGAAGATGAAGCAGTCAGAATTAGGACTATTAAACTCTACAATAGCTGCCTCACGATCTTCAAGGCTGGTTGTACCATCAATCCTTCTGTATACCAGTCGCCTCCATTGCAAATACTCCTCCATTATGTCCAGAAGTTTTGTCATAGTACTAAACAGCAGTACTCGGTGTCCTGTCCTATGCAGTTTCATGAGGATCCTATCAAGAATCCATAATTTCCCACAAGATCTAACAAGGAAATCCTTGGAGCAGTCATTAAAATATGGATAATTAAGTAAAGGATGATTGCAAGTTTTCCGAAGCTCCATACATCTATTATTTAGAGTTTTATACACCTTAGCCTGGTATATTGAACTTTTCTGGACCCTGACCTTCTCATCCTCAGGATCCACTCGAATTGTACCAGTAGATTTAATCCAATCATAAATTGCACTCTGGAATGCAGACATTCTGCATCTCAAGACAATGGAATCCTACAAATGACAAAGCACTAGAAATGGTTATACAGAATGTGAGGGCACAGAGACTATATGCAGCATCAAGTTTGACAACATAACCCATTACCTTTGCCGGCAGTGAACCTTCCACATCTTCCACACGACGCCGAAGCATGAAAGGCTCCAAAATCTGATGAAGTCTGTGAATAACAATTACCTTCTTTTCAGTCTCAAGCCAATCATCCTCTGCATCGTGTGTAGGGGCTTCCTTCTGAAATGGTTTTGAGAACCAATCATGGAATGCTTTCCGATTGTCAAAAACTTCTGGCAGCAGCAGATTCAAAAGTGACCAAAGCTCCTTCAAATCATTCTGCAGAAAAAAGTCATTAGCTCCTGCCGGATTCATTCTCAAATTCAATGCTGGATCATACATCAGTAATTATAAATCACCAAGCCCCATAGAACAGGGAACCCCTGAACCCATATCTTCATTTGGTAACCAACTTATAACGAATTTAGCCTCAAGTTGCCTATAAACACAAGACTTGTGATAAGACATTAGCAAGAATGCTGATTTTCCCATTCAAGTTCAAATAAAACTTCAAAAATTTATGACTTGAGCATCAAGCTGGGAACACAGTTGCATGCGTAAGCTAAATCCAATCGAACAATCACAAATGAAGGAAGAAAAAAGGCATGGGTTGGAGGGTAACTACAGGATACATCATAATAATAGCCTGGAAGCAGCTTCACCACCGATCAAATTGTTTTCAGATTTTTTTCATAGTAGTCAATCTGGATGCAAGAGACAATTTAATGAAGGGAGGAAATCAGAGTCCTCCCTATAGGCAAAGGTAATGAGAAGAAAGCGTGCATTGCAGCTACCAGTTTTATGGAACGCCAGGTGAATCTTTATGGTAACTGATGGTACAAATTTTCAAGTGGAACTACCAATACCTTGTCATTCGAAATTACATCATGAATGCACAATATTAAGAAAACAGAAGTCCAGTGAGCATGGTATATATTCTGCTGATAGTTTTAAACTGTCTACGCAAGAAACATGGACTCCCAAAATAACGGACCTGCAATGGTGTCCCAGTGAGAAGTAGGCGCCTCTGGCATCGATATCTGTCAAGATCACGGGCCAAAACTGATTCTCTATCCTTCATCCTCTGTGCTTCGTCGATTATAATATATTTCCAATCAACTTTGGAAAGTTTTGAGCGATCGTACATGATAAATTCATAAGTTGTGACAAGAACGTTGAACTTCATGGCACAAACCTCCTACAGGGTTCAAAAGAACTTTATCAATTTTTCCTGAGCCTAGAGGTTTTCATTCAGTATGCATCATTTAACTTACTTGAGAAAACAATTTGGATCTTTGTTCCTTGTTCCCGACATAAAAGATACACGACGCAGATGGCAGCCAGGTGTGGAATTCACTCTGTGTAACGAAGATGGAGAACATATATATAACTTCATCACCCAAAAATATATATTATATATATATATAGACAAACACTACATCATGAATATGTATTTCAGGGTTAACTAACCTTCCAATTCACTAAAACAGCATTAGGCACGATAATAAGATGTGGTCCATAGTTTCCTTTAAATTCCATCAGATGGGCTATCAATGCCATGACCTGAGATGAGGAGATGGAAGAAAGCAGTGTTGAGGAACAAGCACCAAGATGTACAGCTATTAGCAAGAGAAACTCATGTATAAGAGATCCATTCCCCGCATCCCACCCCCCCCCCCCCCCCCCCCCCAAATCAAACTGAAAATTATATTCCTCCAAATACTCACTTAGTCACTTCAATTAGGCAATTTCTAGAAAATTTTAATTTAGCATAAAGTCACAACCTGTACAGTCTTCCCAAGACCCATCTCATCAGCCAAGATCCCATTCAGCTTGTTGTTATACAAAGAAAGCATCCACTGCAATCCAACCTGGTGTTGACCGACACAAAGTTGGAAAACATTATATACACCCAGTTAGAAATAAATAATAGCACAGAAAAAAGGTCAAAATTCTTACGCAGAAATGAAGATGCAATACAAAAAAAAGAAAAAAGAGTTGCACTAAGATTAGCAACCTACAAGCTGATAATCTCTCAACGTTCCAGCTCGCAACATTGAAGGCTGTCTTGTGACTCTTTCATTCACAGCATGAGCGAGATTGTAATATCTACAAATGAAAGGGATGAATAGTAAAGGTTGGATCTGATCACATGTAACTAACAGTTACCTTAACCATTCATTTTAAAATAGGGGGCAAGATACAACAAATTAACAGTGGTTTCAGGAACTCCAGGGGAGGAGCCCAAATAGTAGTAAATCAGCCACTATGACCTTTAGAACATCACAGAGCTCCTCAACTGAGGAACAACAGGAAGCATAGAAATAACAATATAGCTTACTTGCTAACAGATGAACCGTCCCTAGGTGCATTCATTTCCGTAAATCGGTTTCTTATCATTACTTCCTCTCCAGCACAAGTTGCTGCTGCCCTCACCTCTTCTTCAGAGAGTCCCTTCAATTAAGATACAGAAACTTCGAGTTTTAAAGGCAAGTAGATGGCCAAATGATTGCAGATACTGAAAACTACAAGTGGAAACACATACCTGCAATCTTGCAGCTGCAGCAGCAGCATTTGCCGCCTCTTCTACTTCCTGTTGATTCTTAGCAGCAGTTATTTTACTTCCAAGCTTATTAAGGTATTCTTCTGTCTGAGTTAAGAATGACGAGAGAACATTATATCTCTCAGATGCCTCACCAGGCATGCTAGTCTGCTGCTCTAAGAGCATTTCCCTGTACCTCTCAACATCATTGTTCTTCAATGCCTCCATTCTTTTATTCCGATCGTCATCTTTTCTTTTTGAGAATTCCCTCAACATTCGCTCATGGTATTTGGCAACTCCTCTATTTCGGGCAGTCCGTGCATCACGAATAGCCCAGTGAGCCTCAAGAAGTTTCTTACGCCACTGGAAGATAGATTTCAGATGCTTATCTCTCATTGCTTTTTGAGAAGACTGTACTTGTCTAGTCAACTCCATCCGTTGGCGCTCACATAGTCTAACAAATTTCCGATAAGGCCTGTCCGGCATTTGCATTATCTCCTGCTGTTGTTGATCAACCTCATCTCGTATACGTGCCTGTAGATCCAAAAGCTTGAGCTTTTTTTCCTCAATCTGTAACCGCAACACAAGATCAGGCCTGATCCTTTTCCTCTCTAGATTTACTGACAATAAACCACTAATTTTCCTCAAATTTTCTGATCTTTTTATGCTCAGAACTTCTGTGCCTTCTTCAAAAAGGAGATCTTTAACATCATAAGCCAGGGTCAGGTTGTTATTGGTGTTAATCATACCAGATGAACTCATTGAGTCATGTTTCCTTGTGAAAAATGGAAAGTCAAAAAGCGGACCATGGTACTTCCTTGCAGAATTAGAATCTTTGGGCCCCGATGCAGTGCTTGCTTGTGTTGGTTTCCTAACTTGGGTTGCATCAGATACAGGCAACTGTGGAGCAACTGTCTTCCCCCGATCAGCTGGAAGATCACTTCTAACAGGAGATTTCTGTGGGCCATGTTCAGCCTCCTGATCTAACTTGGGAGAAAATATTGGACTTTGCTGATCTTCTTTAGTTGAAGCTCCCACTGGTGTAGTTTCATTCACTGCAGCACCAGAAACTTGCAATTGACTTGCTGACATAGTCACTTTCTCCGCACGCGCAAGCTTTTCCTCTTTGGGAGTAATCAGCCCATTTGTCAGTGGCATTGACCGAGTTTCCTTCTCACTCAAATCTACATGCCTCACTTGCTCTTCAGAAGGTTTTCCATCAGGTCTTTCCTGATTACATGCACCTTGAGGAGCAATTTGCTGCGGCTGTGCCTGTGGCTGTCGCGGCTGCGACAACGGCAGTGGCGGCTGCTGTGGTTGTTGCTGCAGATCAAGGGGTGGTGGAATGATAGATTGAAGAAGCTCTTGCGGAAGAGTGCCTTCACCTTTCTGCCAAGCAACCAAGAGCAAAATATTAATATCAAACTAGCAATTGTTTAAGAGTATAATCTATCCTATTGGCCTAGGTTCAGATTATAAGTTATGATAAGAGATGGAGCAGCACCCGGACCTTGAGTCTTCTGAATGCCAGGATTTGTGCTTTGAGAACATGCAACTGCTGCTTTGTGAAACCACGCTGCTGAGATGACTGAGGAGATGGTCCACCTTGCAATTGTAAATTGTTGGTGGAGCTTCCATTATTTGAAGTACTAGCAGGCTGAGAAGATTGATTCAAATGCTTGAAATGCTGCATCTGAAAGGTTTCTGGGCTAGTTGAGGCGCCTCCTTTTACAGGCAATGTCAGCTCCGAACCTTGGATTATATTTGTGGATGATTGAGGAGGGTGCATCGGAGGCATACCATTTCCATGTCCAGCTGTTTGTCTAGTAGCCACTTGATTCTCTCTGCCGTGAAAAGCATGCTGCTGCATTCCAAGGTTATTATTACTGTTGTTCACACTTCCAGGACTAGAGGTTGAGCCAAAAGGACTCGGTGCAACAGGCTGCCTGGCTTTTGCAGAGCCAGATTGCCCAGATACGTCACTCGATGAATTAGCATGTGGTGAATCATTTTGCATCGGTGGAGAAGTAACCTGCTGCTTTGACACCGGTACAGCACTCTGCTGAACAGAAGCATTGGTTTCATTTGCCTTCTGTTGGGCAGCCATCCTTGCCTGCATCAATGGAAGGAACTGTGCCATCAAGTTGGCATTAGCAGGCACCGACATATCAATATTACGTTCCTGAGCCAGTGCTTGCATAGCCTGCATTGCTTGAAACTGTGCAGCCATGAGCTGGTTGTTTGGTAGGTTTTGCATTGTGTGCTGAGTTGGTAGAGCCTGCATCTGCCTTGGAGCATTCCCGGATATTTGTTGCCCCATGACAGGTGGCTGGGTCAGAGACTTTTGCTCATTCCTCTTATCAGGCTGCTGTCCTTGTTCCACCTGCTTTTCACCACGAGGAAAATGTTCTGATGTATTCCTGGAGGATGATGCCTGTGCATGATTAGCAGCTTGCATGGACATGAGTTCCTGAATTTTCAAATTTCCAATAGACATATCCTGATCCTTGCCAGTGGCAGAACCCAACATTCCCATTTTCATTTGTTGCTGTGATGGCACAGCAGTTGCTGACTTATGTTGAGCATTCGGGAAAGCAAATTGGAGATATGCCTGATGCGCAGGAGTCAAAACCTGTTGGTCTTGAATATGGCTTCTGTTTTCGCGATCCTGGGAAGAGCCGTGTTGTTGAGCTTGACCCAAATCAAAGAACTTCCTCGCCTGTTGAGGCAGTTGCATTGAGCCCGGCGATTGGGCGAAATTGCCCCCACCCATGACTCCATGAAGAGCAGCAGCTTGATAAGCTAAAAGCGCCTCATTACCTTCTGGTTTCCTGAGTAGGTGCTGCTGTAGGGCCTGCACAAAAGGTTAAAAAGGAATCTGTAAGGACAATATCAAACCAATTATATTCCACAGAAACCAAAGAAGCAAACTAGATCCTTCCAGCAGTCAGTGATGTAATAACAGTCACCAAGACTTCCAACTGTCAAAAAACTAAAGTCAATTTGAACGTGACAAAAGCCAAAATCGTCAATCAGACATCATTTCTAGCTTTCCTGTAATTCCAAAAGCTAAACCAAGAAAAATAACATTAGAACAGAAATATCCCAAAAAAAAAAAGCTAACGAACCAAGTAACAGAAAAACCTATGTGCCCTGACACTGAAACTTGGAAGGATCTACCCAAATGGACAAAGCTGTAACCAATCAGCAATATTCCAGAAACCCACACAAGTGAAAACGGAGAACAGAGGCCTTCAACAAACTCGATGGCTATGTAATTCAACCTGAGACTGAACACCAGATATGGAATGCTGGCAGGGAGAATAACAATCAAAAGCAGAACTCCCAGACATAGTATGCTCATTAAGCATCCTCGATAATCGAGGTGTAGGGGGCAAAAAACAAAGCACAAGCAAAGCAAAGGCAAGTACAGTTCCCTCATCTCATCACTAATTTATTTACCAAGCTTAGAACACCATAGCAAGCCCATGAATTTAACGCCAAATTCAGCCAACCCTTCACGGAGCATTAATTACTCAAACAGTCACATGCAACAGACACTATAAATTCCTGAAATTGAACAAACTTCTTGACCCGCCCCTACCCATTTCACAAGCTCAAATATCATTACCTGCCTAGACCCTAATTGCTGCTGCTGCTGGTGGTGCTGTTGCTGCTGGTGCTGAACCGAATCGAAACCCAGCTGCTGCGGGGTGGATACAGCAGAGGAGGAGGAAGAAGGCGATGCAGCTGCTGATGAGGTGGAAGCGGCCCTCCCGGCCCTGCCGGTGGGGCCGCCGGCACCTCCGCCGGCGCCAGACTGCATGCAAATTGCGCCTCAAAACGACCCCGATTCCAGCAATTAATGCCCCAAAACTGCAAAGGGCAAATAGGAAAACAAGAAGGGAGGGAAAAGGGCGCAAATCCCTCCAAAATTTCTGACACAAACCCCACTCAGATCGCAACGTTCAAAAAAAAAAAATTCCACAACCCGCACCAACGCCCGCTCTTACCACTTTTTCCCCCTCGAAAAATAAGATTTTTAACACATAATAATAAAATTGCGATATAAACGGGGCTGGTAAGGCAAGTTCAAGGCAGGATATGGATGGATCTGTCCAAAGGAGAGAAAAATATTGGAAAGAGAAGAAGAAAAAAAAAAAGGGATGCGCAGAGCCGAACGATTCGACTGATTTGACTCGCCCGCTCCACCAAAACTCTCCCTGCTGTGAGTGCCTTCTCTCTCTCTCTCCCTCCGAGCCGATCACGCGACTGATTCGGCGATAATCCCTACAATTTTGCTTTTCTCTTTTTCCCCTCTTCTTCTTCTCCCTTCAGTCTCTCTCTCTCTGTAACTCGGTGAGTTAAAAACAAACGAACCCTATGAGGTTTGCTGCGATAGCTTATTAGTATTATTATATTGTAGGGTTTGGGGGTGAAATGGAAAGAAACGGGAATAGGGAGGGCTAAGCCGGGGATTGCATGCTTACTACGGTGTCGTTCTAAAAAGTGTGGCGTTAATGTCGATGTTTATGATTTGTCTACGCGGATGTTATATAGCGGTGATTTGGTTAATTAAAAGTCCAATTCCAATAGTTCATCAGAGATAATCAAATCGAGGCTACCCAGCGACATGGAGAAATCGTTTCGCTTATGTCTTCCCACAGTCGTTTAGTGTTTGTTTTACTTTTTTCCCATTAATTTATTTAAAATTAATTTAACTTCAGTCTCGTGCTCCGTCTGCTTGTGAGAAGAACAAACTGCTTCGACGAACTTCATCGGCATTGATCCAATCTTGAGTTGTACCATAAGCCTTCGTTAATAAGTCATTTGGATGTTGTATTGGAAACAAAAACATGTTTGGCTAGCAAAAAAGAGATGCACCATTTGGTACCTGTTATTCTCTAAACACCATAAACATGTTATTTGACCAATACCCGAGAAGGGGTTGGTGTTCTCCAAATAACAGGTTATTGTCTTTTTTCTTACAATGAATCTGCAACTCAGCAGGCACTAGAATATTTCGGCTTTTATCGAGTGTGGAGATTGAAGTGTTTCTGAAGTTTAAGTTCCCATTGGTTCACATAAGAAAGCTATTGGCTGGTGAAGGAAACAAGAGGGTGAGGCGTTCATATGAAAGCTCCTCCAAGAGTTCCTTTCACTTGAAACCTTGATCCTATCAAAATATGAGTTGTATGAACCATGTTAGGTTTATTCATACCATGTGTCTTGAAATTTACCAAGACTAATAGGCAACAATGTGGACCCTATGGATGTCTACTTTGAGGAATTCAATGCAGTTCAATCGATGGATGATCGATCGTGTGGGACTGTCGTGTCCAGTCTCATCCACGCATGAAGTCGGGTTTGAGGATGTATCCTTTGAAGATAGTTTTCGTCTTACGTACACAATCAAATCGACAACAAACCAAGCGCATAAATCAAACAGAAAAGATAGATGAAATCAAACTCATATATATACCAAAATCAAAAGAGTTTACATAGTCAAAGAACCTCTAGGGTTAGCCAACCTACGCAACTAAGTAACTAATCTTTCATGGAGACAGTAAAGTACTGTAGGAACATCAGTCGAAACGAGATCCTCAAATCACCCTTAGAATTAGGGCTGGCATTTCGGTTAGTTCGGTTATAACCGATAACCGAAATGTCGGTTACCGGTTAAACGAGACAGGGCATGTGGCTACCGCCAACCGACCAAAGAAAGGCTTCGGTTAGCCAGCAACCGACCGGTCGGTTACCGGTTAGTTGGCCGGTTAACAGAAGTAACCGCGGCATGCTGACTGCACTCCCAAATTCCCCCAAAAACAATCATCTCTCCCTAAATCCCTGAAACCCCACTTTCTCCGAATTGCTCCATCACTTCCAAACCCTCTCCAATTCATCGCCATTAATCATCAATGGCAGAGCCCCCTAAGCCGGAGTCCTCCGGGAGGCAAGACGTCGGCGCCTCCTTCGTCCTCGAATCCAAGGGTACTTAATTAATTACCAGTTAACTCGATTCTTCCTTTCGTTAACTAATGGATTGATTTCTCCGACCCACCGACGAGCCTCGTTAGTAACGGCGACGCAACCTCTCTGTTCTTGCAGGTCAGTGGTGGCACGTCGGGTACCACCTGACGACGGCAATAGTGGGAGAGAGTGAGGGAGAGGACCGGCGGCGGCAGGGGCAGGGCGGCGGCGGGGAGAGTGAGGGCGGCGGCAGGGAGAGTGAGGGAGAGGGAGTGTGAATCGCTGCTGCTGTGTGGGTGGAGTGAATTCGCAGCGGCGGCGGGGAGAGTGAAGGCCAGCGAAGTCTTAGGGTTAGGCAGGGTAGGATGCGGCGTCGTTTACCAAGGGTGAGGATGCGCCGGTTAGTTGGTTTAACCGGCGGTTATTTATGCCGGTTAGCCGGTTAATCGGCCTCCTTAACCCGTCTACCGCCAACCGCCCGCGCCTTCGATTTTTCGGTTATCGGTTAACCGGTAACCGCCGGTTATCGGTTTAACCGGTCGTTTAACCGGAAACCGATAACCGAATGGCCAGCCCTACTTAGAATCTATATGCACAACAAGGAATCGGTCGTTATATCACCAATTATGGTGCTTATTCGCCCTATGAATTCGGCTTTGCTCTAAATTAGGAGAGTCACTTCCTTTTATGCCTCGTATCACTGGCTACCAAATTTTTACCCTTTGTGGGTATATTTATAGGCTTATATATATAGTTCTCTATGAGGAAAACTCGTTCTAAAACACGTATGTCGAATTCCTTCGATCTCTTCCAGTTTGGCCACCAAGCTTAACATATTCCTTCTGAATCTGTACTCAATCTGGATATTTTTTAATCGGCGTACTAGGCACCATTTTGGGCTCGAGTCGACTGATTTCGATGCCATTTTTTAGACTTTGATCCATCTCGCATTCTGGCTCCAAACAGCCAGGTCTTGATGTTCTCCACTCGTACAAGATGGTCCACCAGGATACTCTTGCTTGAAAGCACATGAAACACTACCAAAAGTGCATCAAAATAGGGGGGGGGGGGAATCCTAGAGCAACGAAAACACACCTCTTGTTAATATCAAGCAAATTCAAGTGATTATGATACTAAATATGTGAAATCCATGTAATTTTAGCCATAATAAAGGGGTATAAAATTACAACTCACTGGACCTCTCCGATGATACGTGATTTTCGATAATAGGTAGTGGATTACAAGCAGCTTATAAGGTCAACCCTCATACTTAGAGTATTAGACCACATCAATGAGGTACATATATCGCAAGGACAATCTGACCAATCTCAGTCAATCATAAGCTCTTAACTCAACTCTAGAGTCCCAAAACATTTGGGGTGAAGTTTTTTGCAAACTCGTAATTTTATGGCGAGAAAACTGTAGTTGACCATAATTTATTGCACCTTTGACTTATAAGTTCTAACCAAACAATTAGTAGAAATGGTTCACACCTCCTTGAAAATAGTTCAGGCAAGGGTGTTCAATGTTTTTTATTATCTGTGTGGAAAAACTACATTAAATTAAGAGTTATAGGTATAATATGCCCCTCTACTACGACATTTTATCAAACATGCCCCTGTACTTTGTAAAAATGATCAAACATGCCCTTTTGTTAAAATTTTAATCCAAAAATAGTTAACCAACGCCGAAGTTTAGTTTGGGCGACACAAATGACTAAAATATTCCTAATAAATTCACTTTAGAATCTTTTTGGTTCTTTTGTAGAATCAAATCATTCAAATAATTTCACTTTGAAAAGACCAAAGGAAATAAAAAGGGGACAAAACCGACATTTTCCCTCCCATTTGTCGATGTCGGGTCGTCTAAATCTCAATTTAACCATGATTGACGATTTTTTCAATGGAATTTTTAACAGAAGGGCATGTTTGAAATTTTTTTCAAAGTACAGGGGCATATTTGATGTAAAAAATAGTAGAGGGCCATGTTTGATAAAACGTCATAGTAGAGGGGCATATTATACCTATAATCCTTAAAATCTTGATTCTACATAGAAGCATTTTGGATTTAGAAGTGTAAAGATGTAAGCTTTAAAGCGTAGATTTTGAGTACAATTGTAAGTGAAAAGCGTGATTCTACATAGAAGCGTTTTGGTCAACTAGAAGTGTAAAAGCGTACGTTTTTAAGTTTTAAAATGCGATTTTAACCAATGCAGTCAAAATCACGCTTTAAAACTTCAAAGCTTACGAATTTACGCTTCTAGGTCACCACAAGCGCTTTCGTTTCTATATAAAATCTGACTCAACTGCGCATAAAAGCTTAAAAGCTTACGCTTTTAGTTCACCAAAACGTTTTACGCTTTTATGCTTCTAGTTCACTAAATCGATATTTTTTTTTCATGAAGTTAACCTATAAAAAGTATATTTTAAAGGTAAATCACCAACAATATGATACCATGTTATCCATGAATAACAATTTATATTTATAACTTTTATTAACATGTTAACAGATATATGTGTACCGATATTACATAAATGCAAAATTACACAATAAATTACTAGAACAAAAAATTTTAGTTAAAAATAATACAATTTCATCAAAATATTTTATATTTATCAATACAAATATGAGACACCAATATTGGGTCAGATCCTATTGGTATCATACATGTGTATAATCAAGCAGGTTAAGTCTCCAACAATACTGATCCTATTGTATAACATTAACATGTTAACATATATACGTGTAACGATAATCGAGCGGATTAAGTCTGAATAGTGAGAAAACTATACTCATCCATCGCCCACAATATTCAATTCCGAGTTTTATCCATATCCATTACAAATCTTTCGATATCAATTTTACTCTACACAATTAAAACAAATTCGAACAGATATCCACGAATACTATTATTTTTGCCATACGATTCCACTTCCTTCCAGGGTGTGGGCATTCGGTCAGTTTGGTTTAACCCGAACCGAAATAATGCATATCGAGTCTCCGAATTCCATAAAACCTCAAACCGAATTCGAACGGAATTGTAATTCAGTTCAATCAATTCAAATTGAATTATAGTTCAATTTGATTCGGTTATTCATACAAAATCAAACTTGTTAGGTTAGCTTGTATCTTCTCCCCACGTTGAATTCCCCACCTATAACCCGCCACAGCCGGTGCCCATCACTCCAACTCTTTAACCAAACCGACGGGCTCCGCCGGTTTCTCCGCTGGTTTCGCGTCTATATATCCATTTTCTTTCTTTTTCGTCAAATCTCTCTCTCCCTCTTTACTTCGAAATGATAATAAAAATAATAATTCTTTTTTCATCCGGTATATATAATCCATTTTAACTTCTGCGAATTTCCAGAGCAGTCCGTAATCTGATCTGCAACGTCATCGTCTCTGCCTCCGAGCTCCCCTGGATCTCGCCCGATTCCAATTCCGTGAGTACTGATTACCATCCCTGCCTTCGTTTCTTTCTTCGTCTTTCTTCAGTGCAAAGCGATTCCGTTTTTTCACTTCCCGGTGAGTTACTCTGTTTTCATGTCCGATGATTGCTTTCGCGCTGATAGTAGTGGTGTTCCTGGCTTTTTCTTTTCCTCTTGGTTAGCTGTTGTTTTCCTAAGCTGTCTTTGATCGCTTCGTTTTGGCCCAATTTTCATCTCCAACTGCTAACTTTTTTTTTTTTGGTTTGTGGATACTAGTTAACCTTTCTGGTGATGATTGGTGATTGATTATGGATTGTTCTGAATTCTGATCATTGATTTCTGCTGAGAGTAGTACTCCTGGACATGGTTAATTCAGGGATGCGATTTTTTTCATTTATTTGTTCAATCAAACTCTGGTGGGAGTCGTCCTGATTTTGGTCACCAATTTTGTTCGATGGGTGTTGCTTGTTTGCTTGCCCAATTAGGATTCCACAATTCCAGGTGTTAGCTTCTCAGCATGATCGTTGATGTTTACAAATGTTAACTGGGTTTTGGCGGTTACATGACATGACAGTAATTTACTAGATGAATGGATATGGACGATTGATGCCAACTGCTTTTGAATTATTGAATTGTGATGGTTTAATCCTACCGGGTCAAGCTGTAGTGTTTTGTTTTCTCAGTTTATTTGTTGTGTGGTTCTGGATTTAGGAAGGCCCTCTACCCCGGCGATGGCAGATAACGAGGAAGGCGAGGGGAATGCCTCTCGAGGGAACGAGTGGGAAGTTGTTTCACTCACAGCTTCGACATATGCAGCTGCCCCGGGCCCAACAGAAGTTGAATTGAAGGATGATGATAATGACGGTGACACAAATCAGGTGTATAAGGCTGAGACTTCTCATGCTTTGTTCATGTCTGAACACTTTGTCTTCCCTCCCAGCCAGCATGAGAATTTGCCTCTGGAGCCTGAACACAGTGAGATTGTGGATGATGTTACTAGTAAGAATTTGGGCTCTGGATATCATGCTGAAGAAGGAAACGTCTCCGGTGGGAAGGATGATGGGAATTGGCCATTGAAGGGATTAAACATCTCTGAAGATTTTCCAGGGGCGCAGTTCTTTGACACTGGCAGTAATCAGCTTCTGATCTCGGGTAAAGAGTTTGAAGAGAGTGCAGCATTGCCAGAGTTGCATCTATTGGGCAAAGAAGAAAGTATATATAGTACAGCTGCCTTCAATTCTTTGCACAGTGAGACAGGCCTAGGTGGTTCTACTGTATATGGTGGTATTCATGAAATAAATGAATCTGTTGATCAGACTTCACATCTTCCTGTGCACAGCTCTCACTCTTCAGAGCATCATGCTAAAGATGGTCAACACGAGGGGCCTAAAGAAGAACTACCATGTGAAGCTTGGTGGAAAAGAAGGGCTCTTTCTGTGTATGGTCATGCAAAAGAGGCAAATACATTTTGGTCTGTCTTTGTTGCTGCAGCTGTTATGGGGCTTGTGATTCTTGGCCAGAGGTGGCAACAGGAAAGGTGGCAGGTTCTGCAACTCAAGTGGCAAGCTACCCTCAGCAGTGAGGTCTCTTTCTGTCTCTATTTTTCACCCTTTTCCATTTATGTATTGCAGCAAATCCCATTGATGCAATTGGTTGGCCTGATGTATTTGGGACATAACACTTACCAATTCGTTGGCTTGCTGTGTTTGACAGAAGAGTGGGAGGGTGCTGGGCCCGATATCTCGAATCAAGGACGTGATCGTCGGCGGCAATCGTTGCCACGTGTCTTTGATGAAGGGGCCATCCCCGAATGAGCACTGATATAAAGATGATGACGATAAAATTGGCAGTTGTGTGTGTGTGTGTGTGGGGATACTGATGAGAAACTGCTGAAAGATGGAGTTCTTAGTACTGTAATTTTCTGTATGGCTTTTGAGTTGTTCCTGTCTCGTAGTAGAAAGAAAGGAATCGATGTTGGGTAGATGGCACGTAAAGGGAAAGTTCGACACTGTTATATTGTTATTTGCTCTTTGTGTAATTGGTGGCCAGTGATTGATTCTGTTGATATGGCATGCAGCTCTGTTTATCACCGGACCATCCTTGCGCTTTATGTCTTTGCCTGCTGCACTTTTCTTCTTCCTTTATCCTCTCTTTTGTTTTAGAATGTTCCTTTTTTTAAACAAAGAAATGCTTCTATTGCATTCGAGTGTGCTGCACGATAATATGCGAGAGCAGATCAAGAATGGTAATTGAATTGTTTCGAAGTTCATTTCGAGCAGGTGATTGTGCGACTCAATCCACTTTTACATGATATGATTATGTAACAACGGGAAGTTAAGGGGCTCTTGAGCAACTAGATTAATCAGCTTTTTATGGGAATATTAAAATAGAGAGCTAAAGGTATTAATCAACTTTTACATGATATGATTATGTAACAACGGGAAGTTAAGGGGCTCTTGAGCAACTAGATTAATCAACTTTTTATGGGAATATTAAAATAGAGAGCTAAAGGTAGTAATACTGTTTGATAAGAAAATAGAGGGTCCAAGCAATTGGGTATATTGCTTGGGTTACAGTATTGGGGATATTTTGGATTTTATTTATCAACTATAATTTGATCAAAGTAATTGGTATTCATTCTATTGATTGACGAAGCTAATCGAGGTGTTCAATTGTACTCAACGAATTTCAACTACATATTCAACAAGTATTACGTTTAAGATTTCATAACGTCGAATTTTTAACTGTCGAATCGTCATTGTTGAACAATCTTACACCGAAAACCAAATAAAAATAGCGCGTCTTTTTACGGTTTGGTACTTTAAATTTGTTGTCCCACTTGTGTTATTCGTGTGTCCAGTTTCAAAAGTTTGGAAACACGAATGACAATGTGACAAATTGGGGCGGATATCTCGATACCCATATTCGTCCGGTGACAGGTTCGGTCTAGATCGAATTATTTACCATGAGATGCAGGTCGGGTCAGGTCGACCCATATGTCTATGTAGTTTCAACGTAAAACTTAAAAAAAAAATTGTATTAACAAAACAAGAAACAAACTACAACATGATGAATGTAGTTTATTCCAATGTTGTCAAAGTCGAGCCGGAGTATGACCCGGTAACGTGAACGACTCGGTCATTAGTGGTCCAGCCGGCATTAGACCGTTTAAAAACCGTTTGAGAACCGGTACATTATAAACAATATAATATTATAGTAGAACACACATAAAGTAATAATTCAATGATTTAATGAGTAAAAATGATAATTACAGGTACCATTTAATAATTCTACACAACATATATATACAGCACCTAAAAAAAACCCTAACCTAATCCTAAGCGACAACGCCGCTTCCCCACCCATCACTCTCCTTCCTTCCGCTTCCCCATCCCCCTCCCTCTCTCCTTCCTCCTCTCCCACCGCCGCACCTATTTTCATTTTTCAGCCACTATAGCCTTCTGCAATTCCTCAAAAATCCATCACCTCATCCTTTCTTAACCCGTAAATGCTCTTCCTCGTCCCAATCTGCGAAATGGCTCAGATTCAATCCAAGCTTCTGGTGAGACAGGGCAGCTTAGCGGGGAGCTGCTTGCGACGGTGGCGACGGGATGGAAGCGCCGGGAGCGGGGAGCTGCTTGCGACGGTGGCGACGGGATGGAAGCGCCGGGAACGGGGAGCTGCTTGCTACAACAAGGACTGGCGATGGCGACTGGGGATGGCGATGCCGTCGGGAAGCGCCGATGCCGGGACAAGAGGTGTTGACGGCCGATTCCACGATTGGCCTTTTCTATTTTTTTTAGGGTAAATCAAACGGCCGAACCGCGCGACCGGCTCGAGCGGCTTGAGCGGTTAACCGCTTCGGCCGCTCGCCGGCCGCTGTATAAAACCGTGGCGGTTAAATATCTGATCCGAGCCGGTTTTACGATCGGGTGGCGGCTTTGGCGGTCCGGCCGGCCGGCTCGGTTCGGCTTTGACAGCACTGGTTTATTCGATAAATTGAGGTTCTCACCTATTCACAATTTTATTATACTAAAATATAGGTAATAAAAGTAGAATGCTAAGTAATTTATAAAATTACATGTAATTTAGCAAATAACGGGTAAAAAATGAGGCAAATCAGGATAGGTCAGGTCAGATCGGGGAGACTAGTGACTACTCATGTCTGTTCGCCCCGCCTACGAGATCAATATTACCTGCCAAAAATAGGTCAAATTAATAAATAAAATGTGTTAGGTCAAGCCAAAGGTAACACAACCGAGTCGGTCGGGAGTGTGGTCTTTCGGGCTTGAGAAGTGTGAGGTCTCAGGTTCGAACTCCGCTACACCACTTGGTGTTCCCGGAGGCATCGCGAGTGCTGGAGACTTCCCAGGTTTAGTAGACAACGCTGCCATAAAGTGGCATGTGGGGCTGAGGTTCCTCGGTAATAAATAAATAAATAAAATGTGTTAGGTCAAAATTGTGATGAGTCTTCTGAATTGATTACCGACTGAAATTTGGGCCTGAAACTTCACCTTTCGCAAATAAATATTTGGGCTTTGACTAATACTTTTGGGCTAGAGCTGCGTCGTTTTTCCCCCCTTCTTTTTTCGATACGGGAAACAGAATTGAGAATCCAAACTCGATACTTTTCGATCAAAACTACTCTCCTTCCATTCTAGCTTTTACTCTCACCGTGTTCTTCGAATTGAAAAGCTAGGTCACAGGGGGGGAAGAAGCACATAGAGTGGAATCCAGTCAAAATTGACTGAATCGACTACTGAGTCGCGCGAGCTAAAGGGAATAACAAGAAGGAGGAAGAACATTTCGGTTTGATTTCCGAGTATAATTCAGTCATCACAATCTTTCCACTGTCAATGCAAGTTTTGTGGTCTAGCACTGTGTATTCTTGGTGAAATGAATTCAATCTCTTTGTTTGTGCAAAACTAGTTTTGCATCTCACTTTAGCTAACATGTGTACCATGCATTGCTGCAGACGGTATGATTTTTGCATGCTTTTGAAAATGGGGAAGGAGGAAAGCCCGCAGGCAGCAAGAAGGACAACCAGGGCTTCTTGTGCTGCTGCTTCAAATGGCGAGGTTGGAAGGTCGACCATCACTCCACTCCACAATCCAACAGTCAGTGACCTTGCTTTTGGAGGGGAACCCCTTAGCTCTGAAGACCTGCGGTCTAGTTTCCCAGCTAGGCGTCCTCAGATTCTTGAGCTTGTGCATCTCTTGGGTCCACACAGTTCCCCTATGCTTCCATTGTTTGTCTATGGAGGTGCTTCTACAGGCAAAACCACCGTCATTCTTCAAGTTTTCAGGCACCTTAATCGTCCATTTGTCTATGCAAGCTGCCGTACTTGTTATAGTCCTCGGATCTTGTTTGAGTCCATCTTAAACCAGTTGTTACTTCATAGAAAGAACGAAGCCAATGGATACTCAAGTGCAAAACGATGTGAAAAGCCATCTGATTTTGTGAACTTTCTCCGTGAAGATGTCGGCAAGGTTGTTGATAGTCTCAAAGATCACTCAGGGAAGCGGAAGTCGAATAAGTCGCGTAGATGGCCGAAGGGAGATATCCTCTATTTGATCATTGATAACTTGGAGTTGGTGCGGGAGTGGGATAAAAGTTCCAGCTTATTGCCTTTCCTGTTCAATCTCTATGATATTCTGAAGTTGCCTAATTTCGCGTTGATATTTGTTAGCAGTAGCTCACCGGATACATATTACTCAAGTATGGGATACATAGAGCCTATTCCTGTCTTTTTTCCTGAATATACAGAAGAAGATCTTCGCCAACTACTGATAAGGAATCAAGCAAACCAGAAGCTGTACAGCTGTTTTCTTGAGTAAGTACATATAGAGATCAACTTCCGTCTGCAGTTCGATTTATATTATGAGACAGTTAGTGAATTTGTGTTCTGTTCCTTGTCAAACAGCATTGTACTCAGGCCATTCAGTAGAGTAACTAGACGACTTGATGAATTAAGCACAGTCTTTTCATCTTTGTTTCAAAAGTATTGTGAACCACTGAGCGATACGAGTTTGTTTCCCAATGATGAGATGAAGAGAAGATTGTTTAGTCACTTTCGGCCTTACATTTCCCCTGCTTTGAATGAGATATTTTGGGGGCCATCGCAGTGTTTATCTGGAATTGAATCTGGGAAGGTTACTAGGCAGAGAGGTAGCATAAGAAAGCATGAAGACAATGAAGATTTTACCGAGATTGGTTTCCATATGTCTACTGCTGCAAAGTATCTTCTTATCTCAGCTTTCCTTGCTTCGAGAAATCCGGCTACCCTGGATGCATCTTTGTTTGACTCCACTGGCGGTTCAGATAATCGCAAGCGTAAGAGGAAGTGAGTACATTGCATTTTCTTAGACTACGGAGTAGATAAATATTGTCAGTATTGTGGAAAAACTTTGTCATTCGATTTTATCTTTTGGGTTTTCATGTTCCACTTAGCATTGTTGCCTAGTTTATCTAGTTTCTTCTCACTTACAACTTTAGACTGTTATTAATGCTATATTGTGATTAACCAGGGCCTCCGAAAAGTCGATGGAGCAAAAGGAAACTGTAGAACAAGAATCACTTATGAAAGGACCCGGAACATTCCCATTGGAGAGACTACTGGCTATTTTTCAATGCATAACATCTGTAATCGATGTGTCGATTGACGAGGAGGAACATGGAGATGGGTTTTCCACGGATGGCGGAAACAGCAGCTGGCTCATGTCTAATGTTCTATCACAGCTATCGAGTCTGTGTGATGCTAATTTCATAGCCAAAGGTGGAAGCTGCCCCTTGGAAGGTTCAACACGGTATCGATGCACCATTTCTGAAGATTTTGCTCTGAAGGTTTGTGTACTGATTTCTCTTTCGGGACGCGAAGGATTCAACCGGGTAGTCATTTAAGTTGGATTTTTTTTTTGTGTGTGTGGTGTTTTTGGAACATTGCAGGTAGCTAGAAGCATCAAGTTTGCTCTGCCAAACTACTTGTGTAGAAGGTAATCTGCGGGGTGAAATGGGTTCGAGCGAAGGAATGGATAAAGAACTGAGAGACAACAACCGACCAAAAGGGGTGTTTTCTCTGTAGTGTGGAATTTCATTCCAAAGTAGCCGTGGGGTTCGAGGTATCAGCACAATCACATATGATTAGACGTGGGCTGGTAGTTGGCTGGCTGAACTTAACTTGCCCTGCTGTGCACTAGCAGTTGGAAGTTGTGGTTCCTTTATAATTTGGTAGGTGCTGAGATCCGTGAATACTGGTGTGTACTTACTTGTCATTACTTCCTTTCACTGGTACGTAATAGCAGGAGGCACTGCTACCTGCTGCAGTGGCAGAGTTTGTAGAAACAGTAGAACAGTTTGGGCAAGTGGATGTCTCTGGGTTGGGTTGGGTTGGCTAGAAAGGCCTTTTGCCTTTGTGTTGGTTAGGTGTGGGATTGGTTGATGGAAATGGGATTTCTGTATGTTGTTCCATCGGACCAACTACCTTATTTGGGATAAAAAGGCTTATTCAGTATTTTAAACCTATGGGGTCAATCCCACTGATTTTGTCTCGACCATTCAACTGGCCACCTACTCTAATCTACTTATTGTTAAGCCAACTATGTGTAATATTTGTTCCTCAATTGGTTACGAATACTAGTTAGACATGTATGAGTACATGTTGAGATTATACGTGTAATACATGTTAGAAGCTTTTGAATACAAGTTCAGACGTTTTGAATATGAGTTTGTCTTACTTGTAATGCATGTTAGAAGCTTTTGAATACTAGCTAGACAAGTTTTGAATACTAAAACAATCCAAGCTTTTGTTACTATTCTCACGTCAGGCACCTATATGAGACGATAAAAAACCTGCCACTTAGACTTTATTACTATTCCCATGTGATGAAGTAGTTGCATTCATTCGTATGTTTAAGCATCATCTACTTCCCTTCTCCATTGTACACTTCTTTTATCTTCTTTATCCAAGTCCATGGTAGGAGAAGTTCCAAAACATGTGTGTCGGGTTGAGATTAATGAACAAGAATTCTGTATGAAATTGAAAGCTCCAAATACTCTCTGTGACTAGCAATAGTTGAGTGAGTTGGTTCTTTTAGATTTCTTAAGTGATATTTTTTTTTGATAAGGGTAACACAGGTTTCACTTTTTGTGATTAAGGTATTATTTAAAGGATTGAACCTGTGACCTCCAGGTTCTAGGTTAGTGGTATTATCCCTGGGCCAAACCCTTGTTCGTCTCGAGTGATTTTTTAATTATAGGAAACTGTGTATACATTCATTAAATCAATGAGTCGTATCTGGAGTCTCGAGCATCTACACAATATATTATGCACTTCACTCTATGTCATTGTTGCCACCTTGCACTTTGATTGGTTCTCCTTATTTGATGGAAGGGCAACTTTGACAATTTATCAAACACTCAAGGGTCACTCATTATTATTGGACTTTTGGTTTTCTTTTTGGTAAATGCGATTAGGATTAAGGGAAAAAAAGTTTTATTTTAAGATAAATGCTACATAATAATTATTTGAATTTTGCTCTGTGTAGATTTATTTTGTGTAGTTAAGGAAAAAAATGAGGCTATCTAAAGTTGTTTAACTCCTAAATGAAATAATGCTTGCGAATTGGATTTTGAGATGATAAAGATGATATATCGTTGTGGCATGGATGTTTGGGTAGAGGTTCCTTCTGAATAGGTTTTTTCGCATTAGGATTTTACGTTAAACAGATAAATCAAGCATCAACCTTCAAAAGTTTTAGAATCTTAATTTCACAGTGATTTCGGCAAACATGAAAAGGAAGAAAGACAGGAAATCTTGGCAAAATACAATCAATTTATATTGTTTTTAATTCTTTTAATTTTCAAATTAGCATGTCTAATTTTTACATTACATTTTGGAAGGTAAGATCGCATGTTTAGTTGTAGGTTAAAAAATAATTACATCCATATCGTATCGACTCGATATTTGTGTCGAGTTAGATCCAAAAAAAATCAATTTTTTTACTCTATTTAATTGCTTAAAGTCGAGATAGGTTTTATTAGAAAAGTATTAAGCGTAAAATATGGTCCAATGGAATGATTTAAATGCTTATTCAACCTAACTACGTTGTTATTTACATCTGAATAGCTCCATTAACGATTACAAAATAGTTTTATAATGATAAACCATTAATCATTAGTAATTGAAATTTCCATCTGACAACCGCTCCGCTTTGGAAAATATAGGATATAGTCAATAAAATATTTAAAAATATGAACATATTGCTAAAGGTTAAGTTTGAATTATGATAACTAAAGTTCAAATGATTGAATAACTTACAAAGCCCATTTCAAGTCAAAATATTCTTTTGCTAATATTTTTCATTTTTGTCTCTTACAAAATATAAATTTAATACAACTATACTAATATTTTTGGATTTGCTTTACATAATTTGTCCAAATAATCTAATTCCATATCACATTTTTTTCTCCTCGAATTTTTGTATCTTTAAACTATTTAAATGTAATACATCTATAGTAATATTATGTACATTATTTCCTTTTTTATTCAATAGATGACAATCAACAATATTTAAATTAAAATAGTAATAAAATTTTCAAAGCTTCATTTGCAATGTAATTATTCACATATAACGAAGATAAAGATTTTTGTTGATTTTTTTTTATTCGGTGATGTTTAATATCTCAAGGCATGAATATAGATTACAGATAGCTTTTCATTTGATTCATTGTCTAACCTAAACTTCTTATTGTTAAGTAAAAAATGAAATACAAAATTCAATAAAATTATAAAGTTAACGGGCACTAAAAAATATAAACTATCAAAGTACTCTTTTGTACCACCCGTGCACAATATTAAAAACCGAACCACCTACGTTTAACTAAAAAAATACCCAAATGACCACAAACCGGCCAACGGGCCGGATACAACACTAGTATAGTAATATGGGCATCACGGTCTGGCCTCTCTCATGTGTATCACCACGGATCTTGACTGTTATGCTTTTGCATACAAGTTTGTTTCCATTTTTGTTTATACCACATCCTTGAGAAAATTTCCACCTATCAACATCTCCATAAGGAATCTAGCCACCAAGGAGAGCTTCATTTTCATCATCCAAAACACCCTCGCCACTCACAACTCAAGGATCTGGACCAAGTGGAATAAAGAGATCACGATGATCACAGCTCGGGGAGTCGGGAGAAGCTGCAAACTCATGGGGAGACTGTTACCTTAAGAATTGCTTTGTTAATAATTTCTTTGGTTTCACTTTGTTATATTAGGGTCGTTTGGAAGTTGCGATTGTTAAATAGATGTATTGTTGAGAATGCATGTATAATATTATACATGTATTGTCGAATTTGATGCATTGTAGAATACAACGTTTGCTATGTGTGATTGTGTATGTCGCATCAACTAAAAGCTGAGACAAAACAATCTCAACTCAACTATCTCAACAATCACAACTAAAAGTTGAGATATAACAATCACTCAAAATGAGTGATAGTTTCTGTCACATCATAGAAACAATCCATGTATTGTTTCTGCTAACAAAACAAAAAAACGATGAATTGTAAATAATACATGCATAATGACAATCTCAACAAAACAATCACAACTACCAAACGACCCCTAAGAACTTCGTTGTCAACTTCCTTTTTCATGACTATTTTTCAGGTTTAATGACTTTTGAATTGTCAAGTACTAGGGGGGAGCATCAGTAACATCTTTTTATTTCTTTATGACTGATATGTTGCTTAAGTGAGTTGTAGCGTGTGAGATCTCTCTTAATTAGCTTTGAGCTTGTGAGGAAGAGTGTGTTCGATTCGATTTTAGTTTTGGTACTGTAAATGGTTTGAATCCCAACCGAAGGGATTCAATTGGAGCTAGAAAAATCAATAAGACAAAACCCTAGAAAACTCAGACTCAAAGGGAATTTTGTGCATATTTTCTTATAGATTCTCATTATGTTTTACGCACAATTCTGGAGTCGGAAAGCAACACCTAGTCCATCTCAGTCCTCGTCGACAAATTCATTTTAACCGATCGTCTTGGGCATCCCTCTGATTGCTTGCTCTTGCTCCCTTTCAGTGACTTCTTCTTCATTCACATCTTACCTTCATGGATTTTTTTCCAGGAAATCAATCAGAGAGTTGATCAACATGGCTTTCAAAACCCTGAGCAAAAATTAGGCAGTGTTCTTGCCTGGGAACTTGATTTGTTCTTATTATTGCTGCAGGTTTTAGCAGTCACCGAACTGTCCATATTTGTGATTATCTTCCCCGCTGCTGCTGCTGCTGCTGCAGGCAGAAAATGAGCCATGCAAACAAATGGACTGACAAACAGTCTTCACTACATAACATTATCCTGTTCTGTTCATTTCATCCTATCCCCAAAGTCAAACCTCATTTCCCAACAATTTCCTTATTAAATGTTATGCATTTGATCAGCTCCTAAAGTCAAACTCGCGATCTCGTTTTTTCTTTAGCTCTGAAACAACACACATGGCGTCCAGTGGCATGTTTATATTTATTAGCTGCTGCAATTTGGTTGTCTAGTTAAATAAAACACCCTCATCCAAAAAAACAAAACAATGTCATTTTATAGAACGGCGTCCAACTTAATTCGAAATGATTAGAGTGGGTTGAATCTGGCGTAGACGAGTTTTTGATTGGGATACCCCACTTTTTGTATGTAATAATAGTAGCTTAATGAGATTGAACCTGATCTATGAACTCGCTTTGTCACCAAAATTTTGACGATTCATGGGTTCGAGTTCAATGTTTATAAAAGAAAGTAAAAAATACCACCAAAATTTTGATTAATTAATAAAATATTTCTAGTTATTATTATTTTTATTATATAAAAGCGGGGTTGTGAGAGAGGGCATTATTCCCTAGTGTCAAATCACTAGAAAATAAAAAAATTCGGTGAGCTTTTCATCCGATGCACACCTAAAAACAAAGCAATCGAACATGATTAAAATGGGTTGAATTTAGTGTTGACGAATTTTGGTTGAGAGCGAGTTTTACCCGGTTTTCTAATTGACGGGCTAGGTCGAGTGTGGATTTTGTTAGAAACTCGACCTGCTTTCCATCCGACTCGCACCTAAAAACGAAACAATCGACCCCGTCAAAGCAGGTTGAACCTGTTATTGATGAGTGTGGGTCGGGACTAAGTTTTACCCTCTTTTTGTGATTGGCTAGTTGATTGTGAATTTTGTTAAAACTTGGCCCGCTTTTCGTGCAACCCTCATCCCAAAAAAAAAAAAACAATGTCATTTTATAGACGATTTGAATCTCGCGTTAGACGAGTTTTTGATTGGGACAACCCCACTTTTTGTATATAATAATAGTAGCTTAATGAGATTGAACCTGATCTATGAACTTCTTGACCTGCTTTCTGGCAAATGACCCACGAATTTAAATGGCAAGATAATTTCTCATACAATCCTAATCAACTAATTTAATAAGTAATCATTCAGTATATTTATATATATCGTCCCAACCCTCTTCCTAGCTAACTAAATTGGCATTGCTGCACCACTGATTTGATTAACTAATTATCGTATTTAATATATAGATAAACAGGCGTGTGAAACTGTTATACACAAGAAACTATCAAACCTCTTATCTTCCCAGTTAGCTAGGTAGCTTGTAAAAATAAATATCCAACCACCCTCTCCAGTTGGTGATGTTCCAATTCAAAGCCAAGAATTCACTCCATCATCGATTCATTCTTTTGGATTTGTTTTTACGTAACCGCAAATGCCTCCAAAGTTCATTTACTTTGCATCACATTCGTCATAAATTGGCAGCAAGGTATATAGAAAACGATATCGTTGTAGAGCACTTCTACTATAGTACAAGCATGACAGGCTTGTACCACAAAATGCCTCCAAAGCCTGTCATGCTTGTTCTTCACATTTCCTTTTCAAGCATGACAGACTTGTACCACAAAACACAAGATGAATGACATCTCGGTCTATAAAACCCAACTTGTGCTTAGTCTTAAGAACGGTTTTCATAGCCCTTGACCATAAATAAAAATTTGGCCCATCAACCAAAATATGAACAATAGATATAGCAAGATTTTTGTGGAGCTGTAAACCTTGCTCTAGTGTTTGGGTTGCTACTTGCTAGTGTTGTTGAAGTTTCCAAAGTTAAGAGCCGGTGTGAATGGCGAGTGAGTGCCTAATCCACTTCCTCTAGGTGGAGTTTGTGGAGGATCTTTCATAGCTATTCAAAACTCTGATACCATGTCGAAATCTTGAAGAATAAGAAGAAGAGAATGGTCAGAAAAGTCTGAGTTCAACAAGAACTTGGGTGGTTCTTATTTATACCACTTCAATTTTTAGTAGCTAATGGTGACTAAAACCTTACAATAACACATGACTAACAAGTAATTAACAACTATTGCCCTGATAAAAACTAAATGCACTAACTCTAACAGATACTAAGTGAAACGAGACATCTTGGGCGAAGGCTCGAAACTTTCTCATACAACAAATTTTCTTCAAGCCTAATACGCGTTTCGAGCCACAACTTCTTCTTCAACATTGTGTTCGATTATCCCATCCACCCATCTTCAATCCGGTGGTAAGACCAACTCCACCACCCATATTTGGGTTTTTGGCAATTTATGTGGTGGGGGAGCTCAAACCCACGATGAAAGTCAAGCTAAATTTCCAAATTTGAGGGAAAATGGAGAGAGGGTGGCCAAATTTGAGGGGAGTGGAGGAGTGAGATTGACCAAATTTGGTTGGTGAAGGGAGGAGCGAATTGGGAAAGGCAACTCGCACGCCCTAGTTGTGCGAGTCACCCTCTTCCTTTCCTTTCTTTATGTTTTAGTGGGTGTTTTAGGGTATTTTTAGATACCTTATGGACAAAAAGGTAATAGTCAAGTAATAAACATCCATACAAAGCAAATGTTGATTGCATTCGAACCTCAA